AGTGGTCTTTAAATTGTGATTATGAAGTTGTTAAAATCGCGTTACCGATGTCATTTTCAAGGGCTTTTCTTCTGCAGAGCTCCAGTAGCTCATTAGCAATTCGCCTCTGAGTCGTGGGCGGAGAAAGCGCTGCTCTGCACTCTCGTCTTCACGTTAGCTTGCAGCCTAACATTGCTGGTGTGTAGTAGAAGTGGCAGGTAACATAGGAGCTATTCAGCTCTCAGACACTAATGTCTTTAGAGACACGGTGAAAGATAGTATCATAATTAGCTTTCTTACGAACATTGCAATCCACTTGTTCCGCGATCGTCCTCTAAATTTCCAGAATGTGGCCTGCAAAGCGGGGCTCTGGGGGCGGAGCTTGGATTGGTTACATAGGAAATCTCACTGTTTCTGAACCTGCCGTTTGGGTCTGCCAGAGATTCACAGTGATTTGAGTGAAAAATTCCTCAGAAAAGCAATTTCACATTTAGTTTTCTCATAATATGTCCTGTAGCATCAGAAAAATGCCATTTGAACATATGAAAAACAAGAAAAACATGATTTTCATTGGAGTGGGTCTTTAATCTAAGACTGCAAAATTAAATGACTGTTGTTTCCCTGTAAAAGAGTAAAAAAGTAGTTTGAGCAATAAGCCAAGAGCTGCCCTGCTATGCGCACAGTCATGGACAGCGACCAAATGAAGTTCAGCCTTGCAAATAAATAAATAAATAAATAATGAAATTGTCAATATGCTCTCTCAACCATGAGTTGTTAAAACAATTAAGTAGGGAGTTTGTTCCCCTTCTTCCCAAACAGCAGAGTCAGTCTCTTTGTCTTTGGATCCTCTATTATTGCTGCCGGCCGTTGTAATTGCACAGAGTCCCATTTTCTGATTCAGCACTTCCACTGTGTTAGGAAAGCAATCAGGATTGTCCCACAGCGACGCGGTTTATTGCTCTGCTCGCTCGGTCTTATTTCAAATGATGTGAAGTGAAACACCGAGCAACGTTCGGTTAAGCTCTGAAGTTTTTCTCCATCTTGTCGATTCAGTGCGTTCGTGTGTGCATTTTAACCCCCTTTTTACAGGGGACATCCTCAGTGCTTGGGTTCAAACAAACTTTCTCTCTTTTTCTCATCCCTCTGGTTTTACCTGCCTGATTAGATTTTTTTAGCTTTGTTCATGGTGTTTTTTCATCCGTAATATGTACTCATTTTTATGCATTTAAGCCTTCTTAATTGAATTACTTTGAAGAATGACTTGCCCACAAAACAGCTCCAGGCTCAAAAGTTCAATGTTTCTTATCGGAGCAGATGAAAAAGAGTGTACGTATCAATATTGCATTCATTAAATAGCTATTAAAATATACTCCATCAGGTTAATAAGATTTATTGGACATGTCTGATGCTGTGGCGCATTTTATTGATTATGTCTGGCGCATCAGAGCAAATCCAAACCCCAGAAATAAAACTCCATTCGCCTAATAAGACTGAAGACCAAAGCAAACAGATTGATCAGAGGGGTTGCTATTAATACCTGACCCAAGATGCACAAGATGCCTGCAGGGCGTGAAGGATCAGCAAGAGATGGAATTATTTTTATCTGGACGTGTGCAGGTTTTAGTTTTAGCAGGTGTTCCCACTGACATGTTAACAAGCCAGGGACAAGCCACTTCAAAAGATCAAAACTGAGTGTCCATGTGAGGCTGGCTGCAAAAGCCAAGATATCCCAATTAGTACCCATGCTCAAACGCCCATTTTGCAGCAAATTAAAAGACATTTACAGCCTTATTCCAAGAATCAGTTTGGATATATAACTTTTTTTTTAACATAACCCACCCATTAAGCTTATATAAAGGTAAAGAGTTATTCATAATATATATGATTACAGGCAGTATTGAGCTGATGAATAGACAGGTGTGTTGTAGCTGTTTGACAGGAGGCTAAAAACCTGCCACTGTTTAACCTGCTGTGAGGTTGGGGGAAGGTTTGGTTGGGTCAGCATTTTCATTATGGTGCCCTCCATTGTTGGGCTTCAAACCATCCAGAGAGAGTTGTCAAATTATTCTAATGTTATAACCCCATTTTTATTCAATACAGAGCGCAATAAATGCTGAGTCTTTGGCTAGTTTGTGTGGGTTTAAGGCACTAACTACTGGGATGATTCTGGACATTAAAATTTGCATGAAAGACTTGTTTGAATAATCCTGAACAAGGAAATTACAGACTGCTCTTGTCGATCTCGACTACGTCTCTGCTCAGCTGCATTTAGACAGAGCCTCTGGTGTGGTTAGATAACTTCAGAGTTCACTGTAAATTGGGGTGACCATATTCTGACTTCCCAAAAAGAGGACTCGACTACACAGGGGCAGTCACAGAGTCACATTTGAAGTTAATTTTGAGAGTTTTTCGGGTCGGTTGAGTGTCTTTTATGCACTTCTAACTCAGAAAGTCCACTTGACACAAACTGGAAACTTCCTTACAAAACAGCGGACAATTGAAGGATTTTATAAACTTCCCCGGACAAAGCTGGACAAGACTGGACAATCCCCCAAAAAAGAGGACATGTCCGGGTGAAAGAGGACGTATAGTCACCTTACTATTAACTATATGCACCTTTTTCACCAAGGATTACAGATTATTCTTTCGAAAAATCAATGTTCATTTTTCATTTTGTCAGCCAATAAGAGGTTAACGATTAAGTTCACAATGGCGTCCTTCTAACCATCAAGCAAGCGAATGGTTTTAAGTGGACATATCTCAATTAACAGTTTCTCTCTCATATCAAAGTAACATTCGACGACATTTCCATTTGTTTTATTCCAATTTAAGACTCAAGTGTGATTTGATAATCATTTTGAAACAACCAAGCAAGTGTTGTAGCTGTAGTGAATTAAATCCCTGGTCCGTAATAACAATTTTGCACTCATAAACCTCTATATTATCATAAGAGGTCACTGTATTAACTCTCTGAGAATGATCAGAGGCATTTTCGACTAAAAAATTAAAGAAAACCAAAAGCTCGAAAGGTTCTTTTAGATCAATCTAAATTCCTCAACACTCATTTTGCCACAAACCTGCACACATTCAGACAAGTTTTACCATGTCTCCACTTTACGGTATTTATCCAAATTGTCTTAATTATGACTTGATTATGTTTTTGAATCCTCCACAGTTGTTCTCTGACAGCAAACAGAAAGGTTTTTGTGTCCCTGAAGTGAGGCCAAATTTCACCGCCTCAAACTTCAACTATGATTTGTTCGCGTGTCTAATTTTTGAATAACTCCCCAGCAGAGTCTGTGGAAAGGAACGAAAGGAGAAGAGAGATTGAAGACGGGAGAGGAAACAAAGGCTTACTGTAGTCAGACATTTGCTTCTGAATGGACCAATGCTGAAACTCCAAACTAAGCACACACTGAAAAAGAGTAATAGAGCAGGAAAGACCTGCACCTGTGGCTGTTCTGTCAGCGAGTGACAGGCAATAGCTGATCACTGTTGTGGTGGGGCTTACCATACACACAAACACGCACAAACACACTAAAACACACAGAAACCAGACAGGAATTTCTGGTCCCCCCCCTAGACAGGTGCTTATTAGTACAGCAAAGCCCTTCTTTTCTTCCTCCGGTGCCCTCCTTGGCCGAGGTCAAGAGACTGAATGTAAGAGAAAAGCAAGAGAGAGAGAGAGAGAGATGAAGATTTCCTCCAGACCACCCACCAACATCCCCAGATTTACTGATCAACTTTCACAGAAGAAACCAGAAAAGCAGGATAAGCAAGTCAACAAATATGCCTTTCTACATCAGTGTTGGTACTGCAGACACGGTTACTTCTCTTTAGGTAGTTTTTGTACTTAACAGATGAATCAGATAAAACAGAAGCTCAGTGGAGAAAAGATTTAGAGTCTAGTTTAATGTAATACAATAAAGCCTAAAAACAGGCCTGAAAATATTATTTTATCTACATCTAAATTGGCTTTAAGTATGGAAAAGGCTCAAAATAGAAGGTCTGATTAATAACAGCCAAACAATGTAAAATCGTAACAGCTTTTATCACAGGACTTCAGTATATCCTCCACCTTTGCTTCTGTCTCAACAAAATGTTATTTCCGGTTTTGAAAATAGCTCGCTCATCTCTTGACCAACATTATCCCTCTAGTGTCTCCTTCTGTTATCCCACTGGCAACTTATTCATTTTCTTGTCATTTACGGAGTTTGCAAAGCTGCTTCTTAAGAGTCATGAAGTAATGAGTCAAAATGGCAAAGATATCCCTTTAGAGTGCTGCAGTTTCCATTAAAAAATATTAGTATTTGGAGGCAGCAAATCCAGAGGTGGCGCTATGGGGTGGCCAGGAGCAGCCATGGCCACCTCAGTCCGTAACCCTCGCTTTAAATGGTGACTGTGGACAAACATCATTTTGTTTTTGCTAAAGGATGAAGTTTAATAGATTCAAATGTTAAGAATGTATATTTGAGGGTCTGTGTATTTAATTTTTATAAGAAGTAAAACACAGCAACATTTTTTAAACTTTCTGTTCATTTATATTAGCCGTTAATGTCAGTGTGATGAGCGGAGATAACCCTCCCATGTTCGTGCAAAAAATGGGTCAAAAAGAGCTGACAGACTATCACAACAAACAAGATTCAACACGGATACTAGTCATTTGCAGAGTTACTTTACCTCTATAAATAGCTCCAATGTGGCTCTTCTGGTGAGTAATTTATGGAGTTAGAGCTCAATCATAAACAATTTAAACAAAATACCAGTAAAGCTTACAGAAACTTAAAAAGTGTAGAATATCATTCTGCACACAAGACCCTGAGTCACTTAGAGGACTCTTTCAAATGTGGGCTTTTGAATAAAGTGGCACCATTTTAAATTTTTAGTCCTGTTTGAACTGGTTTCTCATTTCATGACTTGGCGATCTGTCTCCCAGTCTAAGTGATAATAATCCTTCTGTTCTGCTGAGCGCAGCAGTCTGCAGCAAACTCTGCTTTAATATTCCTGCTATTGTTGTGGCTTTCCTCCTCCGCTCTGTTAGTCTGGAAGTTGTTTGAAATGTGAAGCTGAAGCGTTCTGGGGTTTCTCGTCGTGGTTATTGATGGAGAATGGTATGTTCTTCATGAATGAAGGATCTGTGGGATCATGTGGGAGCAAGGATCGCACTTCCTCTGTGGTTAGATAGAATGTTTTATGGTCATGATTATTTTTAAGTCTGTGCTTTGATGGATCTGATGTGACAGCTGCCCAAAAAAACCCCAAAAAACATCAATCTCCATCTGTATATCTTAGCGTATATGTTACACAGTTTGAATGTGTGTGAGGACAGCTTGATGATTCAGTGGATGGTGTTTGTCTTTGGGACTGTATGCACTTTACAGCACTCATTAAGCTTGGTTGGCTAGTTACTGTAACTCATTAAAGCGTTGTTTGGCACGGCCCAGTGCGTGTGTATGGACCCAGAAAATCAGGATTGTGCATAAAGAGGCACGGTCTACACTGGCCAAACAGAGAGGCGATGAACAGAAGGTAGATAAAATATGTCCATTTAGATATACAGTTTTTAAAAAGTTTGACTCTCTGGAAGTAAAATTTATTCACTTTATAAACTTTTTAAAGTTGGGCAAGAAGATTGAGAGTTTTGTGTAGTGCGCTAAATGTGTCATGCTAGTTTAGCCTAGCAATGAAAACAATGTGGTTAAATGTTAGCCTACCTTGCTTAATGCCACGAAACATGCTTCTAAGCCTTTTTGATTTATTTTAATTCAGATTTAATATAAATGTGATGAAAAGATTTAGTTTTGTGAGAAATAATTAACTAGTAGACGCCAAGCTAGCTGCTACCGTTAGCTATGACTCAGCAAAAAGAGCTGAGTTATACTAACCAGCTGCTGCTAGCATGTTTGGCACCAGCGTTATTTTAAAAACCTTGTACCCCTAAACTTTTTCTGGTGGTGGTTTGGCAGAGGAATTAGGGTATGGATCTTTGAGGACGTTTTTTAAAATAAGAGTTAATTGGGGTGACCATATTCTGAATTCCCAAAAAGAGGACATGACGATGCGGGGGAGGAGTCACAGAGTCCCAAAAAGTTAATTTTGAGAGTTTTTCAGGTTGGATCTAGTGTCTTTTAACGCACTTCTAACTCAGTAAGTCCACATGACACAAACTCGAAACTTCTATACTAAACCCCAGACATTTGAAGGATTTTATAAACTTCCCCGGACAGGGTTGGACAGCCCCCAAAAGAGAAGATCTATCCGAGTAAAAAAGGATGTATGGTCACCTTAAGTTAATCTTGACCATTTATGCAATGTATGTGTTTGGTCAATAAAGGTCATTGAAAAGAGACAAAAACTAACAGCCATATTTCATGAAAATGACTCCAATGATAACCTGTGTGGAAATCATGTAATTATCCTCATATTTAACTGAATGTGTGTCTTTATCTTTATCATGAAGTGCGTGTTTTTGAAATATCTTCCAATAGTGGTCAAGGTGGAGCTTTGGCTGTTGTCATTATTGTCTGTATATGAAACTGTAACTATTTTAATACTCCATTTAATCAGTTTCTTCCATTCAAGCTTAATCTCGATCCACATCTCTTCCCCTCTCAGCACACATAATTATTAATCACCACATTTTAATTTAGCTCTATAAACTCTGACCTGCTTTTTCTCTCTCAGATAATAACCAGGAGAGTGAGCAGGTGCTCTCATCAGCCTAATGCACTATAACCGGTAATGCGATCTCCTGGGTAGTGGGGTTGTAAGTGAGCGCTTTCCCCTGTCATCCCTTCAAATCCCACTGGACAAGAATTATGCTCGTGTGAATTATTAAAGTGGGCATAAGTCTGAAGGGTTTATCATCCAGAGATTTCCTTGTCATTACTTTAGACTACACATTTGTTCAAATTCTTGTGTCTTCCTGAGTCTTTTCCTGTGAGGGGAGCATTTTCATCCTCTTCTTCCCTATTGTGTGTACTTTATACTACACTGCAGAGGTGACAAGAAAGTCGTTTACCCACAGGAGATTATGAAACAAAAAGGAACTGGTGTCCAACTCTGCAAGATTATCCGTGCGTGTGTGTGGTCAGCCACCAGCGATATAATTGAGCTGAGTGCCAGATGTGCCTCTCCTACATTATAGATGATAGTGGCAAACATAAGGTCTGCATGAGGTTTCAACATCAAGCTCCCTCCTGAGTCTGTCTCTAAAATCTGCTGTGTATTAGTGTCAGGTTTATTGTAGTTTATTGATGCTTGTAGTCCTTGAAAGTCTGTCTTACAGGTTTAAGGAAAACATGTTTATTCATTTAAACTGGAGTCATTTACTCAATCACTCTCATTTTATCCTCTCTTCTTTATAAGAGTTATTAATTTAATGATTGATTTGATTGATTGATAAATGAATTATAGTTTAGTTAAGATGCACTTTAATATGGCTTGACTTGAGCATAGATAAATGCTCCGTAGAGTCACGCATTGATTTTTAAAAGGCGTCTTGAAGCCCATCAATGGCTGTTGCCGTATTGATGATTGATTTACATGATGGTATAAAATGTGATTTATTGCTTTGTCCTTCTGAAACTAGACTTTTAAAAATACATGTAAACACACAGGGTGGCCATGGCTCTGTGTATGTTTAGTTGTCCCTCATTTTAAAGATCAGGGGTTCAATTTCAAGACCTGTTATTCAAATACTGGACTGTTCTAGGGCAAGACACCTAACCCCCCTAAATTTCCCAACTGTTGTACTATTGGTATAATTATGGGATCAGTTAAAACTGGTAGCCGTGATTGTAATGCAATGTTAACAATGTGACATGCGATGTAAAGGCATTTTGAGTGGTCGGGAGCCAAGAGGAGTTACAATAAAAGCTTAGACAAGTTACCATGATAGTTTGACTGAAATCATGCTCAGCCGAATGACCCAAAGTTGGACCAGCAAAGATGATCTTGGATAGTTCAGGATCGACATTGAGTACAAGTGTTCTGTGCATACTCAAGAGTGTTGAGTTTTGACTGGTAGGAAGAGGAAGTAGTAGTAGATGAAGAAGAAAAAAAAAGACAAAGATGTTGGATCATACATCCCAACGGTAAAGGGGTGTAGAGCTGTCCGTGTTTTCACTATTCGACATACAACCAGTCAGCTTCATGCTAACTTGTTTGTTGATTGTTTTGGTCAGAGAGCGGCAGGCAGAGAGGGGGCAAATGGCCACCTAGTATAGCAGTGGAAGATATACTTATATCAATAAAATATTCTGACTGCTTGTACACCAGGATGAGGACAGTAGTCCATTTAAACTTTTATGCCAAGTCAAAACTGAATTGTTGAAAGAAAACGACTTTGCTCCTGTACAGTGTGAACAAATAATTAAACAAATCAATGGGCTATTTGGACCAAAAACTTTGTCCTAAGCTGTAAATATGTTTGATTTTGTTGTAAAAAAAAAAAAAAAAGCATTTCTTGGAAAAACACTCCAGGAGCTCAAGTGTTGTGCACTCCTGCACTGGTTTAATTCCTCAACACTGGAGGTTGCTGCTTGCTGCAGATGCTGTCGGAGTTGGGAGTGCCCAAAACTGTTTTCTCTCTTCTTATGTACATTATCCTGTTCATAGGTAATGTAAATCACCTCATTCTAAAGAGATGGACATTTAACAAGCATTGCTGCAGCTCCATGGAGGGTCCAATGGAAAAGATTTAGCAGTTTTCCTCCTTGTTATTCTCCTCCTATCCTCTCTCTCTCTTTTAAATTGGAGGGGCAGGTGTTTGGGTGCAGCAGAGGTTAATGTACCATTCCTCCATCTCCTCAGAGACCTGTGTCTACAGCCCTGTTTCATGCCATTAAATAGTAATTGTGATTAATGCACCAACACACACTCACACACACATACACATATGCACACGGTCATACTGTAGTTTATTGTGTCTATTGAATTAAACAACAAAGGAATAGTCCCTTGCAGTGTTCAACATAATGTATGATTTACTATAATTAAACCGTATTTGTGAGAACGGTGGTATGATAAATTGGTCTCCAGAGACTTATTGCATTTTTTTATTCATTTTAAAATAATCAAAAATTTAAAAAAACTGAGGTTTTCTCCCCTAGCTCTTCTAAATGATTTCATCACTTCATAGAAACATTTTTTGCATTGTTTCATGGAAATAAAGGTTAATGTACATCATCATTAAAGTGTGCATTCATAGATTGAGTACAATGTTTGGAAAAGTGAATATTAAATACAAAAAATATATTTGAAGCTGTGCATCAGCTGTTAATTATGGTGATTATTATAATATGGAGATCAAGATAACTATCCTAATAGCGATGCTCATTACAGCAGTCCTGATATTACTGCCACAGCTGCTCATAAGCAGCAGCAGGAAGGTATGACGGTTGATTTGAATACAGATGAGATGACCCACTGAGAGAGAGGGAAGAGATTCACATGCTTCTCTTTGTGTGAAACTTCAAAACCAAAGCAGGTTTACCAATCATGTCAGTATCAACACAAGGAAACACGAGAAGTCAGCTGATTCCTTTAATTTGACGCTCTATCAGCTGTCTATTCTGAGTGACACCGTGCAGATATTTGTTTATATTAGCGCCTGGTCAAAAAAGGATCATTGCATTATGCTGCTGCACCGTCTCACCCTCACACATTGATTTCCTCTGAATTCACTTATTGCTAATGCTGCTGGGGCTGCGTCTCTCACATGAGCTTTATTTGAAGATGCACTGTGGTTTTGCTCGAGGCTAATTATAGAAGGTAGATGCTGCAGTCTATTTCCTCTCGGCTCACTTAATCCTGTGTATGTGCTCTTTATTCAAAGCTGTTTGTATTTGAGAAAGCCAGCTATTTCGTTATATGATTAAGTCAGTACCACAAAAGAGAAGCATTGAGATTTTCAGAATAAGGTCATCATTTTAAAAGAATAAAGGTTATTACTCAAGATAAAAGGCTGAGAGAGAAAATTTGATGTGAATTTACAAGAAAATTTGTGCAGTATAACAAGAGTGAAGTAATGAACTTACAAAGCTGTAAATTTTCAAGATCAGTCATAATTATACAAGAATAAAGTCTTATGAGGAAAAATTACAAAAGTAAAATTATAATATTACTGAAATAAAGACACATTTACAAAAAATAGTCATATTACAAGAATTGCGTCGGAGTATTAGCGCCACATTTAGAGAAAAAAAAATAAGACTTAGAGATTAAAGTCGTCAATTTACGAGAATAAAGTTGTAATAAAGTAATTACTCACGAGAATAAAATCATAACTTCATTCTCGACTTTATTTCAAAGTCTTTTTTTTTTTTTTCTCAATGCGGCCCTAATACTCCGTCATAAAGAATAAAGCAGGTTTTTTTGTTTGTTTTTTTAAAAAGAATAAGGTTTTGAAACGTACAGCTGTTCTTTCACTATGGGAGCCTGTATGTTAAGGGTAATATTGGAGGAAGATACATACATGTATTAGTAGCCACACAATATTAAGATACTTAATCCTTTTGCACATCAGCACCAATGTGTCTCAGCTCAAACAGGATTGTAGAAAAACTGAGTGTGATGCATAATTATTGATTAAACCTAAACCAGCTTTGCAAGATACTCCATATTTCTTATTTTGGCAGATGGCGTTTCTCTTACTGTCGAACCATTATGAAAAAATCTTGTAATACTATAACCTTATTCACATCATAAATTATTTGATATTAGGACTTTATTCTTGCCGATCTACCTTTTATCTGGGAATCTCTTCTTTAACATGGCCCCGATACCCCATCCTTTGGTCATTTACAAGTCAAATGATAAACCTGTTTAGTAAGTTTCACCATGATGACGTTTTATTTTGCATTTTTTAACCAGATCTGGTTTCCTGGGTTAAACACTGATGTCTTTGTTGTTCAGATTAGGCCTCCAAACAAAGACTCTGGTGAGGAGCCACATGCATGCCTGAGTCAAACCCAGATTCTTTGTCTCTGGTTCTGGTTCAACACACAAACGCAAGCGGGTGAAGAATCACCGGACTGACAGGTTTCCTGCTAGTCGACCTGACTCTGGCTTACCCATGTGGAATTTCAAGGTTTAGTGAGTGTGTTACATTTGAGAGGCTGACAAGATATGAAATGTTGCACATTCCCTGAACTGATCTCAGAAGTCGAGTTTAGAGGGATCTCCTGAGCCGCAAATATGTACAGTTTAGAAAATAGAGTTTGAGTGTTAAAGAAAAATGAGTATTTCACACTTTGGGTTTAATTTCAGGACTGTGTGGGAGCACTGCAATTCTGCAAAATCTAAAATTTTCTCATCAACATTTAATCAAAGTAAAATTTAAAATTCAGTTTCTGCAGGAAGGAAGCAAGAAAACTCTAAACTGCCAAAATGAGAAAAATCTGCAGAGTGGTGATAAAAACACAACCTCTGCAATAAAAACGGGAAGTTAAGCCATCCAGATCAGCCGTTTTCATCTCGGCTCCCCAGACGGTCAAAAAGTTATTTCTGAAAACACGAGTGGCTATTTTTACGCACTGAAAATATCTCGTCTTGTTTACTGATTCCCTGTCCCACTTCACGGCGCACGCCCTCCACCCTCCTCCTCTCTTGTTCCACTTTTCTATCCCACTCAGTCTGAGTTCTCTCAGCCGCAGATTTAACAAGCAGAGATTAGACAGGGGAGAATCACACCCAGTCTCTGACTTTATAAGACGTCTCTCTTCTCCACATCTGCTCTTGTAATTACACGGCAATCTGCCCCTGCTCCCACTTAGCTGTGTCCTCAGTTTTCATCTGCCTTTGTGTCTAACCACCAACTTTTTTTGTTCTGCCTACACATTGTTTTTCATTTCCATGCATGTGTCTTGCATTAAAGAAACTTAGAGTTGGATTCTTCTAATCAGCAAAGATATGAACATTGAGTATATCTAGCTACAGCCTGACCTGTAAAGCTCTCTATGCTTATTGGCAGACCAGACTAAAATCAGGGCTAAGGAGTCAATATCATCAATTCCCATCAAAAGCAAAAATTTTCATTTATTTTTTTTTTTTGAATATGTGCGTGCAACACAAGAAAGTAAACTGAAATCAAACAAATATGAGAATATTCAAAACAAAAATAACAACAATCATAGCAAAAAATAAATACAAATTTAATACTATTAATAATAATGCGAACCCAAGATGTCCGAAAACGAATAAGATGAAGCATTATCCTTTTTTAAACCTACCCCTTATCCTCTACTCAATAAACAGTCAATCTCCAACATATTTACATTATATTAACAAAAAATAGAACATAAATAGAGTAAATAAGTACATAAATCATTCATGAAAATACCCGATGGTTAGAGCCCTTCTTCCTCCCTGTACCTGGTGAGAACCATGATTTTACACCGCTTTTTAAACTGGGTTATGCTTCGACAACGCTTGAGCTTCACACCTAATCTGTTCCACAGCCTTACTCCACACACAGACACAAAAACTTTTTAATGTTGTACATGCCCACTGATGCTTTAAGTTAAAGTCCTCCCCTCTGGTGATTTTAATTCACAAATAAAAGTATATCCAAACCTGCACACAAGTCCTACTGCAATGAATTGATCTTTTTGAGCTGCATGTTAGATACACTGATTGCTAGATATTCCCCATGCATGCAGCATGCAACAGCAATGCACAATATATGCGGGCGAATTTTCAACCACCTCTGCTTTCAGTAGGTATGCAGGGTCACAGATATCAATATAAATGCAGGATGAGCTGAACTTTGACACCCGTAAGCTAGCAGGATTACTCACTTCAAATGGCAAAAACAGGTGGTGCTGGAAACTGCAATATGTGGAATTTGTTTTAATGTAATGAATCACTCTGAGAGACCTTCAAAAACTGCATCTTTTATATTGGTGCAATTTATCGACCAGGTTTAAGAGTTTAAAAGTGTAAAGATTTACTCCATGGATAAAGACTACTTCAGCGCTCTTGTGTTTACACCCCGACAAACATAAAAAACAAGCATCACACACGGACACTGAAAGAACACACTGCAAGGATCACATGAAGATGAAGAAAGCTGTTAACAACAACTCTTTCCTTCAGCGGCACTCTCGTCTTTGGTGTCTGACATGATATAAAGACATGCTGACCTCCCAGAGGTCATCAGAGGCAAACAGGAGGGGGAGGTGAAGTCTGAAGCGAACGTGCGTCTGGGAACCAAGTGTGATTCACACGCTACTCATCCCCATACGGCTCTGCTCTATACAGAGCCCCGGGCACTTCACTGAGAGGGGGCTTTGTGTGGACTCCTCTGAGTGTTTGTGAGTGAGAGTTAGAAAGACCTCCTGTGAATCAACAACTGTATATTTCATTTGTCTCCTCCTGACGAGTCAAGAGTTCATGGTTCGTTCATTTGTTTCTTTGTTCCTCAGACTCCAAACAGCCAAACAGGAATCAGCACAAGACTGAGTTCAAGTCAGATGAAGTTCAGCTACACAAACAGGTCACAATTAGAAAGTTGCTCACTCGATGAGTCCATCCACACGTGGCTTTAAGTGGATAAGTGAAACAAGTTGAAGAGGGTTGTTATTATTACCCACAATAGAGCTAATTAGAGCGCTAGTTCAAAACCCTTTTGTTGAGGGCCTGAAAGTCACAGCAGAGTGGCCACAAACCTCACAACTCCATGAAAACTACTTCAGTCACACCTTTAAAAGCTTCTGGAGATTTAGCTTAGAAGAGTGAAAATGTCATTTTAACATGTCATGTTCATTTTAACAAGGACAAAACTGGGATGGTTTGGGAACTGGAGCAGAGTATCTCCAAAACGATACTCCAAGCCTGCAGAAAACAATACCTTCTAAAAGAGGTCCAAGTAAGGAAGACGAGGGCAGCTAAGGCTGACATACTCTACATAAGGAGGTAAGCCTGGCCTGTGTGGTCTGATTCAATGGGAAAACCTGCTCGAGCTCAAAGGGATATTCTGGCGTAAAATTAATTTAGGGTCAAACGCACCATAACACTGAGTTAGACACCCCCAACTTATACCAACTTTAGTAACGACCGCACGATAGCAATACACAGCAGTCTGAGGGGCCATAGACAAACCTCAACCAAAACGCCACTCTATAACCACAAATAATGCTCAGAACAGCATCTAACTTCATCAACAGTACATATAGGGTCCTAGCCACCAAACAACTTTTTAGCTTTGTCTAATTTCTTTAGCAAAGAGACTAAACACAACTCACCTACCCTCTTCCAGCAGCCGCTTGTTTGTAGCGAGACCTCAGGCCAGTCCATTATGACTACAGCGGGGTGACACAGCTCAAGGAAGAACATTTATGATCATTTCTTCATGGGAATGCAACCAGACCGAGGCGCTAAGGCAGAAGAAGTACTGCGTCTGTAGTGGACAATCCAATGGACAATCTTTGGGAGGTGCCAGACAATGTTGTTTGGTGCGTAGGGGCCTCACTTCAGTTCACAGGATTTAAAAAAAATCTGCTGCTAGTGCCTTGGTGGCAGATACCACAGCCCACCTTAAGAGAGCTGGTGAAGTCCATGTCTTATCACTACCTGACCTGACCAGAGAGGGTCTCATGAGCTGGTGGACATATTATTATCTGACTGGTGAAGGTTTAGGCCACTGCTGACTACAGCTTTGAAAGTTGGTATTTGCAATTTTTAACGTGAGTGCTACCGTGTAAATGAAGGTGTTCTAAATTGTGAAAATGTGCCTTGTATTTTGCAGGACAGCTGTGTTTTCAAATTTAACGTTTTTCTTGGATTTTAAAGGAACATTATTGGTGTAATTTCTTTCATAAATAAACCAGTGCCACCTTGAACAAATACATTTCCTAGAAAAGGAATTATTTGATTTAGACTTTTTTTTGTCCAATATTGTTTATGTCAGAGAGAAAAGTAGATAAAAGTACAGCGTCAAGGGATAGCTCTGGTTCCGGAGGTCAAAGGTCAGGTGCTCTGTCCTACATACTGAAAACACTTCTTTGAGACAAGACAAGGGAGGTCTTTAAAGGTCAAAGTGTGAATATTCATCGTATGACTAAACTACAAACTGAATATGCCGTTTATCATCGTCTTAGCTCCAGACAGGTGGGTTTTTTAATAAAGTGTGGCTTAATGAATAACAGTGACAGAGAGAGAGACAGACAGACAGGGAGGGAGAGAGTGCACATCCACTCAGTCAAAGTCAGTCACACTGAGTGGGAGGAATGTCAGCAACTGACTGTAATCACAGCTCGGAGGGAGATCAATCATCTGGGAAAGCTGCAAGGCAGACAGGAGGAGACTGCAGAGTCACACTCTGGTGCTATATTTGAGAGATTTGGACTGAGTTTCTGAAGACCCAACTATAAGACCACGGGCACCTATACTTCACAGAATTCCTCTGAGGGGGAAAAACATTTCATAAAGCTGTGGTCTTGATGAAAAAACTGCACAGCACTCGTAATTTAATCTCATTTTTTTCTGATTTTACCTTGTCCCCCAACACCTGAAGTAAAGCTGCTATTTTAGTCTTCCAGCTGACACTGCTTCACCTTCTTTCTACTCTGTCTTCTTTTTGTTCCGTTTGCTCTCCTGAGGTTGACTTGCTCTTGCCCTGTTTAGTGAAGTAGTTTGACCTGCATTGGCAGTGAAACTGTCAAGTTTTATCTCACAGAGGGTTAAAAAAAAGGCACCACTCTCAGTTTGAAAACTTTGAATCAAAAACCCTCCACAATGGTTGCATTTTTATCCCATTCAGACAGCTTTTCCTGCTCGTCTCTGGCATTATTTCTAAACTGTTTGGTTTGGCGTTGTCTGCTGCTGATGCATTCTGGGAAGACTTCCAAGCTGTCCGTCATAGGAAAGAGCAGGAAGAGAAAATGAATGATGTATGTGGTTTAAGGCTACAGAAAGACTGGAGAGGAAACAAGGTGCTTTTCCATTATTTGCTCAAGTAAACCTTCACTATCAGTGTGTGTGGGAGACATTAAAAAGCCTGTGTTACTTCATGATCCCTTGCTTTGAAATTCAATAGCTTTGTTTTCAAAGCCATAGCCACATTTAAAGGGGCTTTCCAACTGTGTCATATAGGGTCCTACATATACAGTATATAAAACACTTACGGCATCAGAGCCCAAACAAACTCAAAGAATGGAGCTCATCTTGCGTCTCATTTTGTGCTCTAACTTGGCTTTGATTTAAAGGGATATTCTAGGGTAAAATTATTTTTGGGTCAAACACACCATAACACTGAGTTAGACACCCCCTCAAGAGATGAATGTTGCCGACCGCTTGCTTTTCTAGTTATACCAACTTTTGTAACGACCGCACGATAGCAATACACAGCGGTCTATGGAGCCATAAACAAACCTCAACCAAAACGCCACTCTATAGCCACAAATAATGCTCAGAACAGCACCTAACTTCATCAACAGTACATATAGGGTCCTAGCTATAGCACTAGCCACCAAACTGCTTTTTAACTTTGCCTAATTTCTTTAGCAAAGAAACTAAACACAACTCACCTACTCTCTTCCAGCAGTCGCTTGCTTGTAGCGAGACCTCAGGCCATTTTTTCATGGAAATGCTATCAGACGGAGACACTAAGGCAGGAGAACTACTGCGTCTGCAGGGGAAAATGATTATTTTAGTGATTATTACTTTAAGGAAATGATACTTAAGTTTGTATAACTAGAGAAACAAGCAGTCTGCAACATTCATCTCTAGAGGGGGTGTCTAACTCGGTGTTACAGTGTGTTTGACCCTAAATTAATTTTACACAGTAATATCCCTTTAAAGTCATATGACTTATTTTTTAAGAGAGAGAGAGTGAGTTTCCTCCAAATGCAGCTTTGACTTACTTGTTAATATGATCCCAGCCCCCCATGAACCCCTGAACCCACGCACTCCCCGTGCCCTGCTATGATAGCTGAAGCCCGGTCTGACCTGGGCATCTGTGGAGTGCTAATGCATCTGGCAGATGGTGTGTGGGTGTTGGCATGTGTGTGTGTTCGTGTGTGTGCGTCTGTGAAAACTATGCTAACATCCACGTTTGTGTTTATGTGTGTTAAGTGTTCAAGCAGAGCAGCAGTCACATCCCAGGACAAACAGGTCAATGGTGTGCAGTAGGTATTAACCTAGTACATGTGTCCGCCAGATTAACAACCAATCACAAACTGACCAGCTGGTTTATCTCTGTATCGCCGCCTGACAGGCATGTGAGGCCTGATAAGAAAATTAACCGCTTTGACCTTGTGGGCCAGGCTAAGAGCTTTCCCATCGGAGCTGACACATTTACAAGAAAATTATGCAAAATGTTTAAGGAGTCTTGTCATCATTATGCTTGCAGGGATACAGTAAAATGGAAAATCTGTATCGTCAGCAGGTGGGAGACCTGATATGATCAGGTAAGCAGATGAACAGAACTGCAGAAATCACTAATTCCCCTACTGGGCAACTTTTTAAAGCTCCAGTGGGAAGTTTTTGACTATAACAGACTCTGAAATTAGCACTATTTTTGCCAGGCATCTTGGAGGGCAACTGCTATGCAGAAGTACTCTAGATGAAAACAGTCAGCTTAGACTAGTATAAAGACAGGTACCAGGAAAACCACAATACGACTGGCCATGCCCTGAGTCAAAAAGTATTCTGACTTAAAACTTCCAACCTTATTCTTAAACATAATTATCAAATTTGTTCACACAACACTCTGTCTGAGAAGTATCTTTTTTTATTTAAACTTGTTGAGCCATGTCAATAATTGTAATAATGTTTTGTTATTCATTTAAGTCAAACCTAACATTTCTTCTTACACTATTTCTTAACCATTTAATGTCTAACCAGCTGTTCATTTTTTTGTTGATACAGGTCTGTAAAGTCGGCTGCTGTGATTGTTCCAGTTCTTTTCCTAACCTTTTCCTCATCTGACAAAGAAACTGGACTCTTATGCTGCGTTCGAGTTACCTAGGAGGTCAGAAAATGACGTCACACCCAAGTTCCTAGCATTTCCGATACCAAGTTGAAAAAAAAAGCAAAATCGTAGGCCTGAAACAAGATGGCTACATCTACCAGTTAGTAAGTTATTTTAGCACTTGCCTTATGTTCAGACAAGGCAAGTGCTAAAATAACTTTCGTAGATGTAGCCATTTTGTTTTCACCTCCGATTTTGCTCTAATCCGACTTGGTAACGGAAACGCTGGTAACTCTGGTGTGACATCATTTTCAGCTCCGACATCTGACTTCCGAGGTAACTCGGACGCAGCATTAATTTTCAACCTTTTTATCAAAGAAAACACAATTTATTTCATGATTAACAGTAAAATCAACATCCAACACAACCTGTAAGCAAATACTTTAGAAATTAGCCTTTTTTTTTTTACGGATGTGTCATCTGCTGATTTTATTTTTCATGCACATTATTGTTTTTTAATCATAATGAACTTAAAGATTAAATCAAAAATTTAAAAAGGATTTATCTAACCTGTTTTATAATATTATGTGTAATCCAGGTAATTCAAGATGAGATCACATACAATATCTCTGTAAACAAATGATGCATCTTTTTGATGTTGAAATTATATGTGAGGGTTTAGTGCGTGTGTGTGTGCGTGTGTGTGTGTGTGTGTGTGTGTGTGTGTGTGTGTGTGTGTGTGTGTGTGTGTGTGTGTGTGTGTGTGTGTGTGTGTGTGTGTGTGTGTGTTTCATGATGGCAGGGTGAGCCTGTAGGGACAGGTACAGGAATGCAACCATGGAGGCAGCGGAGAAATATCGTCATCGGGGACTGTAGAGGTGATGGAAAGCGTACCGGGGAGAGGGTTTTGTGTGTGTGCGTGTGTGATTTAACTTAGTGTGTTTGCGTGAGGTGCGGCTCTGCCTTGCGTTATCTTTGCATTCCTTACCACACAAACTCCTCTACACAACTGCCATGGCAACCCAGCATGGGAAAGGCACTAAATCTGACACCCCACCTCTCCCTTTGACACACACACACACACACACACACACACACAATTAATTCCTGGTGCCTGGCTCTCAGAGGCATCCAGTTACACAAGGGGGCTAGCTTTGAACGTTCAGGTTTTAAGAGCAACGACCTGGGGAGAAGAAAGTGAGTCCTGAGGGAGCAAGTGTGCAATCTGCCTCTCTGCTTCTTTCCGACATGCAGTAAACAGCAAACAGAAGTTTTTTCCCTCTTTCATCTTTTATCTAAAGCACCTGTTGTAAAATGTTCAAATTTCCCCCCCCCGTACTTAAACTTTTTTTTTTCCACTTCTCTGCAGTGGAAGACAATCTGACAGTAGCATTGTGTTACCGATGGGAAGTCTGAAGTCCCCTGTGACTGACTTCTCTTCACATTCAGGCCAAATGCAAACAAAGACCTTTTGGTGTGGTGACAGGATATCTTTTATGGGGCCTCCTGTGGTAAAAGGGAAGTGTCAGAAACAGGCAGAAACCTGAGCAGCACCACAACCTGGTTTGTCAATTAAGTCCAAACAAACACAGTACGAGGGCGAAACTCTTAACTTCTGCTTGTTGGAAAGCGATTGTAATGTGAAGACTGTTTACATTTAGTAAAAACAATGCCTACATGGATGGTTTACAAGAGAAGTGATTAAAGTTGTCACAGAATGAAAGTAAAATCAGACTCTGTGCAGTCAGGGACTTTTCAGTGTTTCCCAGGGGTTTCTCTAGAAAGCCTGACAGAGCTTCTACGTAACACTCCCATGTAGATAAACGGGGGAAGTTTGAAACCAACAGCTCAGTAGAAATAAGGAGGCTCTCGTAATATGAAAGAAACATTCTCAAACTATCAAAATCACCTGTGAAGCTTGAGTCAACTTGTTAGTGTGTTGAGTTGGTTGCTGGGTAAAAAGCATTATAATGTAAAAGAAGAGGATGCTGATGTTCATTATGGAAGCATGTCCTTGAATTATTTGTAATGGCTACACCATAAAGCTAGGACTAGACCTAAACTATGTCCTTCATTAAATTGTACATTTGTGGAGTTGCACCATGCAGACTTGTTTCTTCAACTATGCCAACTATTGACTCAAACATCCAAACTAACCAAAATATTGCCAAAGATATGACATTAACACTTCCAGCAGCCAATCAGAGAAAAGATTTTCTACTAATAAAGTGACTGTATAGAGCTAACTCTTGTGCCTGACTGCCTCATCTTTAAAAATTATGTGTTATAATAACAAAAGGAGGAACTTAGACCTACTCAGAGCTTAGTGTTGGATTTAAGTTGTAATCTAAAGGGATATTCCGGCTAAAAAGTAATTTAGACAGTAAATTAGACACCCCCTCAAGAGATGAATGTTGCAGACCGCTTGCTTCTCTAGTGATACCAACTTTAGTAATGACCGCAGGGTAGCAATACACAGCAGTCTGAGGAGCCATAAACAAACCTCAACCAAAACGCCACTCTATAACCACAACTAATGCTCAGAACAGCATCTAACTTCATCAACAGTACATATAGGGTCCCAGCCATAGTACAAGCCACCAAACATCTTTTTAAATTTTCCTAATTTCTTTAGCAAACACAACTCACCCACTCTCTTCCAGCAGCTGCTTGTTTGTAGCAGGACCTCTGGCCAGTCCATTACGGGCTACAGCGGGGGCACGCAGCTCAAAGAAAAACATTTATGATCATTTCTTCATGGAAATGCAATCAGACCGGGGCAATAAGGCAGAAGAACTACCGCGTCTGCAGTGCAAAATGATTAATATGGTGATTATTACTTCAAGGAAATGACAAAGTAATGATCACGCTCATTTATGCTCAGGTTGAAAGTATCTCAGCTAGTGCAACCCAAAAACAGAAATGATGTGTAAACCCTAACCCTAAATCAAAAGTTACATTCTAACTAGTTATCACACAGCTGATGACATTAAAGTGCAGTTCGACAAGCGGCAAAAAAAGATTTAACAATAATACATAAAAAAAAGTTCTTTTCATAAATTATTTGCTCATCTGGTGCCGCCAAAACAACAAGTTCTGCAAATTGACTAGAAATATCAACATTTTGCACTTTTGTTTCTCTTTGTCTTCTCTATATTCAGTTGGTATTTAAATAAATATACTACAATCTACACAAAGACTATTGGCTCGTGATGACTTTTACCTCTGGCTCTTAAAATTCGGTGAGCACAAAACCTAAAAAGACTAATTTAAGGGTTGCTACATTTAAAGATTTCAAAGTCCAGCTTCTAATCCTGACTGGATACTGTAGAAAAAGTCCCCCCTGCATAGACAGATTCACTTAGAAGTCTATTCGCTCCCCTGAGCCAACAGAAAGCCACCCTCAGCACTTCAACATTACTCTGCTCATCCTCATTGACAGTGAGCTCTGCAGGAAAGATAGTGCAGCTCCTATCTTACCTGAGTAATACTCCAGATCACCACAGGTCCATTTTTTGCTACTTTGCATTAAAACCCACTTCTCTTCTCTCTGAATTTAATTTGAAATGATTGTCCCTTTAATAATTCATTCATATTTTAGGGGGAAGAAGAGTGCAGGTAGAGCAGTATGAATGCTGGCAATGCAGGTGGGTACATAGATACGGAGCCTAAATCCATATTTCTCTGCCAAACTGCAGGGGAATCTGGAGAGATGCAAACACTATACATCATAGAGAGCTGTCAAATTGCAGCTCATATTTCAGCATCCTGACGTTGTATCTGTGGCTGGCTGGTTTATGATTGGCTCTCCTCCAACAGCATCCTCGTGTTGCAGTGTGCAGTTCCTCTCTCTCTCTCCCTCAAACTCAGAGCTGTCTGCAGAATGTCAACAAACTGCTAATTCATCAGTGTGCACGGTGTGGCAGAGGCTCTCATGGCCGGGCAGATTAACAGTAAGTGGCTGTGATGCCCTTCATAATTTAAGGGAGCCTTATAAAAGATGAGCAGCTTGAAAATGTTTTGTGGGACACAGTGTACACAGGCTCACAACTTCAGCCCTGTGCTAGCTGGAGAAAAGTACTGTACATGTGTATTTAGCATGCAGTATATTCAAGCTAATTTTACCTGCAGTGATTTGTAGATCGTTTCTACACCTGAACACCAATTTCTACATCACTACTTCTATTCTACAGAAGGAAAAATCTAATAGCACGGGGATTTTATGTGATTTCAACCACTGTGTTCTTCTTCAGCGGTTAAATTTTGACCCTAAATGGAAGATTTATCTCAGTGTCTCCTGGTAAAGATATGTCTTCCTGTGAGCGTGCAGTATGACACCGCATATAAATACCCTACACAAAAAGCCTGCACATCTTTACTTGAACAGGATATGAGGCTCCAGGAATAGGTTAAAAATGATTTACAATTTAGCTGACTGAGTGAACAGGGAAGTACTGTGCAAGTGTCACACTCGACATGCAAACAACTTTTATTTATCTGTAACAAATGCTGCCCGACAACAAGCCCGCACGGAGGATATGTCACATCCTGCATGATTTTTTATGCACGGTGAAATTACTATTTGCGCCATTACTCATGCAAACTAGTCAATAAATCCAAATTGCAGGATGTTACTCGATGTTACTGTCCCTTATTTTTATGCAGCGCTTAATTTATTTGAATTACCCCATTAGCAGAATTATTACATGCTCTTCACTGCCAAAAATAGATTGAAGGCAACAAACTTTCAATCCTCTTGATGGGATTGTGACTCTTTCCAGATTCAACAGGTGGTCTTGTAAAAAGATATCACTTTTCCTGGATCCGGTCTCAGCTCTGCCACTTATGCTGATTGTCTCAGTTTGGCTGTAAATCTTCACAGGAGGTTCAGGAAACTGTTTAGTTCTGCAGCCGATCAATTCATATGCATGGATGTATACTTAAAGAGGAAGCAGACCAGAGTGATGAGGTCCTAAAGAAAGGGGAATTGACTACTTGGTCCAAGGACAAACTGTTAAAGTGTTTTTCTTTTTTTAAACTCTGTAGTTATCTGTCATCTTCAGAGCTTGTCTTTGCTGCTTATCTATGTCAAAGTAAAGAAAAGAAGTACCTGATAAAGATAGAAAGGCTCAAAAAAGTCTTGATTCTGGGAGTGCCCTGTTTAAATAAGTCAAAAGGCCAACAGATAACACCTTGTTCTTGTGTTATTCCTCAGTAAGACACAAGAGGAGATGCAGTCAAAAGGTTAAGCTGTGCGGATGACTGCCTTCATGCAGCACAGCGGCTGTGTTTGTCGCTCTGTGAGCCTTGCCTCTCCTTTTGCTGCCTGTAATGGAAACCAGCAGGGGGTCCCGCCTGGCTCAGTAGCAGGGCCAATGTTTTTCTACCACCGTGTCACCCCAGGCGTGATGAACAGTGGCAGGAGCTGTCCAGGGGGTAGCAGCGGGGAAGTAAGTGCAAAAACCATGGAAAGCTTGTCTATGTCCACCTTTTCCAGTTCAAAGGGTGACTGAACAAGAATGATTGCTGTCAGAATAAATCTGCCAAAAAAAAAAAAAAAGGTTTTCTTTTCTGGATTCTCTGGAGATCCAAACAGCGACTTCCTCATTTTGTTGGGATTCTAGGTACTTAACCAAATGAAGACATATTTCGAATAACCTGTAAATCAGCTTGAGATGCAGAAATCCCAGATCAGCTATCTTTGCCGGTCTATACACGGATTTGTGGTTCATAAGCCATTTCTCTTTTTCAGGGCAAAAACTGCACATACAATATTCTGCAATGCATTACCACAATGAGTGGGTTATGAATGAATTATGGTTTGCAGTGTTATCATTTTTACAATTTCCAGAAAAGTGCTGCGCTAACAGAGAGTGTTAAATAAGTCAGACAACTCAATAAAGTGGTTTCATATAAAAAATGAAAACTCAGTGTAGCTATAGGACCAATTAACTGAATTTGTTGACAGCACTTGAGTAGTTTTGATGTGTAATAGGTGAACCAGGGGACAAGCCCAATGTTAAAAGGGGGCATGTCACCACCTACCATATCAGTGGTGGACACACATGTCAATAATTCCATTTTGCCCAGTGCTTGTAAACTGGGACAAGGTCAGCAGTCCAGTTAAATCGCCCAGACAAGCTATGAGTGTAGCTTGAATTAACAGTGCATGTAACATTAGCCCTGTGTACAAAGCAAGTTCACAATAGGACTCTCATACAGTGACCACCTGTGTAACAAAGTAGTGTCGCTGCTGATCTTGAGTGACAGACATGTAACAGAGGCAAACTGATGTCTGAGTAAACGGCTTATCCGCCATCACAGAACAGCCTTGTGGTTGTATGTACTGAACTACATGCTGCCACTCTTGTACTTCCTCTTTGGTGTCACCCTGCGTAAATTCACACTCTGGTTCTGTGGAAACTGACTTGATGGTGAAACCTTGTTATGACACCATTGAGGGGTCTGAATGAGAGAAGATACTAAATTATTTGCTTTCTGATTACATTATTTGACTTTCAAACTTTTTAAGCAGACAATAGTATGCTGAATAATTTCTCTCCATGTAGTATCATTATTTATTCCTAGTTTTATCTGAAATTAATTTAGGGTCAAACACACCGTAACACTAAGTTAGACACCCCCTTGAGAGATGAATGTTGCCGACCGCTTGCCTCTCTAGTTATACCAACTTTAGTAATGACCACACGCTAGCAGTACACAGCGGTCTATGGAGCCATCAACAAACCTCAATCAAAACGCCACTCTGTAGCTACAAATAATGCTCAGAACAGCACCTAACTTCATCAACAGTACATTTAGGGTCCCTTAACACTAGCCACCAAACATCTTTTTAACTTTGCCTGATTTCTTTAGCAAAGAGACTAAACACAACTCACCTACTCTCTACCGGCAGCCACTTGTTTGTACGGAGACCTTAAGCGAGTCCAAACTGACTGCAGCGGAGTGACGCAGCTCAAGGAAGAACATTTATGATCACTTCTTTCATGAAAATGCAATCAGACTGAGACACTAAGGCAGAAGAACTACCGCGTCTGCAGTGCAAAATTATTAATATGGTGATTATTACTTTAAGGAAATGATAAAGAAATGATCATAAATGTTCTTCCTTGAGCTGCGTCCCCCGGTGTAGTCTGTAATGGACTTGCCTGAGGTCGCTACAAACAAGCGGCTGCTGGAAGAGAGTAGGTGAGTTGTGTTTAGTCCCTTTACTAAATAAATTAGGCAAAGTTAAAAAGATGTTTGGTGGCTAGAACTATGGCTGGGACCCTATATGTCCTGTTGATGAAGTTAGGTGCTGTTCTGAGCATTATTTGTGGCTATAGAGTGGCGTTTTGATTGAGGTTAGTTTATGGATCCTCAGACCGCTGTGTATTGCTATTGTGTGGTCTTTATGAAAGTTGGTATAACTAGAGAAGCAAGCAGTCAGCAACATTCATCTCTTGAGGGGGTGTCTAACTCAGTGTTGCTGTGTGTTTGACCCTGAATTAATTTTACGCAGGAATACATCATTATTTCTTTCTAGTTTTGTCTGTGTATTTCTAATAGTGAAGGACTGCCAAACCACTGACTAGCACTCTACCTCATACATTCATAGCTCCAGGCAATAAAAACAGTGGGTATGAATACATGTACAATAGATTAGAACTGCACAGCTTCAGTATTTTAATATCCGAATGATCTTAGTGTTGCAAAGTTGGGTATCCTCGGGGGGAAAGGGGGTATGCAGAAGCATCTCTAATCGCAGTTAGTCGGACAAAAGCCTTGAATGAAAATGTGCGAGTTTGGCTCCAGTCCAGACTGCACGCCTGGTTAGGAGCTCCTCCCACCTCCTTGTGCTCTCCCCACGCCGCTGCTGCTGCTTCTGCTGCTGCAGAGGACTCCTCCTACTCCGCCTCAGCACTCCGCCTCTGCACACACTAGTGCAATAGCAACAGCAGCAACAGAAGCAGCATGCCTGGCTGGAGCCGAAACAAGCCTGCCGCAGGAGCAGCTCGCAGCCTACCCTCGGTTCATTAACCTGTCGTCTGTTTGGTACGGGAAGAAAAAGACAGACGGACATCTGCATGTGTGGGATTAACAGGAGTCTGTACAATACAGCTGTGTTGTTTATTTTTGAAAAACTATTTTCCCTTTTTTTTTTGGAGAGATTTTGTGTTGCCAGGGAAGAGAAAGTCCGAGCAGGTAAGCATGCTGTAGGTACGAGATAACCTTGGCTATTCCTGTCTGCTGTGACATTCCCTTGTACCCTATACTCACCTCATCTTACTAGTATATATCTGTAACCTACGCTGAGATAAGTTAGGGTTCACAAAAAGCTGTTTTTAATGCAGGTTGTAAAAAAAACAAAAACACAAAAAGCCATTGTTGCCAATTTCCTCTGTGTGCGTGTAGATTTCGCAGTTTGATGCCTGATGTTGAGCGCACAAGTGTTAACCGAATTACCATATTTCCAACCTCAAAACAGAAGAGGATTAACCCGAAACACGTGGACTTTACAGAGTATGCTGATTGTGTATGAAAACAGGTGCCTCTAACATATTCATATTAACAGATTGGATGTTAAGTTTGAGAAAGTTTGCATTTTTTTGGCGGAAATCCTTCCAGGATACCGAAAAACAGGTCCCCCTCCTCCCTTATAATGAATGAGCGAAGAGAGGGAGGCTGTTCATGAGGAGTTTGGACTGTAGTGGGTCACTAAACCCTGATGTGACCTGGTTATGAGCTTATCAGAACACACTGACCATTATTATTTTGTCATAACTAACTGGTTTGTTGCTTTCTTGTTGCATTATTTTGGTGACTGAGCATTTATTTTGGTAGAGTTAAGCAAAAAAAAAACATTCTGTATGCAATTAAAATGAAGTATCCTCTTTAGTTTGGATTAATGGTGAACATAAACCACCTACAGGCCTACTTCACTGCTCGTGCTCATGTGTGTTTGTGTGCTCAGAGGGTCAGCGTGATTCCTGTGAGCCCAGTTTTACCAGCTGTTTTGAGTTGATAAGCCCTCCAACCTTTAGCTTAATTACTTCTCCTTACCACCATATCTGTGGGCTGTTTAGACTGCTGACATTGTAGCCAAACTGCATTGTGCCAGGCTGAGAGGCGTATTAGTTGTGTATTTTAATTGGAAACCCAAATACAGTTTGGAGCTTTTATACTTGAGGATATATGTTTAAGTTTGAAGTGACTTATTGGAATAAAATGTGCCTTTTGAGACATCTAGTGGCCAGGCATTTGTTTGTGGTGTGAAGTGTAAGAAGGACAGAGGTCAGAGAGACATGTGGCTTTTGACTTCTGGGTAATCTCTTTATTACTATTACCAAAACTGTAATTCACACCTGCCCTCAAGTTATTTTGCCTCGTGCCATTTCGCCCCGAAAGTCCCTGACCTGTGACACGCTCATTTTTCATAGTCTTGTGTTTTATTTTGAAGAAAGGTGCGTGAGTTTCACCATAAGGCTGAACTTCTTCTTACAAGTGAGAAATATTGGACCTTGAGCTTGAGAAGGTGTGGGGAATGTAGACAGTGGGGTCTATCTTCTCAAACAAGAGCAAGAGGAGTGAAAAGCAAGTTTCACTCGAAAGTACAGATATTGGTTGAAACTTAAGATAAACTTCCTGTGTGGCCTTTTATTTCAGCTTTTATGACTCCCTGGTGTGAAAGCAGAAAAACAAAAGTTTCATCTTAACACGCCACACCAGTGTTGGGTCTGCCTATGTATTGTTATTGCTCAACTGATCTGAAACACCCCCGAGACATGTTCTCGGCTGCCAGTCAGTCCTTTTTCTTAAACAGCAGGCCGGTAAGTCTCATGACATGCGTGTCTCTGATCAGTCATCACTTCATATGACTCATGCACAATGGCATAAGTTGTGAAGCAAGACTCGGTTTCCTCTGTTGTCGCAGGAACGGTTAAACAAACAGTGAGCTAGCGGGTGCTTTCCTGCCTAAACTGAGTCAGACAGAACAAAGAAAAATGTAAACATGCATTATCTTTACCAACAGGAAATCTCTTCATGCTTAAAGGATTAGTAGATGGCAAGGGTGTTATACTGGGGCTGTGAATTAGCAGAAGGTTCAGCAGGTCCTTTGCGCTATCGTAAGTTCTGGTTGTTTTTCTAACAACACATAAATGAAGGGTTTTTAGTCAAACTGAAACCGCCATGGCTAAAACAATGTCTAATTTAACTGCAATATTTAGTCTACTCTAACCCCGTTTTTATTGTCCAAAGGGAGTGATCCTTTATCCTTTCTGTCCTTGCTGTTTTTCCTCTTTTTTTCGCAGATAATGAGAGTAGATGGTGGGTTAATATTGCTCTGAGTCATCGCAGCACCTTGTTGAAAGGCTATTAAAGCTGTGTAAAGACCATAAAGAGGGACACCCAGATGCAAGAAAACAAGTGATCTCTGTGAAATGGTGTTGATCTTCTCACTGTCAGTGCAGTTAAACAGGACACACAAGGGGAGATGGAGGTGGTGGTGGTGTGTGTGGGTCAGTTTGTTTGTGAGAGAAGGAGGACACATGTGGAGTGGGAGGTTTGTGTGTGTGTTGTGTGTAGAGGGGGGGGAAGGGAGGTTGTCGTGGGTGTGAGATTCACCCTTGCGAGACTTGCGCCTTTAGACATTCCTGGCATTCCGACCTCTGGGATGCTTGAGGCTCCTCCGTCTTCTTCTAGCATGTCGGGGGCTGCAAGAGGGCCCTAGAGGGCTTTTATGTCACAAGGCTCACACCGGCAAGGCCTTTGGTTGAACAGAAACCACATACCCTCTAATTTAGGAGGCCATGGGAACAAGTAGCAGAGCAGACGGCAGGTCCTCTTCAGTTACAGATGACACTTAAATCTTTACTGGGTCTCCTATTAGTTTAGAGACACTTGTCAGCCTTGACGCCTTACCCTGTCAGGTAGATTGACTTTTTCCCTTGCTCTGAATTACATATTGTTTAACCCGAGTCACTGATCAATACCTTTACTGACTTTCTTTTATTTACTTTACTCTCAATGAGTTGCTCTCTGCAAATTGGACATCTTGTTGCCCGAAGACCAAGAAAGTTGCATTGCAAACTGTGTGGTAGTTGTTACTATTCAACCAATACATGTAAAATGTGAACTTACTTGTCTAACAATGCACCTGTTTCCTCTCTCTCCCTTTTGATCATCATCTTGTGCTGCAACAACCTCGCTTGGCCAGCCATGACAGTTCGCCCCTTGTCTGCCAGATCAGCCAACAGCCACTTCTGACCAAACCCTGATTTAGAAATCCAAAGATGTCAGCGTGCAGTGACTTTGCAGAACACGTGTGGAAACCCGGCTCTTGTAAGAACTGCTTCCACCCGCTCAGCGCGCACCACAAAGCTGTCGGCAGCTTGGGTGGCAGTGCGCCAGCCGCTTGTTTGAAGGGCAGCCTGGGAGGTGATGAAGACACTGGAGTGACAGCGCCTTCACCCTACAGCAAACCAACCATCGCCGTCAAGCCAACTATGATGAGCATTGACACCAACGAATCCGTGACTGATGTCAACATGAACATTGAGCAGGTGGTTCTCTTAACTGTGCCCTTTCTCTCACAGAACTTGGATTTTATTTCTATCCGTGGAGTTGTATCTGTTGTACTGACTTGTGCTGATTTTTCATGTCTTACAGGAGAACACAAAGAGTCCAGTTGAGCGACTGGGCTTGAAAAAACTCTTGGACCTTTCGTCTCTTTACATCGACAGCAACGGCTGCAACAAGGCCCACAGGGATGCCGTACTGAAGAGTCCTGAAACAAAGAAGGACTGCAACAACTGCTTTTCTCTGGCTTCCTTATCGCCCAGCATCCTGCCTAAAGACTCCATGATCATCAGCAACATCTTCGTCACACAGGAGGAGGGTAGAAGTTCTCAGAACGTGAAGAAGAATGCCAACGGAGACAACTGTAGACCGCAGAATACAAACACAACCAGAAACAAGAGCACTTTCAATGGGATTGGTGTTTCAACCAAAGCAAACTGTAATGAGGCATCTATGGAAATACCTTTACCTGTAAATATTGTCCCTTCCAATTCTGCCACAGTTCATATCAATGGTAACAGCAGTGGGAGCACTGTTACAACTAAGACACCCAGCACTTCCCCCACCAAAATCCTGAGTATGGATACCACAGGCAACAATCCTTCACCGTCCCTCCGCTCTCCTCCTCCCGTCCTGTCTGAACAGACAAGCCTGTCAGACTCAACTTGTTCTTATCGTAGCAGTACAGATTCACTTCCCGGAGTAGAGGGACTGGGAGGTAAACAAGCCCAGATAGGGAGCCCCAAAAGTCAATCAGTCACAGGTAGCTTTGAGTCAGCTCCGAGCTCTCCTGAGGGTAAGCTGATGTCTGAACCCATTTATGCAGAAAGCACCAAGAAAAAGCGCCGGCCGCAGGAAATTGGGGTGCAGTCAAATGGGGTACAGTCTAACCCGGAGTCTCCCAACCAGACTAAGAACCCATCCAACTCCCCTGAGCTTTCAGGAGAAACTCAGCGGACCACTATCACAGTGTTGGCAACTCATACAGAGGAGAACAACAGGACTTTTTTCCTAAGCAGTCCAGATTCAGCTATCGGCACCCAATGTAACTTCAGCCCCACAGCACGTAAAGACCCCAGCAGCCCTGCTTTCAGGTGGCCAAGTCCAAGCCACAGCACCTCATCTTTAACTATGGAGACTAATCACACCCCAACTACACACGCCAAGCCTCAGTCCAGCCCTCCTATTCCCCCAAAGAGGACAAACCGTTCCCCCAAACTTGGCACTTCTAGCCTTTCACCATCCATGTCTTCTCCAGTCCCTCTTCCTGAACTCCCCAGACTTGGAACCTCCAGCCTCTCTACATCCATCTCTTCCCCCATTCCCCTCCCTGAACTCCCCATGCTTTTCCTCATCTCTGCAAGAGAAGGCCACTTCAAAGTTCACACCGAGAGCCACAGCGCAGCAGCAGCAGCAGCGCCCGAACGCTGGCACAAGCCCCTCCATCACAATTCTGGCTGGAACTGTCGCATTGAAGAGGAAGAGGAGGAGGAGGAGAAAGAGCGGAAAGAGGGGGACAAGAAGAAGCTGGCTACCAACCCGGGCCAGACAACCTCTCGGGTGACAGGCCTGGTCAATGGTGCCGCTGTCTGGAAAGAGGCCAAAGACTGTAAGGCCCAGAGCAGCCGCCCTCCGATGACAGAGCCAGGCACGGCCCCCCCGGCTGTCCCCAACAATGGTGCCTGTCAGGGGGAGACTGAGGGCACCGGTGCTGAGGAGGAGGGCAAGCATAACGGGAGCATGCCGGCCAGGCAACCGGTGCATGGCGGCTCATCAGAGCCGCTGGCAGCAGGGAAGGGAGCTGCCAACAATGAACCCAACCCACCACCTCCCCCACCGAAGAAGCTGCACAGGTAAGACTTACAAAGACCTTTTTGTTAAGCTTCTACAAGTTCCATTATTAATCATCTCAACTGTATGGAATGTATCTGGATGGTACACTGAAATTGATGTACGTCGAAGGTTACTGATACAACTGATACAACAAGTTTTCAAAGTTATGCCAATTATAGCTGAAAGTTGCTAAACCAATTTGATCAGTGTATGAATATCAAGGTATTCAGTTTACGGGAAAGCCTAGATAACAAGAATTTTCTTAAGAAAACGAGGCAGCTGATCATTTTAAAGGGACAGTTATTTGTTACACATTCATGAATATGTTCAATGCCTTTGTAAAACATGTTTTTAAGTAATCAAACAACTTTTTTATGTGAACTCTGCCCAAAAAAAACTACCCCTAGACATTATAAAATTCTTAAAAATACTCAAAGGAGCTTAAAAACAGCAATGCATTCATTATTCGTTGCTGCACACAGTGCGTGCATGAGCTCCAGTCTCCTTCCTGCAACTTGCTTTGTAATCTAGACATGGCACAGGAGCTTCATTATATTCCATAATTTAGCAGTTGCATAATAGGTACTTGGTTTAGATGCAGGATTGTGTTCTGCTCTCCGAAGAGGAAACTATATTTAGCATCAGGGTACAGTATGGAATATAAGCTGCAGTTTACTGCTTATTGCGCATTTAGGCACACACACGCATCTTAGTGCAGTCATCTGTGCGAATCTCACTGTGCCTTCTCCTTTCATAGCATCATTATTCTTCCTTGAATCAGCCTCCATTCTTGTGCCGAGTGATCATTCAAACTGCATAGTCGTCAATGCACGCCTTGTTCTATTCACGCTAGTAATGTGACTTTTTCAGTTCTAATTAACACACAAAATGGGTCTGTTAAATGGTCCCCTGCTGTGTCACATTGCTGTAAATTTGTTTTGGCTGCAGGACAAAAGATGGAACTGTAAAAAGAAACAAAAAAAAGAGCCTTGTTCCATTGATATTGTCACGCAGGGACAAAACTGTCATTACAAGGCATTCAGACGCATCTTTATTGGCACAATTTTGCTTTAAATCCTTGATGTTCCTGCTGGATTTTATATCCTGGTTAGGTAGAAGCGAACGCTCAGAGGAGTAAGTACTGAAACATTTATACCTTTGTTTAAGTCATGCTGTGTTGTAACCCACACAGGGCTGCGCAGTTATTTTATAGCTATAACATTCGCTTACGTGCTTTAAACTGAGTCTGCATGAGGCTAAGAATACACTCTGCTGTCTGTCTGAGTCAGCTACAGAAAGCAGAAACACTGAAGTGGTCTTGTTGCAGTTATTAAACATCAAATGATGTCTTGAAAATAACCTCGGCTTTGTCTGAGGCGGCACTATGAGGTGTAACACGCAGCCGGTACTTCCTCCATACAAACAGATGTTCCCACATCCTAAGCTGCTGGAGTCAGCAAAAGCTGAGTGGGAGTGTTTAACTGTGAAAAACACAGTTTGCTGATCACATTTCAAGGACCCTTATGTCTGTGGTAATTCTAGTAAGGACCCATCTCTCCTGTTATGACATTGCCGACATTCTGCTCTGATAAAAATACACCTTGTTGAGACTCATGTGGGAACACGCCTTGAGCCAGTCAGCGACAGTTGTGGCTTTCTGGTGTTCCAAGTTTATCTTTGGGTTTAATTTGTTTTATCAACGAGTGTCCCCGGCCTTCAGGCATGAACTTTACACTCAATGACAAGTGCCTCTGGGAATAAGAAGCTAAAGACTATTTGTTAAATATTTGAAACGTATTCCTGAGAAAAAGAGAGGGGTCTTGAGCATTGGATGAATTAAAAATATCCGTAATAGAAACGCACACGTGCACATGCACTCCGTGAGGCAGCATTTTCATGTGCTGAATCATTTAAAAGCCACAGATGGTTTTGAAAATCTGCCGCTGTGCCTCTCAGAGCTTTTGAAAAAAGTGGAAACACGTAATTCTCCGTCTTTCCGTCCTCCTAACAGGTCAACCTCAGTGTTGTGGGGTTGGTCGGCCTTCGAGGTGTGCGCCTGTGCATGTGCTTACACAATGCAAGAGTTTGGGAGTAGGTACACGTTAACTTGGAGGGGGGTGTGTCAACTGGTCAGGGAAGGTTGCCAGAGGGGAGGGGCTCTGGTGAACAGATTGTTGCCCCTGGCAACTCCTGAAGTGTCCCAGTCTGGCAGTCAGTTGCCACCAATAGAAGTAGAATTTATAGATCCGTCATGTGGATTGGAGTCCACTGAGTTTGAGTTGGGTGTGAATTGTTTTTTGCTTGCTAATCTATCGTTCCGAGACATGCTGCCCCTCCCGTCCCGCAGCCATTCTGATCCCTTCTGTGCTGCAGTTCAGATAGCATCTTGTTGCTGCCTGACAGACCTAGACCTGCTCTAAAATACAACTCATAGGTCATGGAGTGAATTCTAAATAGGAGATATGGGTGCTTTAATTCTGTTCATCTAGTGGTTGTCCCTGCTTTTCTGTGGAGACACACTTTAAATACACATATGACTCGTGCGGAGCCAGGGTTCTGTTACTACACATGGAGGGGCTTTAGGGAGCCACGAGTCTGATCCAGAGGCATTTTGAGTCGGTCAGCCTGACAAGGACCTCTCCGGTATGAGGTAGGCACCTGATGGAGTCTTTGTCTTCTGTTTGTTCTTAGTAAGAGACAAGAAATGATCACACAGCTATCATTAGACCTGTCAAGGAAGTGGTGATGCTCTTGGTTTTTCTAACAGGAAGGTCTCAGAGTTCTAGTTTCTGTAAGATCATAATTAACCACAGCACATAGCTAAAGAAGACCTTCACTTGTTATTAAGAACTGTCTAAGCTCTATGATTGAAAATTAGAAATCCACTCTGAAGAGCAACAGATGGCATTTGGGAAACTTTTTGCCCTTTCTCTTCTAATCCTTCTCTACCTCAATTATCTCTTTCTTTTATTTTAAGCTCATCCTGCCTGTGAGATTAAATTAGTTTTAAGATTAAGAGGATTAGAAGTGAAATTGGTTACGAACAATGTGAGCTACTACCGCTCAGTGTGATGTGGTGCAAATAAATGAAAGTGGGTTGTAATGATTAAGAGTTGGAGATATCTGGGGGTGAAGATGAAAAGACAAGGCTGCAGTATGAGAGAAATAAGGATTGGTGTCAAACATTAATGCAGCTCTGTTACAAAGGCAGGGAGCATAAGGCCATATAACCATGGTTACTATCCGTAAATCACAGGACAGAAACAATGAATGCCATTCTTCTCCGGGGTGTATCGTTATGTGCAAAGGTTATATTTAAAAAAAGCACGATAAACAGAACAAGCAATGCAATAAAAACAACCTTAGTGAACTACTTTATCATTCTGATAACATAAATGTACGATTAAGAAAGCCCTGTAAGAGTCAGAAAGTGAAACCAGTCTTGCAGCAAACTTGATCCACCACAACAACAACAACACTGCAGTTTGTTTTGGGTCTTATTTTTACGCTGCCACGCTGCTATCTGTAGCTACTTAGTCGCAGCCTCGGTGTGATCCCTTTTTAAAAGCTCCACCAGCTCCTCTCAAACAGCTTTATTAATACCGTTCATGTCAGAGGAGAGTGCATGTCAACAGATCCACTGTGTTTCTCACTGTGGCGACATTGTTTACATCCTAAATCTGGGTCGCTGTTGTTGTCAGGGTTGATTGCAGAACACAAACACTGTCCAACAAGTTTATTGGGTCGATCTCACGTCGACCTTGTATTTGTGAGGGAGTAGATTTGATCTCTTTTGAGGTAATTAGCAATTGAGATGTTTATTTTGGTTGGTAAAAAAAATACAGTATGTATGAGTCAATGTTGTTTTCGTCAAATATTTTCGTCAACGTCAGCGTCAAAAAAGGGAAATATTTTCGTCAACGAGAACAACACTGGTTGTTTTTCGTTGACGAAAATATTTCCCTTTTCTTCCACAACAAAGACATAACGTTGACGAGCTAAACAGAAGTCAGAGATGACTAAAATGTGATGAGACGAAAGTGCGTTTACATTGATGGGACGAGACGAAAATGACAAACAGAGTTGCCAAATTCAGTCAGTTAAACGCTAAACATATAGGAGCAGCTTCAGTCCGCTCTGACAGCTCTCATCAGCCTGCTGTGCTCCTCCAACACGCAGACACACACACACATGCAGGCGCACGCACATACGTGCAGTTTTGTTTTCGTTGACGCATGGTTGACGAAAACAACACTGGTATGAGTGAAACAAGTCCATCAAAAATAACGAGTTTACTCCTGTCTACTGAGGTACTTTCATGTTTCCTCTGTATAACCCTGTGCTTGAGCTGGGCCACCATGATTTTAAAAATCTGGACACACCCCTGCCCTCAGCGGCTGTTTCAAGCATTAAGAAAAATGATTCTCTTCTCAATATGACTTTTCCAGCTCACACAAAAGTCATAATTTCGATTTTAGCTTGTTTTAAACCAGCAAAAACTACCTTCAGGCTCTTTCAACTGCCAAAAAACTGCACCAGTTTACTGTGATAACAATCGGCTGATGAATGATGATGAGGATACCGGTTAATTGCAGTCTTAAATGCTCAGGGAACTCTTTCACGCCATCCTAATCAAAAATCAAGGTTTCTTTATTTAGTTCCAAGGCTCATCCATCCATACACATCCTCCTGCAGGACATGAGCAATAACATTCCTTCACCAAGGAAGGAAAATCTCATGTTTTGGATACAAATCTGAGAGATCTGGAGTGAGACGTGCAAAGAAGCACACATGCACACATACAGTTATAATCCCTGCAGCAGCCATTACACTTTCTCCCCTGCCTCAGCATTTCCACTGCCTTTCATCACTGCTCTTTGGTCTGTAAAATGATCCTTTAGCTAAGTGCCCAAAGAGAATACCTAACCCTTTGTCCCCCTCCTCCTGTGCTCTTCTCCTTTTCCCTCCTCATCTGTTTGTTGTGCTGATTTATGGTGGAATAGGAGGCACAGGCCGGCAGATGAATGGAGAGAGGAGTCATTTTGTGATGGAAGGGAGGAAAGGAAGATGAAGGGATGGGGTTGGACCCCGTTCCCTGAGCCATTAGCGGGTATAATGAGACAAGTGAAAGGCTGTCACTCAAACTAATTGGTCACCTTGATTAGGGAGTCCGCTCACGCAAGTTTTGACTCGAGACTGATCGAGATGGAAGGTTAAAGCCGCCTCGTGAATAAAACAAAGAGACTCACATCTTCCTTTCATAGACTTCAAGTCAAATTCAAACGCAATATAACTCACAACTACAAGAATTTCAAATCTCTGCGACTCCTTTTAATGATCGGAACACTTTTAGTTGTAGTGCTTGTTAGGACAAGAAACCAATGTTATCAGTTCATTTGTATTTATGGTGAAGGACCATTTTTAAACGTGAAACCCGAGATAAGACAGGTTTTGTAGTGTCAAACTTCAAACAAACCACAGTTTGCTGCTAAGTTTGTCCAAAAGCTATTGCAGAAATTTCTTTGTTCAACATTTGATTCTATGGCGTACAGCCAAGTGGGGGAAATTTAGCTCACTCAATGCACAAGACCATGACCGCCCACAAACACATGCTACAAAAGAACAGCAAACACTAGAATAGTTTGTCAATAATGTGGCGCTGCATTTTGCTTATATTACCCTTATATACAGCGTTAAAGCCTGGGTTTAACCCACGCTTTGAACCATCATCTCTCACATGAGGTCAAAATTTCAATCATTAGATCGCCAAAGTAAAATGACACGTTAAAGGAGATCTGTTTGTTTATGTGCTACCCCTTCTACTACCATTTCTACTACATTTCTGCTTGATGAAATCAGTACCACTTGTACTATCCTTTATATTCCAAGATGTCTTCTTCACTGTCAATCCAATCCTGCTTTTGTCTGGTTTACTTCATTGGTATGAGACCCCAAAACAGGCTAATTTTCTCATGATGTACTCGTCATTAACAGATGTAAAGTTTGCAAATATAACATCATGATGCAGATTTGAACAAAGAGGAAAATCCAAACTTTGTAGCTCCTCAAGAAATTGGAAGCAGTACTTATAACTCATCATCAAATTTTCACTGACAGGACCTGAAACATCCTGACTGTGGGTTGCACTCATCATGTTTTTGTTCTACATTGGGACTGGTCACCTTGCAAAGCCTGCTGATGCATGATTGGTCCATACTAGTCAGACTGTCGATGTGCAACAAACAGAAACCAGAGCACTTCCCATGCTGTACATTGTGACCCTTCAACAGTTTTATGTAAAATCTGTGATTTAGCTCCATGCACGCCTCAGTTGAGAACACAAATGACAAACAGCTAGACTTTGCACAGCTTCCTCTTGAGCAACAAAAATATACATTTTATTTTCACAAATTTTGGAGTACTCCTTGTGTTGTTAGTCACCCATCTTTCACAGAAAAGCACGTTTGTTGCGTTTTTAAGTCAGCACTAAATCAAGAAGTGTTCCTCTCTAGTATGGAAGTGAAACTACTCTTGACAGTAATTGCCCCCTTATTTAAAAACATACGCTCTTTCACATGAACTATTTGGTAACAGTATGACCGATAAAATGACGTCAAGAGGAAGTGAAGAAGTTCCACATCTGCAAACAGATAGCTAAAAAAAAAAACAGGTTCACTTCCAGGTGCTTTGCTGATCTTTTCCAAACTTTAGACAACGCAGTAAAGGTGAAACAAAACATGGCTTGAATGTATGTTTTTTGTTCTATTGTACTAATTTTCCCTCGTCTCTGTTACAGAGTGTGTGGCATGATGAGTGGCAGCAACATGGAGCTAGACCGCTGCAGCCAACAAGGGTCAGCAGAGAGTCCTGCTTCATCTCTGCGGGGGTTGGGCAGTGCCAGTTTACCCACCGCCTCCACTGACAACCTGATCGCAGACTCTGGTACGTACTGCTTACTTTCATTAAGGCTGGGTAATGAGGATTTATTTGATTATCTTAAAAGGTGCGGGCTCCTTTACTCCAAGTAAAACACGGGATCAGATAAAGTTAAGTATTTGAAATAAATAGAGTTTGCTTCTTTTCTATAGATTTCATAGATGTGTGAATGGCTATAATCGGAGTGTATTGGCCTGCGAGTTATCTGTCTCTTTCTCGTGGCTGTTTTATCACTTTGGATTATAAAGACGTCTGTTGTCTGTGGTGAAACTGCAGCAGCTGTGAAAAGAGGAAAGGGAGCAAAGTAAGCTTTAATAACAACCGGCTGTCATCTTATCTCTTCCGCTTTTTTTTTTTTTTTCGATTTTGTTTCAGCGTTCATTTAATGACTGAGCTCATGGTTTCTACAACCGTCCAAACTCAGGATATATTAAGGAATGAGTGACATGACATGCATTCTCGGTTTTAAAATCATTGTCACTCTCCGCCTATCAGCTATAAACCTCCACGGCGCTCAGACGCTTGTTATCGCTGCAACTTCCTGGCAAATGTTGTTTGAAGAGATAATTATGGGCTCTGATAACGAGGGCTTGGCTACATCCTACAGAGTGTGTGTGTTTTTTTTTTTTTTACTTAGTCTTCTCCGTCTGTGAAAGCAGTTATTGAAGTCCGCACCGTACAATTATCTCAGTATCTGTCTCCTCTGTTGCGATGTCAAGTTTCAACTCTAAGTCTTTAATTGACAAATGGATAATAATTGGATGGAAGATGTTTTGAGTGTCAGCTTGACTCCTGGATTGTGGAAATGTTCGGCTCTTCAGAGGATAAGAGGTATGAGTTTGTAGTGTGGCACTTAAGTTGTAGGCAGGAACAGAAGGGCTGTAGTGAATAAATTAAATTCACAGATGTCTTACATTATTTAATCAGCCAGTCAGTACTTTGAGGTTGAAGGGAATAAGCCAACAGAGACACTGAAATACAAGAAACACTGAATTGAGTATCAAAGTCTTCAGATTGTTTTTATCTAACTTGTGTCGTATGTCTGTGTTTTATTTTAAAATCCACATTGATCAGTTTATTAAAGCTCCTTGGGGGAACATTTAGTTTGTGATGGTTCTGTGGTGAAAGTGATATCTCTTTATCGCTCATCCTGTTCATGCGAACCAAGTGTTTTCAGACAAAAACCTCATCCTGTTGAAATTGATCGCTCACTTTGACTACCTGTTGTGTAATAAGTCTTAAAAGGCTGGTTTTTAAGCTTACTGTCAATCAGGTGGCCTGACACCTACCTCCACACGATTTTAAAGCATTAAAACTTCACTGATTCACAACGCTGACATGAACGTTTCTGCCAGTGTCGACGGCCAGAGGTGAAAATGTGCGAGACTTCTGTGTGGATTGTTTTGATACGATGTGTGTGATCAGGATGGTCCTAACCTTGCTTTTGCTGTTGGGGAGGAATCCCTGTTATTTGGGGGTTTGACCAATCAGAATCAAGAATTTAACAAAGCCATGTTATAGGTAATGGCATTTTTTCTTGAGTTATGCTGTTAGAGTTACCTCAGAAGTCAGATGTCGGAGCTGAAAATGCCTCAGATTTTTCCAACATGGTAAATGAAACACTGAGAACTTGGGTCTGACGTCATTTTCAGCTCGGACTTCTGACTTCCGAGGTAACTCTAACGCAGCATTGGTTATGCTGATTGTTGCTACAGTTGAGACTTTAATTATCTAGATCCAACATTACGCTGACGACTTTATCTTTTATCTTGTAGGATCTCGAGATGCTTCGCGGATGTCATGCTCCTCTCCATTTACCAGGAGTCCAGCTGCCTCAGCTCCTGCATCTCCTCACCCGCCCTCAACCAACAACTTAAGTAACCAGCCGCCTCCACTCCCAGAGAAGAAACTGGTCAATCGCACCGTGTCGGCTCCTGATAGCACTAATGGAAAACCCTTCATCCGAGCCTACCCACGTCTCCCATTCACAGGCTCAGAGACCAACGTTTGTCGACCTGCTGATGTGGCCTCCCGGTCCAGTTTACCGTCCAGCCCTGTTGATCCTCGACCCATTTTCTCTTCCAATGAGTCCCTGGAGAGGTGCCATGCCGTGACGGGCCGATCCTCAAGGTCCCGTACTCTGGACGAGCCTCTGAAGACTCATGGGCGCCTGGGTGTCCACTGCAGAAGCAGCATCACCTGCTCCTCTTCCCCTCAACTCAGTGTCCCCTTCTCATCTTCAGAACCAGGTCTGGCACCAAATTTGGGCTCAAGCCTGCAGCTCCAGACTCTTCTAAGTAATATAGACAGCAGGGAGGGAGTGTACTCCAAACTGGGAGGCCTGTACGCCGAGTCCCTGAGGCGCTTGGCTCTGAAATGTGAGGATCACTTTACTCGCTCCCAGAAGAACACACTGAGGTTTGAGGATAGTAGTTGGTCTCTCTTCAGGCTCACCTCCAACAAGACCAGCTGCAACGCTGGAGATGCTGTGTACTACCCTGCTGCCTGTGCCTCAGATCCCAGCAACTCCTATGCTGTGAAGGTAAACCCAAAACACTGGTCATTGTTATTTCATAGTGTCCTGTCGTTTGAACTTTTCAGTTTTGTGTAGATGGTCCACAGTCCGATTAAAATTCAGCGTTTGGATACTAGCTGCCATTAAAAAGTAGCATTTTCGGCTAACTTACAGCTTATTCTGTCTCTCTCCTCTCATGTTTGAGGAGCACTCTGCACAGTAGGTGTTGTAAATTGATCTTTTAAGAAGAGATTTGACGGTTTAAAGATTGAATTAAAGGATTGAAACAGGGCGGCGGTCTTGCTTGTTCTTCGGCTGGAGATGGGATGACCGGACTGCAGCACAAATCTTCAGGGAATGTAGTGTAAACAACCAGGAAAGAAGGGTGTGGATTCAGTCCCATTGACCTTTGTACAAAAGTCATGTGCTGTACAAAGCAGCGGTTGTTTGTACAGTGAGTGTTGTGCCACGGCGTGTGTGTGCCCACACTCTTGTGTAATATCTCAAGGCCCAATTAATCTTTGGATTCCAGGCGGGATTTACAGTCGGACAAGCCCCTGCTGCAAGGCCACACACGCAAACACACACACACTGATACACACTTGTGGTGTAACAAATTACAGCAGAAATCGGTTTTTGGGAGTGTGCCAATTCAGAGGAACACAAGCTTTTTTTAAATCTACGATTAGGACATGCTTAGATTTTATTCTATTAACTTAAATATGGCAAAGTTAACGTGTTGTATTATGTTGTGTTTAATCCTGTCAAATCATATGAAACCACATAGTATCAAAATTATATTATTAAATTTAGTCCGATTAAAGGGATATTCCGGCGTAAAATTAATTTAGGGTCAAACACACTGTAACACAAAGTTAGACACCCCCTTGAGAGATGAATGTTGCAGACCGCTTGCTTCTCTAGTTATACCAACTTAAGTAACAACCGCACGATAGCAATACACAGCGGTCTGAGGAGACATAAACAAACCTTAACCGAAACGCCACTCTGTAGCCACAAATAATGTTCAGAACAGCACCTAACTTCATCAACAGTAGATAGATGGTCCCAGCCACAGCACTAGCCACCAAACATCTTTTTAACTTTGCCTAATTTCTTTAGCAAAGAGACTAAACACAACTCACCTACTCTCTTCTGGCAGCCGCTTGTTTGTACGGAGACCTTAAGCAAGTCCAAACTGACTGCAGCGGGGTGACGCAGCTCAAGGAAGAACATTTATGATTATAATTTTATCATTTCCCTGAAGTAATAATCATCTTATTAATCATGTTGCACTGCAGACGCGGTAGTTCTTCTGCCTTAGCGTCTGGGTCTGATTGCATTTCCATGAAGAAATGATCATAAATGTTCTTCCTTGAGCTGCGTCACCCCGCTATAGTCCGTGATGGACTGGTCACGGTCTCGCTAAAAACAAGTGGCTGCTTGAAGAGAGTAGGTGAGTTGTGCTTAGTCTCTTTGCTAAAGAAATTAGGCAAAGTTAAAAAAAAGATGTGTATTGCTATTGTGCGGTCTTTACTAAAGTTGGGGGAGTGTAACTCAGTGTTACGGTGTGTTTGACCATAAATTACTTTTACGCCGGAATATCCCTTTAATTGGTGTCTTTTTTAAATGTATCATATTATATGTCAAGCAGTGTAGATTTCATTGTCTTGTATTGTTATTTTTTGACACTTTCCAATACAGCACTGAATGGCCAGACTCTTTCAAATACACTCAACGTAGAATGACATCATCCGCAGAAATAATTATGGATTAACATGTCGGCAAACTTCCACTGTGTTTCCCAAATGAACTCTAACCCCATGCGGGAAGGTCTTAGTCAAAGTAATCACAAAAAGAGATTATATTTGTAAATCTGATTCCTGGGGCAGAGCGAAGCAATAATCAGGCACTATTTCACATTTGATTTCTAATGAAAGCTTTTACTTCAGCTTTGTTAGCTTTCGTATTCAAATGGCACACACCTCGGGCTTCAGCAGTACACAGGCTGAGTCTAGTTCCTGCACCAGCAGTGACTAAAAAGCTCTTTAGTTGTGGTTGAGATTTAAAAAACACCAAAATATTGAAATAGAGAGAAACTGAATTGTCTTTTTCTTTTCTTTGGCTTCATCCTCCTCCTCTCCCTGTTCCTGTCTCTCCAGATTTGTAAGACTCCGTCCGCCGAGGCCAAGCAGGGTCATCTCTACAGTCTGTCGGTGCTGCAGAGCATGCCGCCCCACTTCAACCTGCAGCAGGACTGTGGGCACTTCCTCGCCTGCGTCCCCCAGAGCATGTTGCCACCTGAGGAAGTCTCCGCTCAGCTGTCCGCACCTTCAAAAGCACGCCACACTGACCAAGAGCGAGTGGTGGTGATAACCTCAGAGATCCCTCAACAGACAGCGGCTGATTTCGTCAGAGAGTGGCAAGCGTTCCATAAGACTCAGCCTGAGGTGTATGAGCGCCGAGTGTGCTTCCTCCTTCTGCAGCTTTGCAATGGACTAGAGCACCTGAAGGAGCACGGGGTCACGCATCGAGACCTCTGCCTTGAAAATCTTTTACTGGTGCCTCATCAGCGAAAGCCATCACAGATCCTCCAACAGAACGCCAACAACGACAACACCAGTAACGGTTCCAGTGGCGTGGATATCCGGCGTCACCTTCCCCGGCTCCTCATCAGCAACTTTGCGAAAGCCAAGCGTCGCTCCTCAGAGGACGCTGCAGCAACGACAGTCGATCCTCGCATCAAGCGCGACCACGCAAGATTGGCACCTGAGATCCTCTCTGCGGCTCAGTACCGCAAATTTGACGAGTTTCAGACCGGCATCCTGATCTACGAGCTCCTCCACCAACCTAACCCGTTTGAGGTGAGTCCAGCTCTGAAGGAACAGGACTACCGCTGCGAGGACTTGCCTTCCATCCCCTCTGTCTCCCTCTACTCATCTGGCCTCCAGAGGCTCGCCCAGCTGCTCCTCCAGCCTGACCCCATCAAGCGCATCCACATCCAGGAGGCCAAGCGCATCCTGCAAAGCCTGCTGTGGGGCCCCAGGAAGGACCTGATGGAGCAGCAGTGGGAGAGACACGGACACGGCGGTGGGGGCTTCGCGGGCGGATCGCGACACGAAGGGCTCCTGAACTGGCTGGATGTGAAACGGGCGCTGCTGATGATGAAGTTCGCCGAGCGTTCCCTGGAGCCCGAGAGGAACGCAGAGCTGGAGGACTGGTTGTGCTGTCAGTACTTTTCCACCGCTCACCCTCTGTCTCTCTGCCACACCGCTGAACTGCTGTACTCGCTAAAGTGATGGCCGAAAAACACTGTCGCTGTACGTGTGAGAAAGACCGATTTTGTCGAAATTAATGTCAAAACACTATGGATGGGTCTTTCGGAGAAACTGTGAACCTCCCCACCTTTTTGTGCTACTTCTACGTGCATGAGCACATAGCAGCGAGCTAGCCGTCCACTATCAGTATCCTGCTCCAGATCGTCAACTTAGCAAAGTAGAGACCTGTGAGAATCAGCTGTTTCTTTTGTGTCACATGGACAAAATCACTAAACCACTTGCTTACTGACTACTGATGCTGCGCTCAAACAAGGACGACATGGACAGCATTCATTATTCTTTAACACACTTACCAAAGTTTCATGTTTGACACTGTACCGTGTGTATTTATTCTTAGAAGTTGAGACATTTTACCCTCTAAGATAAAGGCTAATTATTCATAACCTCTGTGTCTGCTAAATACGCAAAGTATGCCGTGTGTTATCAACATCAGTGTGCAGCTAACTTTTGTTTTGTTTAATATCTTACGGAGTAATATGACACCCCCTCGCAAGCTAACACAGTCGCATCTTCTCCTGTCATGTTTATAAATGAGTACATGGTGCTATAGACGGTGTAAACGACACAATTCAGCTTTTTAAAATCTAAATCTATGATGAGAACGGTGCAGCCTCCTTCGGTGTGAGCACACATGCAATCCTCTGCAGTTGCTTAATCAAGATTAGTATAGATTAATCAAAAGTCACACCCTCTGACTCAACTTCGCAGCAAAGGGATTTACCAAACATTAGCAAGGTGAGCGATTGCTCCCTCCTACTGAAAAGATGCCCAGTTTTTTTCCTTGTGCTTACCCTGCGTACATATTTAAACATTTCGACATTCGTCATAGTGCCTTTTGTTCTTTGTTATGTACATGTGTATCAGTGACTCTGAAGCCAAATGTAAATATTACGAATCATTCGTCCTTTGTGAAACTGGCCTTTCACAGAATGTTCTAGAAACAGTTTTGTACAGTGATTTGTAGATGATAATAGATGAAAAAAAATGAGCCCAAGCAGGTCTTAAAAGCCATGAATATGTGCAGCAGTTAAAAAAATATTTATGATAATTTGTTATTAGTGGTGGTCACTGGAACTCTTGTTTATTTTCATGTGTATTATCAAGTTGTGTGTTTTCTTTTTTCTGCAGAACAACCAATAGATGTTTGAAAAAGTCAAATTGTAGCCAGAATTTACCGGCCTGCATGCAGGTTTCTGTCAGTGACTTACCTATCAGTGTCAATACTGGGGAGGAAAAAACACGGTCAAGCTCACAGCTAATACATACTTGATTTGAATTATTTTGTGTGCCTCACCTATTGCATCTATCAATAAACTGTGCATATATTTTCTCACAGTCAAATCTGGAGTTTTGATCTTTTTTTATAAATATGGTTCAATGAAAATCACCTGCTTACTATTTATATATCATCCCATCCAACACTGTACAGATATATCTTTTAACTTGAGGTTTAACTACCCTAAATAATTCACTTTTTTAGGTGTCTTAATATTTCATTGTGGTTTCTTATGGGGGTATAGAGGCGATTTGTGCTTTTTCAAGTCTAAAAAAACTCAAAGGAAAGCTCCTTCTGTTTTGTTTTTAAAGGCGGCGCACTGCATGGATCAAGCCAACAGGTTGAACATGTTTCGGAATCTCAATTTGAGTTTGGAGCCTCAGGGCAAAACAGACCCCAGACTTCACCCCCTCCTCTAACTCCCCCCCTATGTAGCTTTTCTGCTTCACGTCGCCCCTTCAAAACCCCTGGCTGCCTCCTTGTCATAGGTGGAACTATGTTGCTATGGTGTTCTGACCAATGGAGTGGCATTTCCAGGAACGCAGCCGGTCTCTGTCTCCCTCTCTCATTCACACTTACAGACACATACACACACACACATGCAGACTCACTGGGCGAAGCAGCCTGTTGAGCAGGAATCCAAATAACCCCCTGGTAACAACAGCAAGGCTCCCTTCTTTGTTTGTCTGGTGAACACCGTCGGGTCAGGAGGCTGCATACTTTATTCCCGCAAATATGCATCCCTGCACACCGACTCCATTCAGCGATGGACCTGAGGAGAGAAAAACAGACCACAGCTAAAAACCTCCTGCAGCTCAAGCATGAAAGTGGCTTAAACTACCTGCTGTGAGGGACATTATTTAACACAAAACATAGCAGACAGTTCAAGGGGAAATACACTGTAAAAACAGCCCAGGTAGTTACTCAGTGGTTTGTTTTTGATTGTCAAGAAGAGAAAAGATGAACATCAAATCTTCCTATTTGTTTAAATGGAGCTCAGTGTGCTCACAGATTTTCTACCATCCACACTTTTACTGATTTGAATGAGAAAGTTGATCTCATTGGTGGTAGAGTTTGGTTTTGAAAGTGTTTTTTGTGGAAAAACAAGATTAGTAAATGAGTAAATGTCGCCCTTGTCCCTAAAAAACACATATCTATAAGTGTAGTCGAGATCTACCTGGAAACTCAATCATGATACTTCCTGAAATGACAGGCGTGAAAACATTTAAGTATTCCTAAATGCTGCACAAGCTGGCACCCTCCACAAATTTCACTCATGCTTATGTATTCAACCCATTACTGGTTTGAATATTTCATGCCCAGGGCCGGCTGAGCAGGCGCAAAGGAGGACCATCTAGGAATTCTCCTAAAAAAAATAAAACGTCTTTATACAGCAGCGTGGCCAGCTGCTGATTTGACATTAGCCGGAGGAACCCAAACGCAGACGTGTGCCAGCTGCTGAGAGGTCCCCTGTCTGGGTCCTCACTGATCCAAATCCATGTTTTAACCTCACAGCCTGAGGATTTCTGCTCACCCCTGTCTCTGAGGCCAGTTGCTAAAAAAAAAAAGGGGATCTGGTCCAGATTAAACCGAATTTTGAAAACTGGGTGTTAAACATAAGAAAGACTTTTGATATTAGATAAGTATTGAGAATTAAATCTTTATTTTTATCCAGATAAAAGGCCAAGAACATGTTGTTCAGGCCTTTTGAGGATTAGGATTATTTATATCAACAGTCAGCAATATCCAGATCTAAACAGAGGGGTGGATACAGGCGAGATTACAGGAACAAAGTGTAATTCAAGTTTGAACTCAGTCAAACAATACCAAAGTTTTACAATATCCACATTTCTAACCTTTCTTTTATGTCTTCAATAGCTGAAACTCTGCAGTGACATACTGTGTATTTAAAGGCACAGTACATAGTCGTCCCTCCATGTCTACATGCTGTGATTTTAAAAAGGTACAAAGGGAAATATTTCACCAAACAGTTGTCGATGTCAATCACATTTACTTCAAAGATGATATGTGGAATATTTTCATTTCTGTGGATTGCTTTTCCTCACATGTACAACATAATTATTGTAAAATCCAGTTTTGTTTACTGCCAATCCAAACTTGGTTATAATTATGAGTCTTTTCAGCAGATTTATAGATGAGGGTTAAGACAAATCCAGTTTTCTGTTTCTGAATACTTGAACAAGTACAAAATGATCAGATCCTGGATAGCAAAAAAGCACATATTCAAATATAGATTATTCTGATCCAGATTAGACCTTTTGAACAACCTGGACCAGCTCTTGTAATGAATCTACTCCAGTTGTCTGTCCTGAGATTGTTTATAACATGTACAGTACAGGCCAAAAGTTTGGACACACCTTCTCATTCAATGCATTTTCTTTGTTTTCATTACTATTTAAATTGTAGATTCTCAGAACTATGAATGAACACATGTGGAATCTTGTGCTTAAGAAAAAAGTGTGAAATAACTGAAAACATGTATTATATTTTAGATTTCTTAAAGTAGCCACCCTTTGCTTTTTTGATAGCGCTGCAAACTTTAGCTGTTCTCTCAATGAGCTTCATGAGGTAGTCACCTGAAATGGTTTTTACTTCACAGGAGTGCCTGAAGTAACCCTGACAAGGTACTTCTGTCATCAAGAGCAAAGAGTGGCTATTTTAAAGAAACTAGAATATAAAACATGTTTTCGGTTATTTCACACTTTTTTTATAAGTACAAAATTCTACATGTGTTCATTCATAGTTTTAATGCCTTCAGTGACAATCTACAATGTAAATAGTTATATAAAAAAAAAAGAAAAGACATTGAATGAGGAAGTGTGTCCAAACTTTTGGCCTGTACTGTATCTGGGGTAACATTCGCAGATACTGCAGCTGCTTTTACACCTTCATAGAGTCGTCCTCTATCGCTTTTACACACTCTTTGTGTCAAAACTGCAGATTTCTTCAGGTGTGCTCTGCTGCCTGCTGTATTCTTGTTGCTAATGACAACCATGCTGATGTACAGATATGCCACAGGCAACAGAATGCCTTATCTCACCAAACCAGAGAGTGTACCATAGGGATCCACAGAGGTTACACAGGACAGAGAACCCTGTGATTTGCACCGCTTGACTTCTGCACACGCATCCTTTTACAAGGTTGTAAAGGCCTTTTGCTAGTCTCAAACTAAAACATGCCAACTGCATCTCACATGAACCTTTTCCATTAAGTGAAAGCTGTTCAATCTATCTCCATATTAAACTCTTGCAGTCCTGCTTCACTTCTCCCAACCTCCTCACTCTCCCTCCTAGTCCTTCACACTCCACCAGCCCTCAAACTCTTGTCAATACAACCCTCCTGCTGTATTGTTGGAATCATGTTCAAGTCCTTGAGCCTGTGTGTTCTGCCCCACAAGCACTTCCCCTCCTGTGGCGCTGCTTTTGTTATTCTGCAACAATGAGGCCCATGAATCTTTAATAAAACAGAAAGCAGCCTTACCACTGGCAAAAGTAATCCTCAAATCAATAAGCTATAGTATGAAGAGGAGGACTGCAGAGGAAAGCACTGCACATAAAAGCTACTTAAAGCTAAGCTTTCTCAAGGTCCAAACCAACCCAGTCTTGAGCATCAGAGGGCTGAAAGCACCTGAATTAAAAGACTGTTCATTTTTATGATCAGCATTATGATCCAAAGCATAGTTACTCCCTGCAAAGAGTGGTTGAATTTTTTTATCCAATCTGCAGTTTAAATTAAAAGGGATATTAAAATTAAGTTAGGGTCAAACACACCATAACACTGAGTTAGACACCCCGTCGAGAGATGAATTGCTTCTCTAGTTTCAGTACCAACTTTAGTAATGACCGCAACACAACTCAGGCCCTCTCCTCCAGCAGCCACTTGTTTGTACAGAGGCCTCGAGGAGTCCATTGACTGCAGTGGGGGTACGCATTTCAAAGAGGAATCTTTATGATCATTTCTTTATCATTTCCTTGAAGTAATAATCATTAATCATTTTGCACTCGCTACATACAAGCGGCTGTTTGTTGATGTTTGGTGGCTAGTGCTTTGGCTAGGACCGTATATGTACTGTTGATGAAGTTAGGTGCTGTTCTGAACATTATTTGTAGTTATAGAGTGGTGTTTTGGTTGAGGTTTGTTTGTGGCTCAGACTGCTGTGTATTGCTATCCTATGGTCATTACTTAAGTTGGTATAACTAGAGAAGCAAGCAGTCGGCAACATTCATCTCTCGAGGGGGTGTCTAATTCAGTGTTACGGTGTGTTTGACCCTAACTTAATTTTACGCCAAAATATCCCATTAAGCATTAATACTTTCACCATCAGATTTGAAGATACGGTTTGTAAGCCAAGGCATGTAGGTGTAGCTCACAAAGAATATGTCCCAAAAATGTCATTTTTTCTCCCATAATTGAAATTAAAAAAGTGAATCTATATACTGTAGATTTATAACACACAAAGTGAAGTATTTCCAGTAATCTTGGTGATGATGGCATATAACTCACAAAAATCCTTTCTTAAAACATTAGAATACTAAGGAAAAGTTCAGTTTGTTGTCAGGTATTTCAATCCTGAAAAAAAAGCTCTAATCAGCTGATTAACTCCGAACGCCTACAAAGGTTTTTGTGAGCCTTTACTCCCTAACTCTGGTTCAGTACACACAACCACAATTGTCGAAATAGTTTCCTTTTTCCAGCATTATTGCCTGCCCCAACTCACTCAAGCCCCGGAGATCAGCAGAGAACACTGGAGACAAATCAGTTTGCTTTTGATTTCCTTTTATTGGTGATGGTTGTCAGTAGCAGAAGCAGGTTGATAAGCTCTAAGGAAATAAATGAAAAATCAGGCTGTCATTAAGTAGGCCCAAAATAAATCAACTCCTCAATACTCATTTCAAATGGGTTATGTTTAAGAATTAATTGAAACGCATGGATAAACTATCAATTATTTAAATGTTTCAAATCATTTCAATTTAATCTCAAAATCAATTTGGCTTCTGAACAGTTTTCAATCGTTATACCTGCTTGTTTTAAATCATGTTAAATGCGTAATGTAATTAAATTTAACTAATCCACTTTAACTTCTTTTAACCAATTAATAATTTAGGAACATTTCAAACTTAATATTTAATGTTGTGGTCAATTTAAATAAAATCATCTCACTCTATGATGGTTTACATGAATTTAAAACTATGAAAGAGACCAAAAATAATCCTAAAAGTGTCAGATCTAATCCACCAGGGCCACTTAACACAATATATTGAATGCACAGGGCTTAAATTATCAGTAAATATAAACATTTTATTTCTTAATTTGATTGAAATTAAGATTTCCTCACCACTGGCGTCTCTGAGGTCTCCTTGCAGTGATGCCACCAAACTCTCTCCCTGTGGAACAAAAGGGTGACACACCTGTCCCTGAGTCTCCTTAGTGCCTCAGCCTGACCATCTCCCACTCTACCTGCACTCCACCTGGCCTGCTGTGACAAACCTCTGCAAAATAAATCTAAACAGTCACATAAATGCTAACAGAGAATCTCTCAAGACTGTTCTGACAACGATCATGGGGAAAACTGTTGACTTGACAGTTGTCTAAGATGATCATTGAACCCCTTCATATGGAGGGTAAGCCTCAGAGGGTCTTTGCTGAAAATGCTGGCTGTTCATAGAGTCTGTATGGACCTTGATGAAAGCCACAAGCCGAAATGCGTCAGTCTAATAAAGTTGTTTCCTGAACTAAAAGTGTTGCTGGAGCTCTTTTGTTTAGCATATTCATGGAAAGTCAATGTGGCCTAAAGTCTACCAGGAGATTTTAAAACACTTCATGCTTCCATCTGCTGAGAAGCTGAAGATATAAACTTCCTTTGAAAGCAGAACCTGGCACCTTCACACAAGGCCAGAATTACCAGAAAGTGGTCTGCAATGGAGTCGAGCTGAAGAAGGTATGAAAGCAACCTGGGCTCCGATAACACCCCTGCAGAGCCACAGACTGAATTTGATTTTTTTTAAATCTTTTTATTTTCGATTTTACATTTGAAAATAGGAATTACTCCAGCTGTCTGTTATTGAAGCCCAGGCTGTCTGAAAGCAACCTGGACTTCAATAACACCCCAGCAGACTAAATTTAAAAATAGGAATTATAACAATGACCTGCAAAACTGAGATTTAACACAAATATTTTTAGACAGCTTGAAACTTTTAATATTATTGGTAGTATGCTGACACCTAGTGGCTGACTAAGAGAATTACAGAAATACTGCAGGTCAACTTTTCTCACTAGTTTTTTAGAATGCTGCAGTTCAATTCTGGCTACATTTTTAATTGACAACAATCTTGTAAAATCTAGATTTTCTCACGTTTTGTTTATTCAAAACTATCTCTGATATGTTATTTTACTTTATCGTCACCCTATTAAAATAATGGCTTACGTCATTTTTTGACAAAACAGGCAATTAGGCCATTTTCAACAAAGAAAATTGCCTAAATTTAGGCGATTTTCCCAGAGATGGCTAACATTATCAAGAGATGATTTAGGCCAAAAACTCATCAAAAAATGACTTCATTTTAATTGGGCCATTATTTTGATAGGGTGACGATATTACACTTATGCCTGACAGAAAAAAATAAAGATCTACAGCAGCTTATACTACTGCTAGTACATTTTTGAAGCATTTAGTGCTGTTTAAAAGTGGCAACAAATGCACGCTGAGGCAGACGGTGATTTGCCAAACTTTATTTGTAGATCAAAACAAAGCACAGCATTAAGACAGTTCACCACTGTAATGACATTCACCCACTGTCTGAAGTGTGTGAAAAAGATGCAGTCAAGCACTTTTGGCTTAAGATCATGCTCAGAGTTAACGTTAGTCAAACTAGTCTGATTGGTCATGAAATCTAATCCACCTTTTTTTTTGTTGTGATTTTACATCGCAATCAAAAAGTTGAATTCATCATGCCAAAGCTGAAGCGGACACGGACGAAACGGTATACACAGAACGTCCGAGTTTGTGATGCGATCAGTCATTCATTAGATTATGTGTTCGAGAAAGAGAAAGAGAGCGAGAGAGAGAGAGTGTGTGTGTGTGTGTGTGTCTCAGATGACTTGTCGGTTTGCAGCTTGTGATACAGTGGAGCACCAGGTCCTCAGGCAGGACGCAGGTGAGATCAGCCCAGGTAAGGGGAGGGATGCAGGAGAGAGGGGAGATTTTGGAGGTTCAGGTTCGGAGTCTGGGAATAAAGGGGGACCTAAGGGAGGGGCTGATTTCGAGGCTTTGTGTTCATTTCTTCTTGGGTTTTGCCTCAAGGGGTTGGCCAATATCCTTCCCGCGCAGTTTCATCCCTGATGACAACAGAGTGAGAACATGTGGGTCTGACAGCCATCACCTGAGGCCTGATGTGGTTATTCCATTCAAATGCTTTTCTTACCAATGGCTCTCTCGATCTTGCCCATGACTTGGTTGTTGGGGATTGCTCGCCCACATTCATAGTCTGCGATGACTTGAGGCTTCTCATTAATTTTCTGGGGGGAAAACATCGGCCATAAATAGTTTAGAAGTGGACTCAAACATTTTCGATGGGATTTCATCTCCTTTCAGGGGTGGATGTTTTATTGATGCAGAGAACAACACAGATGTGTTTCCAAATGACCTTCTTAAATCACCTTCTTATGAGTCAGTATGTTTTACTGATCACAGCGACATTTGTGTCAAAACTTCTGATTTTTTTGGATCAGAAGCAGTTTGATTTGCAAAAGAACCTCTTTTTCAAGGTAAGATCACCAGGGTTGAAAGAAGGTGGATAATTTTCCAAACTAAAAAAAAGAAGAGGAATAAGACAGGATGAAGCCATCGTATGGTCCATACAAAGAGTGCAGCGCCATAAAGTGTCTGTGGTTTCACCATTTGACATATAACCATGCAAACTTTTGTTGGTTGTTTTGGTGTCTAATATGAGAATACATTTTTGTTACTAAACCAGTTCTCACTTCCCATTTGTACACTGGGACAAGGACAGTGTTCCCGTTAAACTGCCTGATCAATCTGTAACTGCAGCTTGGCTTAACTGCACGTATGTATGTGAACATCCTGAGTGGGGCAGCCTCAACCTCAAACACCCTCACAATTTGCAGGAATGCACCGCTGAGTCTGTAAGAGCAGAGTTTGAGAGTGGGCATATGTGACTTTGTCACGCCTTGCGCTGTCCTACTGTCAAATCATAAAGCCTATGGCTGCTCTGATGGAGACTTTGGTTGTGTCCGAAATGAATCACTCAATCCCTAACTAACCCTAACTAATGGGGTCTTACTATATAGATGACTATGTAGTGACTCAATCACCAGAGGTTTCGGACACTACATGGCACTACATGCATGACGTGATGCCCATCACCGGTGAGTGACCATCGGACGGTCACTACATTTTGCAATGCTATATGGGAAATTTTGACTCGCCCATACTGGGCACTGGAATTGATAACTCAGGTTTTGGACACCCCTCAAAATGGTGCTAACGCCCATATAGTTGCCTACATAGGGGTTAGGGATCCATTTCGGACACAGCCTGTAAGACACCAAAGTTTGCCTTTTCTGGGACTTACCCAGAATTCACAGCAAGTTTTATGGTGAAAAGAGCTCCTCACTAAATATAACTAAATGTTGGTTTGTTTAAATAGGGTTCAATTAAGTTTGAAAGCCTGAATATAAACAGAGCAACTGGGTGTGACATTATAAGAATGTCGGAGCTCCAGGGTGGAGATGGCGTTTGGCTTTTGTAGGTTTAAGGTTTTCACATATTTTTAAACTAACTTGTTCTCCAAAACAAGAATACAGCGATTTCACCCTCCATACGTACAGTGGCCAGGTCTTTCTGGGTCAATCCTCTCTCCTGTCTGCCCTTTTGGATCACCTTGCCCACCTCCAGAGGGACCCTGTCATGGTGCAGCTCCTCTGTCTCACGGTCCAGTTTGGCTGTGTTCTTTGTCACGGGATGCTGTTTGTTCTGCCCTGCAGACCCTGTGTGACAGTGTTGTTTTGATAGACACGTGAAAACATGATCCCAACACAGGCTATTTAATCATTTACAGCTCGTCAAGTTTCTCTAACAAATGTTATATCTTGGGGAAAAAAGGAATGTGTGAAGTAAAGTCTAGAAAAATGAGGACACTATGAGTGAAATACTTTCAAAGAATAAATTTACATTTCTTGGTTGTCTCAATGTCCTCCCCACGTCTCTGAGCAGAGGTGATAGCCTAGAAAATAGATAAACAGGGACAAATCTTAATCTACAGCAAGTATTTTAGTTTGATAAACAGCACAGTGCATTATAGCCAGAGAGAGCAATTCAGGCTCTCTTTATCAACCCTGGGGTTAATGAATAACAAAACTGCTCAAGCCGAAGCAGGACAAGTAAATCAAACAAAAGACAACATGAAGACTCTCATCGCAGTGCAATATATCAGCTGAAACTGTTTAAAGGGACCAGTGATAACATTATAAACACCCAGGCAACCTGATGCAATCCAATGCAACAGCTGTAACCCTAGTTCTGTTTACACAAAGCTTCTAAATTATCAGTTTCTGTTGACTGAGTCAGGCAGGTGATTATTGCACTTTGATTTTATTATAAAACACACAGTGGATGGCGGTTGTGAAATGGGGTGTGTTGTACTGAAAGGTGTGCCCACTTCCTTATAATCATGATCACAAACATCCTGAAGATCAAGAACAACTATTAACAGCCTGACCATGTCCACAAGAAATCAAATGTACAAGTTTTGTGAAAGTAGAATTAAAGGCACAGATGTTGTTTTCGGTTGCATCAGACTGACTCGGTGTTTAACATCAATTTCAGCATTTAACTGTTTAATTTAAAGCTTTCTCTGTTGATGTTTGTGATATTTCTTTAATAATGTTTATGAAGTGTGTGATGGTCTTTGTGAACATGTACCCATGTGTTTTCAACGCACATGCACGTCGCACACGAATTTGCAGCATTTCTACCCAAAAAGTAGACACTTAAGAGTTGTCTACTATCATCTTCAGATAACTATATATAAAAATAGTTTGACAAAAAGATGATGAATCGTTTTTTACTCTCTAACAGAAAGTAGGACAGCCCAGTCCGAGTGAAAATGCCAGGATGAGGTTAGTGTGAGCAAAAGAAAGTATAAAACTGAAAAGTAATGAGCTCTCTGTTTCACTTTCACCATTTATTTTACCCATTTTGCTTGACCCTAAAGCGAAGGTACCAGACTAGTGTGTTGTTTTGGTGACTAAAAGGTGGTAGAACTAGTTATTTAGCAAACTAGCACGTCCCGAGTTCATTGTTGTTGTTCTACGGAACGACGCACGTTAAACCGTTAAAGTCCGTTAAACCGTCTGTTAAATACGATACTCGACCCTCAGCTGCTTATAAAGCTAATACAAATGACGCATGTTACAAAAACGTCTAAATATAACCATGTAAGAGTGAGGAAAGAAAAAAGGGGTCCATGCTAACCTGTTTGGACTTGGCCTGGGCAGCGGTCGGGCCCTTCTTCCTCAGAATAGTCACGGTGTCCCAGTCACTCTCCGCCATCGTTTCAGGGCTTCACTCGATATACCCGTGTAAAGTTTAATACAGATACAAAAATAAATTCAACGCAGTGTGTTACAAAGATCCCTTTAAAAAAAAGGGGGTTAGTGCTACTTCAGCGTGTCAGAGCTTCCTTCCAGAAATATCACCCACGCGCTTTGCCAAAGCTTTATTTAAAACTGTGATTAACAGTTACAAAATGGAGCGGCGTCGTCGTTAGCAGCGCCCTCTACAGGCGGCGCACACTGACCTACATCCACACAGACCGAGTGAAGAGTCTGGTCGTCTACTCTAAACCTGAACGCCTGGTTGCCTATTTTGAACACACATTACACAAGACAGAAAATTAAAAGAGACACATGAGTATGGAAGTAAACCTGTGCCATCTGAATTTTTTTTGCATCACAATCAGACTTTGAATCTCAAAACCATTGAATTTCAAGCACGCATTTTTATTTCTGACACTTTTTTTTTTTTACAATGATGGAATAAATTTGGTGTAAAAAAATACTGGTCTCTTAAAATATTTGTTTAGTGAAAATTCGACTTAAAAAACTGTGTAAAAAAATTCCACAAAAAAAAAAAATTCAGTGTAAAAGAGACTGAGGCTGTGTCCGAAATGGATAGTTATCTGTGCATTTAATATTATTTTCTTGTTTTAGTCCATCAGGTTTTCATCTTTCTTTTTACCATATCTTTTATCTTTTGTCTCCAGTGTTTCCCAAAGGTACCTCTTTCCTCATGTAATGTCTGTCAGGCCATGTCTCTTTAACAATATATCTTAAATTCTCACTGTGTGCGCTTGTGTGGGTGTGTAAATGAGGGTGGTTGTGTGTCTTTGTGTGTGTGTGTGTGTGTGTGGGTCCATGGGTGGGTGTGTGGGTGGTAGGGTCAGGTTTTATTGTTGTTAATTGTTGTTTTTAGCCTCTGTGAGGCAATTTGAACTGCATTTTTTGTCTGAAAAGTGCCATAAAAATAAATCTGAATAAAGTTGATTAATAATTACTTCATCTATGTAACGCCTTTACAAAGTGCCCTGACAGACAAAGCAAGGCACACAGTTATCTATCAGTCTAGTTTATTTCCAATACCAACAGGCAACTAATGAAAACTCATACTTGAAAATGAAAATTGAATCATGAAAAGAAGTCTGAGATATGGGATTGTAAAGCATGAGTTCAAAAGTGTGAGATTTAAAAATTCTTGACTTTTATTTAAAAAAAAAAAAAAGACTACCTTTAATCCATAATAAGGATGTTTGGTCTCAAAGTTATGTGACAGTCTTACTATGTTTTAGTACCCTTAAAGTGGGTATACTTCTACAAGGGCAGGAAAAGATATACTCAAGATATATTGTAGCTAGTTTCATTTAAAAAATGAAAAAAAAATGAAAATTTTCATCGATAACTCGCTTGTTCAATAACACAACATAACAGGACTTAAAAACCAGCAGGCTTTACACCACATGTAAACTTAGCATCTTAACGGAGTAAAATATATTTTGCTACATATGATAAATGTATAAAGAGCTGGGGTTTTTTTTGTGAAATATTTTACATTTTCAACCACAGTCTCTTAACCCCACAGTCTACCAGGTCACCAGTTACAGGACATTTCAGAGGCAGCATCACTGTTTCGTCGTGTGCGGATGGGAGACCAGCCGTACTCTGACATGGCGTCCTCATTTTGCTGGAGACGACCCCAGCGGTGGCCATGTTTGGAACTCTGTTTTCCTGCCCATGCCCGGGGCTTAGGATTCATCTGGAGAAAATGTAAATTTCAGATGTCATATTTTTGGTTTCAACCTAAATTTAACAAAAGTTTGACTCTGTCCTTTTTCGGTTTTCCTGACTAATGACAATTTTTTTTAGTATGTACAGCAAAGGCATCACAGCTGACATGGAAAAGACTTTGAGGGTTTTTGGTATCTTACAATGCTTACCCCAGCTGGTGCATACACAATACCCATGAATAACTAAATCTGTCCCTCACCTGTACAAAAACAGTTGTGTTCATGTGAAGAGTCTCCACTCGCTCCGACAAGTGGTTTAACCATTCCAGATGGTCAGTGATGGACTGGCTTAGATCACTGTTGCTCTGCATTGAAGGAAAAGCAGAAGAAAGTTCAATGAAAACAAGTTTTGGTCAAACAGTTTTCTGTTTGTTTGTTTTTAACGCTTAAGGATTTGTGGCCTCCCACCCCAGACAAATTGTCTTTTAGGTCAACTGCAGCAAGGCGAACATGCTCCAGTTTGTCAATTTGCTCCTTTAGTCGGTCATCAAGCTCCTGCATCATCATCAAACCCTCATCAGGTCTGACACTGCGTTTTGAAGTCATCCTGGGGAAATAAATAAATAACAATTAAGGAAAAGCGAAAATGGGTCAGCTAGAATGTATCAGCATTCTGCAATAGAGCAATCATCCAGGATAAAGAAGGCAGTCGTTTTTGTTAAATCCAATCATAAACCTAAAAAAAAAGTTTCTTTCAGAGATGAAAAATGTCTCTATGAACAGTGAGTTTAACCACCAGAGGGAGACACAGCCTTCCTTTTTGTCTTGGGTAAAAACATTCAGGGGATCCTCTCAAAAAAGCAGAGGACCATACCTGCTGCAGGTCTCAGTCATAAACATCGTCTCATGTTTTGGACAAATATTGCCTGCAACTTCTTTTGTAGCTTAAACCTTAGACTAGACTTAGACTTTCTTTATTTGTCATTGCACAGAATAAAACACAGCAGTGATTTCTCTCTGCAACGAAATGTCGTTGCTCGGCTTCCATATCACGGCATGGTGGTGTTTAATTTAATATACAGAAATAATAAATAAAAATGAATAAAAATAAAGGGTAAAATAGCAGCAAGGTTGAGTGATATTGCACTTTCTAGAGGTAGAGTGGTAGTGGAATAATAACCAAATAAATAAAAGTAAATATAAAAGATAAATGTTCTTACCTGATTTAGAAAAACACCAAAGAATGTAATTATGTACAAAACCCAATTCCACTGAAGTTGGGAAATTGTGATAATTTTTTTTGCAAATAATAATGAACTCAGAATTTCATGGCTGCAACACATGCCAAGGCAGTTGGGACAAGGGCATGTTTACCACTGTGTTACATCACCTTTCCTTTTAACAACACTCAATAAACGTTTGGGAACTGAGGAGACGAATTGTTGAAGCTTTGAAGGTGGAATTCTTTCCCATTCTTGCTTGATGTACAGCTTCAGTTATTCAACAGTCCGGGGTCTCTGTTGTCGTATTTTATGCTTCATAATGCGCCACACATTTTCAATGGGAGACAGGTCTGGACTGCAGGCAGGCCAGTCGAGAACCCGCACTCTTTTACTATAAAGCCACGCTGTTGTAACACGTGCAGAATGTGGCTTGGTATTGTCTTGCTGAAATAAGCAGGGGCGTCCATGAAAAAGACGTTGCTTGGATGGCAGTTTATGTTGCTCCAAAACCTGTATGTACCTTTCAGCATTAATGTTGCCTTCACAGATGTATAAGTTACCCATGCCTTGGGCACTAATGCACCCCCATACCATCACAGATGCTGGCTTTTGAACTTTGCGCCCATAACAGTCCAGATGGTTCTTTTCTTCTTTGGCCCGGAGGACACGACGTCCACTATTTCCAAAAACATTTACAAATGTGGACTCATCAGACCACAGAACACTTTTCCACTTTGCATCAGTCCATCTTAGAGTCCATTTTTTGCCTTCTTTCCCAACTTCTTTGTCACGAGTTTGAACATTAAATATCTTGTCTTTGTAACTAAATATAGGTTGAAAAGGATTTGCAAATCATTGTATTCTGTTTTTATTTGCGTTTATCACAATTTCCCAACTTCAATGGAATTGGGTTCTGTAATTAGGTGGTTAGTAGGGCTTAGAGAACCACTCTTAAGCTACACTAGGATTCTGCATTATTATTTTTAATTGAACAGGTAAGGCCCTCACTGTGGGAGGAAAACAGTCATAAGAACAGAATCAGATCCTCTAAAGCTAGGCCTACATAAGCTGCACAGGACAAGTCATGACTATACATGACTTTTACAAAAAAGATATTCAAATGTTCATACGCTTTTATAATAATTTGCTTCTGCATTTGCTGTATCCATGTACAAAATGTTCCCTTGGCCCAAGTCAAAGATAACATGAAGTTGTGTAGTCGTTTTGTTCTTAATCTATGGTGTCAATAAAGTTAATTCAAAGAAAACTTTGATTTAAAAAAAAAAAAGGTGTGATGAATTATGCTTTCAGTCATCAAAACGCAGGTGAGCTGGCTTCAAGTTACAGGAGGACTGACATGATCACTCTAACTCTGGAGTGGGGGCTTCAAGTTTGCTCCCCTGAGTTGCTTAAATGTAACGTTTATGTGCAAAAGCTACGGACGGATGAGCTGTCTCAAGTAACCGACATAAGAGTTACAGACGTGTTTAGCTCACAAAAAGACGTCAAGTTTCCTTGGTCTCACCGCAAACTTCTGAAAACCCAAAGCTGGACTGTTTTAATCGAACCTTTGAAGATCAGGTTGCAAAAGTAATAGCGCCTGCAGAACAAAACCGCGAGACAGCTCAGCAAAGTTGAAAACACTAGAAGTACCTTATTTATCCGGTGTTAGAGCGCACAGATTTCTCGTAGATGCCAAGATGCCGATGAATCCTGCGGTGAGAAACTCAACTTCCTCTCTCCGCAGTAGTCAAAGTGTGGAGACTTTTCCTCATCCAGACCATGGCCCAGACAGGCTCCTTTTGTCCTGTAAAAATCTCAGGAATTTGACACTCCTGACGTCACGAGGCCTGCTTTTCGCAGGTGCGCTTTAGCAAAATATTACGGTAAACTTGACTTACGAGTCAATGTGAGGTTTTTTTTCCTCCTTTGATTTGTACGGTAGCCGAGAACTGCCACTGCTGCAAATTAAAAAAAAAAAAAAAGTCACAACAGAAGTTACTGATGAAAAAAAAAGAAACCGACGCCTGCTGCAAATAACAAAAGAAATGGTGCAGATAAAATAAGTCACAATGGAAGTTAACAGCGCAAAAAAAAAAAAGTGGCAATGGAAAAAAAAGTTACTTATTGCAAAAATAAAAGGATGCAAATAAGAAAAAAAGCCACAATGGAAGTGAGCTGCCGGGGACCAATGATGATGATGCACTTGTGTTTTACGATCTAGGCGCAGAAGACAACGGCGAGAAGACGAGCAAAGAAGTCAGTGGAAAGGTTATTGTTTAATTTCGCTTCGTGTGATTTTCAGTGTGTCATTTGATTAGGCCATGTATCTCCCGAGTCGATATGAAGTTGAACTGAAGCTAACACTACACCGGCATCCTCTAGATCGTCTTCATATCGACTCTGGTGCAACATGGCCGAACCGAATGACACATTGAAAAGTTTACGAAGCGAAAATTAAACAATAACCTTTCCACTAATTTTTTCGCTCGTCTTTTTCGCCGTCATCTTCTGTGCCTAGATCATAAAACACCGGTGCATCATCATTATTGGTCCCCGGCAGCTCACTTCGGTTGCAGCAGTTTTTTATTTGCATCCTTTAAATTTATTTCTTAATAAAGTAAGTAACTTTTTTTCCCCATCGCCACTTTTTTTTTTCATCATTTGCTTCCGCTGTGGCTTTTTTATCTGCACCATTTCTTTTTGTATTCGCAGCAGGCTTCAGTTTCTTTTTTTTTTTTTTTTTTTGCATCAGTAACATCTGTTGTGATTTTTTTTTTTTTTTTTTGGCATTCTTTTTTTATTTGCAGCACTGGCAGTTCTCGGCCACAGTAAAAATCGAAGGAAGAAAAAAACTAACATTGACGAGTCAGTCAAATTTACCGTAATATTTTGCTAAAGCGCACCTGCAAAAAGCAGGCTTCATTATGTCAGAAATCTTAAATTCCTGTTTTTTTTTTTTTTACGTCAATAACTTCCACTGTGGTTTCTTTTTTTTTTTTTTGCAGTCTTTTTTATTTGCACTAGTGGCGAACCTCGGCCACCGAAGCTATTGATTAATCCCCAAAACAAAATACATCCTAACACTTTTGAGTCGATTTAAAAATCAAATAAAGTGTGGCTTATTCTTCATTGTGATGCTTATATGTACTATTTATTAGTTTGACTTCTAAATACAGCTCATAAGTATTTTTTCTAGTGCATTAAATTTATGGCTATTAATCTAAAACTTGTAACACAAACTTGAACCAAAACCTTCAGAAATAGGAAAAGAAAATTTCCGAGCACATCCAAAACCATTGGTCTTCACATTTCATACATGCTTGACCTGCAACTGCTGTAAAAGGGTAGGTATGCCAGTGAAAGAAATTATCACAGGGGTCTGTAAATTACTCCTAAGAAAGATAACAGGAAGACTTTTTTTTTGGCAATTATCACTTCTCTCTGAAGGATGACATGAAATCAATACAGGCATTAAGTTCCTCACAGGAGCTTTAAGTCACAACCCTGTGTGGAAAGGCCATGCATGCCGTGGATTTTGTGAACCTGCGGCTTAAATATCTAAGGATCCCTGCATTTTGAACTAAACTAATTTCATAGTCTGATACGGCATACTGATTTTCATCTCTGCAGGTTCAGATGACGTTTTTCAGCGGGTATTTCTTATGTGCTTAAAAGGAGTGCAGTTAGTTTGGTATGAAATTGAACATTTGTAGGTGAGACAACAAAAACATCAACATTATGTGTGAACAGCGCATTTCCTGAAAACGTGTTAACACTGCCCACAATAACTGCCCCCGTAATTTCTGCCTTCACAAGCAGTTGATGTATGATTTTAATGACAAAGTGAGAATACAGAATCAACAGTACATTTAAGAAATCACAACTGCTTTATTTCTTTTTCTTTCAATAAGCTCTTTTTTTAACAAGGGAGAGTAATGACCAAATATCTGAAAGGATAAAGATCAAGTAGGATAAATAGAATGCTGGATCAGCTGTAGAAAGCAGTGGTCCTCTGACAAAAAAAAAGAAAGAAAAATGCATCTTCAAAGTACAAAAAAAAAAAGGTCAGGGCAACATTTTGGTGCAGGAACAATGATGAGAAGCATCAAGATCTTTTGCAGTAAGGGATAAGATGCAGAAAAAAAGAAAACACTCCAAGCCCGATAAAACCTATCAACAAGTGAAAGCAGTCCATTCTGAGAACACAGTGACCTTTTCAACATTAAATTCTTTATAGTGCCACAATATCTAAAATGAAATGTGGGTTTAAGCCTCCCCTCGCTGACAAGGCTTGACTGTACAGTTAGGTATGCATATACATATATACCAGTGAAACACTGTCATTAAGAGAAATCGCAACATTTTGTAGTGTCATGGAGCTGTATGGTAAGCAGTAACATTTAACCAGTAATGACATTGGCATTGTGAGCTTCAAAAACAACTGTCCATTACGAAAAACAAAAAAACTAAATAAATGAAAATTCCAACAGCTTCACATTTTTAAAAAGTCCTTCGTAGTCCACTGGAACTGCAGTGCTCACAAAAAAAAATTTAAAATAAAAAAAAAGCTCGAGCAAAGATCAGATATTAATGCAGCAAGCAATGCTAAACGCCCCCTTGGTTGTGATCATAGTAACAGAAATGGTTATTTGGACCCTGATTGTGATTATATTTAGGCTGCAGTTATTGCTAGTGCCACTTCAGAGACCAGAATAATCAAATGGTGATGAGTCGGTTTCTTCAGGATTCCCCACAGTGCTTTAAACGGGGACTTCAACGGAATTAGAGAGAAGTCTTTTAAGAGCCTTAGAAAGAAAAAAAAAGCGTAACACCCCAGAATGAGGGGCGTAGAAATCATTACTTACATCACATCTTCATTAACAGACACTTTGATTAATTACAACCCAAAGAAAGCGATAAGAAAGCAAACATTTCAATCAGCAATTCAGAGGGGGGCGGGGGTCTTTTACAGCAATTGTGAGTCAAGCCTCTCCCCCTGGATATATATAACTTCACAATGGGCCCTACAAAAGGGTCGCCAGCTGGGTTTTTTCATGATACAGGCAGTCGATGGCAGCACAATGAAGGAAGGCCGAGTTCAGGTGCAGTCTTTGTGAAATGTTGCTGCCAGTTTGCACACGTTCAGCAGGTCACATGCACACACGCTGTATCAATGCCAGTGAAGGGTTTTTTTTTTTGTTTTTTTTTTGTGTGGAAGCAACATGATTTTGGTAAAAATGTCCACTTTTTTTTGTTTCAATTTACATACAGAAAAGAGCGACAGGATGTAAAAGCAAAGAACAGTTTGAGAAAAGAGATCGTTTCTACCAATCGAAGCCATCTTTCATGGGCTGGGTGCATTTCGAGGGTGATGCAATTCCATCATATTGACATGCAAAGATGTCCACAAATTGGGGAGTATTTTTCTTCGGGGTTAATAAAAGAAGTCCTTTACCAAGAGGAGAGGAAGTGATGACTGGATGTTTTATTTACCAGTAAAAATGCCAATGAAAAATGACAAAAAAAAAAAAAAGTGACCCACTGCGTTTCAAATTTGTTTAAAAATGTTGAACAGGCTTTTCTTCTCATAGTCAGTTGTTTCATGTGTCTGCCTGGTCTTAAGGGCTACAGTCCATAAACAGGGAGTAAATACAGTTTGGCAAAATGGTGTGAAAATGAACCATCTGTCTGAGTTGGCCACTTTCCTTTTCCCCACCCCAAAGAGAAACGAAAAAAAAAAACAGAAATATCTTTTTTTTCCTCCATACCAATCTCCCCTTCAAAGTGACTAATAATAAATTAAAGAGGACCTTGAAGAGATCTGCTTAAAAGACTGTGTCTATGTATATATTTATATATATTTATATATCTCTATACGTGGTGTGAAATAATAGTGTCCAGTTCTGACAGTTCAAGAGGAGTAATTCATTACGATGTCTGCTTGTTGTCCCCCCTGCCTCGGTGCCTGGGTATAAGCTGGGTCTAAGCAGACTCAGACGTTGGTCAGGGGGCTTTGTGAAGGCAGGCTGGGTGGCGATGAGGATTTTTAAAGGTCCATTGTTATGCCTTGCCCTCCTCTACTTTGACAGCCTGGGGTTTGATGGCTCCAGTGCGTGCTGGTTTGGCTTGCCCTGTGGAGGGCAGGGGCTCCTGGAGTTTGCTGGTCATGCCCCCGGGTGGCGTCTTGATCTCACCCACTGCCTTGCGTACGTCTCGCAGGGTTTTATTCTGCGCAGAAGGAGAAGGAAAGAGGAGCTTAGACGGAACACGGAGACTGGAAAAGAAGACATTTAGTTGCATTTATGCAGGTTTGGATAGTCCGAGGCTGATATAGAAAACAGAGAAGGAGGAGGCGTTTGACTGACGTATGACTCTCTTTGTTTCTCTGTCAGTTTAATTTCTTATTTGTGAAGCAGGAAAGATAAATTCTTATTCACAAATTGTCATCACTTCAAGAATTGACCAGCTTTGGACTATCCAAAACCATGAACAGTTTTATCCATTACTTGCTTGTTATTCAGTAATATAAAAGTTAACAATGTGCATAACTTTTCAGCTACTTTCATACGATAAAACACTTTCATATTAAAGGGATATTCTGGCGTAAAATTAATTTAAGGTCAAAAACATAATGATTATAAATGTTCTTCCTTGAGCTGCGTCACCCTGCCGCAGTCTGTAATGGACTGGCCCGAGGTCTCGCTACAAACAAGCGGCTGCTGGAAGAGAGTAGGTGAGTTATGTTTAGTCTCTTTGCTAAAGAAATGAGTCAAAGTTAAAAAGATGTTTGGTGGCTAGTACTATGGGTGGGACCCTGTATGCACTGTTGATGGAGTTAGGTGCTGTTCTGAGCATTATATGTGTCTATAGAGTGGCTTTTGGTTGAGGTTTGTTGATGGCTCCTCAGACTGCTGTGTATTGCTATTGTGCGGTCGTTACTAAAGTTTGTATAACTAGAGAAGCAAGCGGTTGGCAACATTCATCTCTCAAGGGGGTGTCTAACTCAGTGTTTGACCCTAAATTACTTTTACACCGGAATATCCCTTTAAAGAGGAGTTAGACAACACACATTTATATTATTGTTATAATTAGTATTTAAAAATGCATCCATTACAAGTTTATCTGCAGATATTCTGTATCCAGACAATTCATGATTAAACTAAACTCCACTGTAAGTCAAAGGCATGTAAGAAAACACATTCAACGAGAAAGACAAATAGAGAAAAAGAAAATGGATGAAATCAAATTACCTATATTTACAGTGGGTGGCTCACCTTCATGCCATCCTCTGGCCCTTTGACAGGGGGCTCAGGGGCAGAGGGAGGGGTGGAGTGGGAAGGGTCACGGCCAGGGTTGGAGTAAGGGGGGGAACGAATGATGACAGGCTTGTTGACCTGCATGACGGGTCTCTGAATGGGGTTAGGGAAAGGGCCAGTGGTGGGGGGGCGCATGTGCATCACCATGCTACCCTGAGCAGGTGGGACCTATTGGTCATTTGTGGGGGGAAGGTGGGTGAGAGGGGGGACGGGATGGATGAGGGAGCGGGGGGGTGAAGGAAAAAACAGACAGTTAGCATGTTAGGACCTGAATCTTTAATCTTTTAATCACCAACTTTGTTTGAAATGTTGATATTTCCAAGTGGACACAAGAGAGTGAAATTTTTATGAGATCCCGAGAGTATAAAGCCCCACCTCATTTACCTTCAAATAACAAAGACGTTTCAAATGATAAACTTGAAAAATAGATACCTGTTGTGTGAAGTGTGTCGGCAGAGGCCCAACAGGCCCCCCAGGACCGGAAGGCTTCCCACTGGGACTGGCAGACCCTGGCCTGATGAGAAAAAAAAGAGACTTTGATACAATCCATTTTCAAAATATGTGCATTTATTTAACTCCAAATCTCACTTGTCTAGGGATGGGAATTGATAAGATTTGATCGATGCCATTATTGATTCTGCTTTTCGAATCAATTCTTTAACGATTCCCATATCAATGCCTTTCTTTGATTAGAAAAAAAAAAACAAAGTAGAGTATAGGTTTTCATCGTTCACTTAAAATCTTATTGAGTCTCTGATAACAGAAAAAAAATGTATGTATTGGTTGCTGTGCTGCATGTGACAAATGTTTAAGCATGCTGCTGGTGTTTCCACCATTGCATGTTATCACCGCTCGACAAACGTTGCATGTTGCGCTGTTGTTGTCTCTCTTCGTAAAATTAAGCCACACTTAGATCATGGGCGGCAGTAGCTCAGGAGGTAGAGCAGTCGTCCAATAACTGGAAGGTTGGCGGTTCGATTCCCCCCTATCCCAAGTCTGTCCGTTGTGTCCTTGGGCAAGACACTTAACCCACCTTGCTCCCAGTGTGTGTCCTCCACTGGTGTATGATTGTGAGTGTTGTGTGGTGGTGGTCGGAGAGGCCGTAGGCGCAAAATGGCAGCCACGTTTCCGTCAGTCTGCCCCAGAGCAGCTGTGACTACTAAGGTAGTTTACCACCACCAAAGTGTGACTGTGTGTAAAGCGCTTTGAGGGTCTCTGATAAAGCGCTATATGAAATCTGATGCATTATTATTATTATCATTTCTGCCTACTTTTTTCTCTGTCTCTGTTCTCGTAGACTGGCACTCGTGAAACCAAACTCAAGGCACCCGGAAGAAAGGAATCGTTGAGGGAATCTTCAAGATAAAAGGTAAATGATGTCGATTTATTAAACCATTTGGAACCGGTTCTAAACAAGATCCCGTTCTCGATTCCCATCCCCACACTTGTCAAAAGTCCACAGCAGCATATGGAGGACACTCACCTGTAAGACCCTCCAGAAATCCCCGGGGAATGACTGGGCTTCTCAGAGAACTGGAATCCTTTCATTTCCATCTGTGAGCCCTGCGAAAAGAAAGAGACGATTTAAATTTTTATTACTGCGCTTATTTCTCATTAGATCACTTTTTGGTTAAAAGATAGAAAAGGGGGGTCCTACCTCACGGCTGGTCATGACAGGCTGGGAGCCGGGAGGCAGCATTCGACGGGGAGCACCCACTGACAGGTTCTGTCCCTGCTGCAGCTGGATGGACTGTGGGAGGATGAGGTGTTGCTGAGCCGAGCCATAGCGCAGCTGAGAGCCGGGGAGTGGCATGGTCACCTGCATGAAACAAAGATATGTTTATGTCTCAGCAATCCAGGAATGATCTGAGTCTGCTCCAAATGTTTTATGAGTAGTACGAGTTCATTAATTTCTTTGACAAGCTCCATGAGAACTGCTTTATGGGAGGCTGCTAAAAGCTGAAATTCATCTATGTCACCGACCTGAATGAGCTGAGAGTCCATCAGCTGGGACGAGCCCATACCGGGCCCCTGGTTCATTTGGCTGTCATAGACCAGCTGCTGGCTGCCATTCATGGGCTGGTAGTGGGAGCCTGACTGTTGTTTGACCATGTCTGAGGGCTGCATGCCAGGGAAAGCAGAGTAGGGTCCCTTCAGGGGGGCTCCGCCGGAAAGCACCATGGGGCTAGGCTGGGACAGGTTGGGGTGCATGTAGACCTGGGACCTGAAAATGGGGGAAGATGACACAGAATGAGCGGCTGAAAAAATGGAGACAAATGTGTGAAGGAAAACAAATTTACAAGCCCAATGGAAATTTCAGAAATCAAGTACCTGAAGGGAGGGATAGAACTGAACATCTCCTGTGACTGAGAAACAGGTAGACCTCCACGGAGCCCCAGCTGAGCCTGAGCTTGAAGAGAAGTGTGCAAGGAGATGGGGATCTGCTGGGCTGCAGCCGCCTGATGTAAAAAATAAACAACACAATTACATTTCTGCTCATACGTAACTAAGCCTGACTGTGTGCACTTGTGATTTAATCTCTGTACCTGTTGGTAAGTCTGCTGCTGAGTCATGGTGGGAGGAACGAGGCGGGGCTGACTGGGAAAGACATGACCGTCCAGATACAACGGGGGAATATGATTACCTGCGAAGGGAACAGGACAGCCTTCAAGTAATATTTCCTCAGAGATCAGACCCTCATCGAACCCATTTAATTAAATGAAGTTTTACCTTGCATGGACATGGAGGGTGCTACAGAAGCCACAGGCATCTGAGGCATGGAAACTCCTCCGAACGAACTGTAGCTGACACCGCTGGATGAGCCAACGCTGCAGGGGGGCTGAGCACCAGAGGCTCCCCCACCAGGAGAGCCCTGCTCAGGGAGGGACTGAGAGTTCTCCCAAGCCTTACGGGCGGATTCCATCTGAAGAAAACAACACATTTAAAGTTGATAAGCATGTTCCAATCACAGAGATAGTATGTTTTTGACCATCTGCGTTTGTTTAATACCAGATAAGTTTACATGAAATGACACTGATTATTCCTTGTGTGCGTGGGATTGTGTGTCCGTTACCTTGAGAGTGAGATCAGCTGTGGGGAAGGAGATGGGGTTGAGGTTGATGCCGGGCTGCAGGTGGTTGGATCGAAGCATGGGGATGGTTTGATTGAGAGCCGTCTGGTTCAAAGAGAAAGTTCAAGATTCAAAAAAGACGCTCTCGTATTTCAGATTTCAGCTGAAACCTACGGATAATATACGATACTCACATTGGTGGTAAGTGCATCCTGAAGTTTGTTGACAGGATTAGACACGGGCACGGGAGTGGAGCCAGGTGGAAGGCTGAAATCGGAGTCTTTGGCACTGACTCCAAACTCGATAGGCGGCACAGGAAGCACTGAGTCCACATGGAGGTCGACACCGTTAACTGGTGTGATGGGGCCACCCTCCAGACGATCGACACCTTCTGAGCCCTTGCGGTGCTTTAAGGAGCGTTCGTTTCCGATGGGTCCCGGCTTGTGCTGCTCTTTAGTCTGCTCGGGGCCGGCATCGGAGTCCTGGGAAAGATGAAGAAAACAACTATTTATCTGTCTGTCGAAATGATCTAGGTTGTTTGTTAATAAAAATACTAAATCATAGAACACTTGGTCCAGACAAGCAACTCCACCGTCCTACCTCAGAGTTTGGTTCGCTTCCAGTGTAAGACACCTGTTTAGTCCACGAGTCTCCCCCTGAAGACTGAACTGACAGAGCTAAAAAAGATTGAAAAACAGGAAATGAGTAAGCCCTTCAAAAGAATAAACTCACTTGGTATGTCTATTTTAAGAATGTGCTCAAACCAACATGCTCATCAAACATTTTCAAATGACTTTCATGTGACTGTTAGACTGACGCTTCTTAAGGCCAACAAAAGCACTGGTGTCCATTACCCGAGCTGTTCGTCTCCCAGATTTCAGTTCCAAGGTTGTTCGAGGTAAGTGCCTCTTCGGGTTGTTCAAGGCTCATGCTTCCCTGCTTTTTGGCAAAGCGTGGCGGTATCTTGGATGTGATGGTCCTGTTTTTGACGGGCACCTGGTGCAGTCCAAAAAAAAAAGAAAAAAATGAATGTTTAACCGAGTGAGCACTTTTTTCTTTACGCTCAGCATGACCACTTTGTGAGCATCAGGACTTAACATATGGTCACTCACGGCAGCGACTTGTTCCTTCCTCCTCCTCTCATCTTCCTGGGGGCGTCTTTGCTTTTTGGACAGGGCATCCTGGAATCCATCTGGAGTTGAAACCGGTCCCCCTATGTCTCCTTCAACTATAGAACAGGCACACCGGCATGGGAAACATTAAGGGAGGAAACTCAGTACCAAGTGTTATCTTTATGTCTGAGCGTACAGCAATCTTTCTCCCTCTAGATGGGCACGGGTGTGCGTTTAGATCTGCTTTTTAAATTTTTAAACATGAAGAGATTTTAAAAAAGATGAATTCAAAGAGCTGGACTCACGTGGGTAGCTGCTGAGCTCATACTGGGACAGAGGTTCAACTATGTCTGTCATGACGGCTCCTTGCTTCAGCTCTTTGTCTAGTTTCTTCCCAGAGGCCTCACTGGGCTCCCTCTCCTCTGGCTGCTCTAGGCTGTAGACCGCGCCTGACTCATCTGGGCCTCTGATGAAAAGAAAAAAAAGGAAGAGCAGGGTTACAGTCGGGTATTCTGAGCACCGCTGAGATCAATTACACTTAAACAGACGCTGACTTTTCAGGAATCTAAAACATGTTGGAGTTCATGAATCCAGTTTTTATTTCGAAGTAGAATTACCTGGAGCAGGATGTAAATATCATGTTTACATCAGGCATTGAGCAAATTACAAAAATAAGCCGGAGAACAAAGTATATTTGATCTAAAAAGTCTCCTTATAATAACAGATATATGTCGTCGAGTAATATGAATGAAAAAATGGACAGGGACCACCCCCTCACTACAAATCCAACAGCTTGTACTGATGAGTATCAGGCTACAGCTCACAGCTTAACTGCATATGGTTAGAAAGAAAAGTCTGGTTTGTTAAAAGATGTTTCACTGCTGAGTTATTGACCTGAGGCCACAACTATTTTGTGTTTACCTCAGCCACTTTGAAAAAGAAACAACATAGAAATCACTGACCAATTAAAACAACTTTGCAACAATAACAAAAAAAAAATCACTGCAGGACAAACACTAACGGCTACTTTTAAATGTCATTGTCTAATTTAAACAGATTCTTGTGTCTCCTCAGACAAAAAGAAGTTTCCCGTCACTTTATGATGCTGCGTTCAAGTTACCTCAGAAGTCAGATGTCTGAGCTGAAAATGACGTCACACCCGAGTCGGACAATAGCAAAAATCTGAGGCCTGAAACAAGATGAAAGTTGTTTTAGCGCTTGCTTCGTCCGAATATAAGGCAAGTGCTTAAACAACTTTCATCTTGTTTTAGGCCTCAGATTTTTGTTTTTTTCTGACTTGGTAACAGAAACGCTGGTAACTCGAGTGTTACGTCATTTTCAGCCCAGACAGCTGACTTCCAAGGTAACTCAAAAGCAGCATGAGTGATTGCGAAAATATGTAAATCTATGCAAGCAACTATAACAATCATGAGTTAAACTCAGCACAGATTCAGCCTTTTTATCAGTAGTAACATATGTGGTTATAGTATATTCTACTTCGGTTCATAATTTGTTTGATGTTTCGGCTTACCTCGTACAAGCAGTGCCTCCATTCTGCCAGCTGTCATTTCTGTTGGACGAGGAGGCAGGTGGCTCAGGCGTGCGCACCATCTTGCTCGTCTCCAGCAGGGAAGGCTCCCCTTTCCTGTTCTGCCGCTCCACCAGCGGTCTCTGACTGGAGAAGCTTCTCTTGCAAAGCTCCCTCTTCTCGCCAGAGCCTGGTTCACTGTGACCCGAGTCAGAGGGGATATCGCCGTGTCCCTGCGGTGCAGCGCCTCCGCTTCCTCCTCGCTTCTCTCTCCAGTCGCCAAAGTCGCTGTTGTCTGATCCCGTCTCCCATTCCTCTGTCTGACCGTGCTGGCTGGATCGTCCGCCTGAGTAGTGGCCGCTGGGCCAGCTTTCTTCTCCGCCGCCTTTGGGGCGATTCGGCCAAGGGTTTGCAAAGTCTCCATTTATGTACTCATCGCTCGTCCACTGGTTTGACCCGGGTTCGCGCTCTTGTCGGAGTCGTCTGAATCTTGGTGGTTTGTCTTGACGGGGTGGACGCCGTCTTCTTAAAATCTGCCTGTCGGGGTTATCGTTGTCGAAGTAGTATTCTCCTTCCCGTTCCTCTGTGCCGTTTTCCATGAAGGAGCCGGTGAATTTCGGGGCGTACTTTAGAGCCTCACGCTCAACTGGGGGTCTGCGGGAGAATGTAGTCTCAGCTCCAGGACCATAACCGTTTTCTTGCATGGAGCCGCCACTACCACTAAACTGGGGTCCACGGCCTCTCCAAGTCGAGATGTCCCTGGATCCTCCAAAGTTTCGATTGTAGCTTCCGGCCGTGTTCAGTCTGGGGGGGAGTATGCGGCCTCCAAAGTTTCTGTTGGACTTGGTCTTATCCCGGGAATCTTGGGCCGTTTGGTCGTCTGTGTAGACCTTATTAGACCTCCAGGAGTCTCTGTCAGCTTTACGGGCTTCTCCAGACTCTGTGTAAGCTTCTCCATTCTCAGATCCCTTCTGGCGTCGCCTCTTGGGCAGTTCTTCGTACTCAGAGGCTTCACTTAAGGTCTCGCTGACGTTTCGCCTCCGCGGCTTGCCCCTCTGGAACTCGTCTACCTTGACAACGTCCCTGGGTGTTGCTCGGCCTCTGCCAGCTCGCTGAGCTCCACTGCTGTTGTTGTTGTTGTTATAAGCTCCTCTGAGATTGTCGCCACCTCGGCCACCGCGGGTTCCTCCTCTGGAGTTGAATTCCCGGAAACCGCGGCTGCGCCCTCTGCCTGTTCCCCTGACTGCACCGAAGGCCTGCTCTTCATCGATGAAGATCCAGTTGTTGCGCCGCGGTGCGTGGGGCTCCCGGTTTTCCTGGCTGTCTCTGGGTGATTGGCTCTTGTTGCTCTCCCAGGTGCTCTCTTTGGGGGAGTCGTCACTATGGGTGCTCAGAGGCCTCTCTGTTTTAGTGGGAGCTGGTGACTGGCGCTGCCTCTCTTCAGGCTGTTTCTCAACGACAGGTGAGGCTGAGCGCCTGTTGTTTGCTGGCTGGTTGTCTTTCTTCAGGTCGTAAACGTTAGTAAGGATTTCCTTCTCCAGGCGATAGGGGACAGTCTTCTCCTCAGGCTCCGGCTTGGGCTTCTCGTTTTCTTTATCTTCCACTTTGAGAGCTTTAAGAACTGGTTTCTTGATGGGCCCAGTTCTACGAATCAATGTGCGGCCACTGGTCTCCGACGGCTGACTTACACTACTGCTGGAACTGGAGCTTGCTTCAGACCACTGGCTTTGAGCATTGCAGAGTCTTTCATCTTGTTTCGTCCCTCCATCTCTTTTCCAGCTGTCCTTCGAGCTGTCTAAGATCTCATCGTGAGATTCGGGGCTGTCTTTCAGATGCTTGTCTCTGGAGTCTTGTTTGGGGTAATCGCTGTCTGAATGACTCTGGGAGAGGTTCTGAGCGGTGGTCAGTAAGCCTTGGTCACGGTGTCTGTGTTCTCGGTCAGAGCTTCGACTCTGGTAGGCATGATGGGGGAGATCCTCTTGGTTTAAGCACTCGCTGGTTCTGTCTTCATAGGAGTCCTGTTGTGAGCTGGCCAAATCACTTCTGTGGAAACAAAAGGGGATACTAGTTAAGAGAGAATGGTCCACCAATAGGGGCCGGGTTCACTTAGGAGTTTGGTCCGGAAAAGATAGCTGACCTGTCATCTGGTTGGCCGCTGTCTGAGCTTTCATGCTGCCTCTGGTAGGGGGGAGTGAAGCTGCGTAAAGGGTAGCCATCTTGGTTCCACATCGGGTAAGGCTCAGTGGATGGAGCTCGTCTCTCCTGGTGCACACTGGAGTGGCATCCCTCATCGGAACCAGGACTATTCAAGTGGTCTTGATGCATCATGGGTTTCATCATTCCTGCTGGGAATCGTTCAAGTTTTGGACTTATTTCATGACAGCAAAACAGGAAGTTGTGTGATTTCAGATGATCCAGGTAGGGTTCTTTACTCACCTGAATTATGGACAGCACCAGGGTAGTAGTCCACCGGAGACCTTCCTTGAGTCATGCGAGGATCCATGAAAGGCGGCATCATCATCCAGCGAGGATCAAACCCGAGGACGTGCGGCGGATAGTAGCCCCGCTGGCTGTGGCTTGAGCTGGAGGAGGGAGGGTGACCTGACTGCTGCCAGTGCTGCATTTTGTATGCTTGCTCCTGAGGAACGTGATCAGCAAATTTACCGATTAGGTATTGGCGGCCAAATCCATGGTACTTGTTGGGAGCAAAACTAATTTCTAGAAGTTAGTCGAAGTAAGTACAGAATGTCAAAGTTAATCAAATTAGCAAGATTTCTTCCACTGAAACAATCTTTTTTCCGAATTGAAGTTTGAAACCACAATGAGAGGTGGAGGGTTTGAATCATTGAATAAACCCCAATGACTATCAGCAAGTATTTCTGGGTTGAAACACCAATCTTTGTGTAGATAAAGGTCTAGCATCATACTCTTTTCTTGGCAGACAGTGTGTGGGGTGAAGACGTAACAGGTTGGAGGGGACATTAGCTAGTGCTCACCTGCTGCTGCTGCTGCTGTTGCTGGTGGTGCTGTGGCTGCTTTTGAAAGCGGGGTGGCATGGGTTTTGAGGGGTGGCGTCCGCTGTAGTCTCCTGATGGGGAGGAAGGCTCCTGGCTCTCATCTTCACTGCCACGGTAGTTAGAGAAGCCAGGTTCCTCGCGGTAACTGTGGCCAGAAGAGTGATCTGGGGGACCATCACTTCCATCTGGAGAACATTTGATTGAGAAACATGCTGTGATTTGTTTCTGTGATATTGATATAGATATAAAGAAAGATAGATTTGGTCTTACCCTTTGTGCTGTATTGCCAGGTCTCATGGTGGCCTTTACTCTGCTCCCTGTGGGGGGAGAGTGGGGCTTCTTTACCCTCTCCTTCCTTCTGGCTTTCATCAGACCTTGACATCTGCCTTTCAGTCTTCCCAAATTTCTCATCCAGCTTTTTGAGTTTTTCAGCGCAGGCGGCCAGACGTTCCTCGCGGGCGCGTCTCTCCTCCTCCTCTCGACGTCTGCGCGCTCTCTCAACAGCCTCAGACAGCTCAGGTGACACGTACTTAGCTCTCGCTGGACCCTGAGTCTGAGACTGGCGCTGGTGGTCATCCGGGTCAGCAGGAGACTCTCCTTGATTTTTCTGCTGAGACTTGGAAGAGAAATGGAGGCAATTAAAGGGAGATATTCTTTAAAACACAGAGCTTTTCATTAATGATGTTTTTTGTATGTTTTGCTTGTGCATGCATGCCCGTGCCTTTAAAATGTTACTGTTATGTATTTTTTTGAAGTTTTAGGTCAAACTTTTTTGTTTTCTACGTGTATTGCAAAATTTTGTGCACCCAGGTAAAATAGGTTGGATAGACTGAGAGTGATGCTTTGTATTATTTTGCCTGCATAGCCCACCTACTCACATCGATAACCTATGGTCTCAAAGGCTTGTCGGTAAAATAATCCACCTAAATGCACAACTGTGAAACTTTGCTCATAGTTTCTTTTTGACGGAATCCATTTTTTAGACTGAAACAGGCCAAATGCATAACCCTGTTTCTACTACTCTTAAACATGCCATTCACTTGCTAAGTTAAAGACTTCGCCGATGATAAAGAAGTGAGATGTATCTCTATGGTTACTGCAAGGTCATCTCTGCCAATTCACAATGACAGTCTCACTCGAGGCCATGTGAAGGCGCACTGCAATTCATATTCTCTGTAGTGCTGCCTTATCCTCCGCAGGCTCAGAGGGATTAAAGAACAAGATGTGTTTTAACTGAGGATAACACCATAATGAGTTAATCTTTGGTAAGTAATCAAAAAGGGGTTGGATGAAAGTGGGAAAACACAGTATTGTGTGTAGTTACCGGGGCATCCGTGGAGAGATATCTGCTGTTGGTCTTCCTTGGAGGCTCATGGTGGTGATGTTGGTAAGAATAACTCTCCTCAGGGCCCTCCTGGGGGTAAGATGCCTCACCTGAACTGAGGGAGGATTGGCAGTTCTCTCTCTCCCTCTCCCATTCAGCCCTAAGAAGCAACCAATCCAAGTTCAAACAGGACACCTCTGAAACCAAGGCGTGGACCATTTATAGTAAAAAAAAACAAGGGATGCTTTGAAGAGCGAAGTCTCACCACATCTTGTTTTTATCACCAGAGTGATCATCTTCATCATCACTGAACTTGAGCTTCTCGCTGTAATCAACTTCTTCATGGAGTCCTGATAAAACAAAACAACATAGTAACAGTCAACAGAAGCGTTAAGGGACAAGATATTGAGCACAGGGAGCGTCCAATTAATATCTCCCTGCTGGTTGACAATGCTAGTTTACTGTTCACTGAGCAGAGGAAAAGAGGCGGCTAAATAAATGAGCAGGTTCACAGTTTTATCTCAGTTACACCATCTGGATACAGTGCTTTCAAATGAAATTATGATTACAAACATTTGTGCAATTTGTGATTAGATTTATGGGTGAGATTCTGATGAGTTCAAGATTTTGCTCCAATGGTGTGTTCAAAATAAACACCAAGTGAAGACAGACCTCGACTCACAACAAAACCCCATGAACAAATCCCTCTCTCTACCAGGCCCAGGAAACCAAATTATCAGATATCGGTCTGATATCAACAAAAAAATAAATTTCGGATTATGTTGGCCTGCATCTAAAATCTCTGATGTCAGCACTCCATTACAAGCAGTCAATTCCAGACTCCACCTCAGCACCTTTATCTAGCAGCACCCGGATCTCGCATGTAGAGCCCATGTGATCACAACAACAGTGTGTACTAAGGTACTAACAAAGTACCAAGGAGTAAGAGTGATGATGTTGGCCTCGTGGCAGTATTTTTCATTTAAGTCACAAAAAGACATCGCAGCTGAGTGCAAAACTTATCATGCTCAAGTTTGTGCCAATATCAGATCAATATCGGTACCAGACAACACTGAAGGCTACAATAATGGTATCGTATCAGAGGTATAAAAGTTGAATCAGGATGCCCCCAAACCAAATAGTGAATTAGCATGTCGTCTCAATAAGGCAGGTTTAATAAAAATGTTAAGTGTCTGTTCTGAGCGTTATACAAGTATTTGGGTCTGATCTACAAGTGACTCAGCTACATCGACTCCCAAAGATGCAATGTGCAAATTTTCTTCTCCTTGTATAAAACTCTATTTTTTAGGTTTGTGCAGAATATTTCTCAAAAACAGTCATTTTATAAGCTTACCTTCGCAAGATAATGGATGCAGGGTTAGAATAGGTACTGTGCATTATAAAACATGAGCACTTAAAGTCTTTTTGCTTTGACTTTGCCTACACATTACATAAGAGTACCAATGCCTTTGAAGTGGAATCAGAAAACTGAATGGTAAATGCTGGAGGAATACTTAAAGTGAAGCAGTGCTTAAAAAGGGAACGACTCAAACATCACTGAGGGGTGGTAAGCAAGTTTATGAAGGACTGACCAGCCCATCCATCCTCGCAGTCATTGTCCAGCTCATCCAGATCCTTCAGGTCTTCTGGATTGATGATGGCCGGGCGCTGCGGTCTGTCGCCAGGCCTGCGGATGGGCTGAGATGAGAGTCGAGGTGGAGCGCGGACAAAGCGGTTCTCTCTTTTCACTTCACCACTGCGAGAAGAGAGAGGGGTAAAAATGACTGTTCGGTAAATGTGAGGTGTCACGAACCTCTCAGGGAAACTCTCTCCACTTACTTTACAAGTTCAGGTTTGGCGTAGCTCTGTCTGAAAGCTGGTTTGCTGTCAAATCGGGCCGGGGCTGCGACAGTGGTAGGAACACTTTCTGTACCTGGAGCTTCGCGTGTCTCTTTGGAGCACATCTGGAAACAGTAACATGACAAATTCTCAAATAATTGAAATTTGACAGAGGATTTTTTCGTAACCAATATGAAGCATGAGCTGCAACCGGGTTCTAAATGATAAAGGTCTGGTACTGTTGGTCATTTTTTAGACTAAACTATGTAAATAAGCAATTTGAAGGCACTTCTTTGGCTATGAAGAGTTGAAACGACTTTCAAAACTCATCAATAAACCATAAAACAAGAAACAGTCACATCAATTCTTTGAAGCCTTTACAGAGCAACAACATGAGATAGTAGTATATCGCTTACAAATGCAGGCAACATGTCGTGGTAGACAGCAGTGGAGGTATGGTGAAGCTGGTACTGCAGGGCAGTGGGGACGGTTGTTCTGCGGACAGGCTGGGCGGGTCGCAGGGAGGGCTCCTTGGGGTCGAGGACCGGAGACTGAGCCGTCACTGCGGGGGAGGAAGTTGTGCCTGTGGCAGAGGGCGGGTGAGTTGAGGCCGGAGGGGTGCCGGCCTCACCCAGGGCAGTGATCTTACCCTCAGGATCTGCTGGCAGGCCGAGGGTGAGGGACGAGGGCTGAAGGTTCCTGCCACCACCTTCCCTCCAGCTCGTCACATCTTGAGGAAGAAGAGGAGGTTTCAGAAAAAAAAGGAGCGAATTCTACACTGAATGAACTGACAAAGTATCAGAGAAAGAAATGGGACACTGTTTCTAGACAAATGATGCTCTCTGCATCACTAAAACAGACAATGTGAAACATCCAAACTCGTCCTAAGACTGAAAAATGACAGCTTTTCTCCCCGCTGCCTTTCAGGGAAAACCCAGGGGATAGCAGCTGTGAGTCACCGAGAAAAATGACAGCATGTCCGCTGTGGAGCTCTACTTGCTCTAACAAATAAATGGGTGCATGAATTAAGCTCATGGTATTAAGCCACAGATCTGAAATTACTGCCCTCTTCCTCTCATTCATGGACTGTTTCCTCAAAGTTCACCATGGTACTGCACATATGTTTACAGGTAGTACAACAAAAGAGAAACAGTTTCATTTCACTTGTGACAACTTTCAACAAACGGGTGTCTGCGGCACGCTACAACCGAGTTCATAGAGTATCAAGGCTTGAAATTAACTTTTTGTACTTGGTAGCACTGGTGCTCCCAGCTCCAAAAATTCAGCAGCATCCACTTAAAAAACAAAGACACACAACATCTAAACGCTGTATTTATTAGTTTTTTGTTCCTAAAGGGAAAGTTATTTTACTTAAATAATACATGTCTGAAACATCCTGAGTGGACCTCAAATATCAGCCCAGAAAATCTGAAGAGTCATCTCTCACATGTTGGTATGATAAAGCATAAATAATGCAAGGAGAAGTTCATTTGGCCACCCAAGATGTACTCTCATCTTACAGATATATGAATTTTCAAATTTAATATCACAGGAGCATTTCACATCTAGTGCAGTTGGAAACCTGCTATATGAGTTTTTCTATTTTAGATATATGCCTTTTGTAGATACCATTCCCAGGTCTGGCAGACAGATATAGATGTGTCAAGCTGTCTATTTATATAGTATATATTTGTGTTATTTATGACTTTTCATCTGTCTTTTTAAATACTTTTATTATCACTTTTTATTCTTATGTATTCTTAGAACTTTGGCAAGTTGGGTCTTTTTTTCATGACACAATAACATACTGCTACCGAGACATGAGGGCACTTAATATTTGTCAAATTTAAGCTGCTATGTTTTTTTTTTCTTTTGGCATTTATGAAATTAACTAAAATTCATATCTATACCTTATTTTAAAAATGTTATATCCACATTTTCTAAGACCGAAGCTGGTGTGAGGGTAGGGCTGGGCGATATGGCCTCAAATCAATATCACAATATATTGAGCAGTATTTGTACACCGAATATACCGACAAATTTCTGTATTGGTAAATTTTTGGTTTATCGCCCAGCCTTATATGGGGGGGTAGGTGTCAGGCCAACAGCTTTAAGTAAAAAAATGTTTTTACATTAAACATATAAAATATTCCTAATAAATGTGACATTTGACTATCAAAGTCAGAAGGATAAGATGTTTTTAACTTCAACCAGACAAGATAACAGGACAATAGAGAGAACAGGATATGCAAAGACTGCCTTGTCCACAGGAGGAAAAATTGAAGTTCCTCTCAGGAGCTTTGATGATTAAATGCACTATATCATATGGCAGCACATTTTCTGCTGAACTAGACTGTTTTTGATACAGCACTGCCACCACATCATTATGATGCCGTAATCACAGTTAAAAATGTTGAACATGCCAAGCGCGATCCTCAAAAACAGCTCTTCATGAAAACAACATTGGACTCTTGATGAGGACAGGGGGCGGTATGAAAATGAGGTGACTGCCTTGTGGTTTAATATGCAGGAAAATCTTAGATTAAAGACCAGCCTCTCGTCACAGCAATTATTGCACTTACACAAATGCTTGCATATATAAATTGAGGTTGCAAGGATAAAACATCGATCAAATGAAGAACCAAAGAAGTCATAATTTCAACCCCTATCCTGATACTCGATCTGTCTCCTGGCAGTGATATTCCCGAGTCGCAGAAATCCTATAGTAAAGTGAAGTAAAACCTACATCTAAAAACTAATAACCTCCCTGAAGAACCCTAGAGTGAAAAGCATAATTTTTCCTTTGAGATGTAAGAAGTAAAATAAACTTAAGAAAACGCACCATCTCCAGCAGACAGGCTAAAATTGCACGGTAAGTGAGTTGATGTATCAAGTTATTTTCTAAGCAAGTTCTGGTGTGAAAGTATGTGAAAGTATCACTCAGCCTCCAGACAGACAAAACACTACCTGCCAATTAAATGATTTATATCCACCAGACTTGATCATGTATTTGTAAGCCTGCCAAGTCTTCGGAGCAGAGACTTACTCTGGGGGCGGAGGCTTGGTCCGGGCCCATACGACGGATCGAAGCCGCTTCTTTCCTTGCCAGCCCTGTCCTGTTCTCCAGCTGCCTTCAGCGTGGGAAATTCCTCGTGAGAGAAGGGCTGAAGTCGGTTTGAGGCCCTTGAACCTGGTGTTTTTTTTTCATTGACAAGAGACGAAAAGGTGTCAGTCTGACTCGAACACACAAAATGTCATCGAACAAATTGGCAAAGACGGGTCTAGGTCACAGTTTGGATGGGAAACTCTTCACCAGCAGCAGCAGAAGCATGTCATTTGATTTTAAACACATTTCACGCTTTATTACGAGGCTGAGATGACTCACCATCTTGCTCTACTGCCTTTCCATTTAGCTGGGCCCATTGCTTTGGTCCACCTGTGTTTGTGTTCTGTGGAAATGAAGAAAATCCAAGGTCACAGCCTGATAGCTTCATTAGACTCTAATCTGCACACAAGACTCCTCAAACTACAGCTGACGTGAACAAAGCCTAAGCTCTCGAGATCATAACCTCAGCTGCACATACACACCTCCTGGTTGGCTACCGGTGAGGGCTTCTGAAGATTGGAGACAGATTTCTGTAAAGCCAGCTGCGGCTGCAACTGCGGCAGCTGTGGTATTGATGCAACAGAACTGCAAACAAGAAGAGGAACATTAAAAAAAAAAGAAAAAACGGTGATGTGAATGTTATGTGCCACATGAAAGCCTGAGACCTTTGAGCAGGTGTGGATAAAACAACTCTGTGTAATCCTGGCGTAACAGTTTCACAATGACAGCTGAGCTCTGCAAAGCTCACAGTCATGATTTACTTCTACTGATGCTGCGTGAGTGTGATTGAAGATGTCGCTTGTCTACAAGAATGGACTTCAAACTAGAAAGGCTATCATAATACCATTGAATCTGCTTGCTGACTTCATTCCACAGCATATGAAATTACCAAAAAGAGGTGAAAAAGATCAAACGTGAAACTCTGATAGGGTGCAGGGGTTCCCTCACCTCTTTTGCTCGGGTTGTTCCTGCTTGTTCGCCCATCCTGTACCGTCTTTAGGCACAATAATCACGTTGGGATCGTTTCCTTTGTTTTCAGACTTCAGGCTCGGCAGGTGAGCAGGTGGGGGCATGCGCCGGGCTGTGGCCACTTTTCCAAGACTCTGTAAGCCATGTCGCGGAACTACTGGGGGGAAAAAACAGAGAGAGAAAGAGCGAGGGGAGTCTGATTAAAGCGGGATCAAAGGATGCAAACAGTGATGTTCAGAAAGCAGACAAATACTGTACATTCGCTGAATAAAAAGAGCCATACCTGTGTTTTTCTGAGTTTCTATTGATTTCCCCTTGTACTTGTCAAATAGGCTGAGTGAGGAATACTTGCTTTTCCCATCCTTGGACTTGGTTATTTGCCCCAAACGATCGGACATTGCGATGTAATGTCATCGAGTATGGAAATTTTTCTTTGCGCCTCTTCCCAGTGCCTTCAGATTCTGTAAAGAAAGAAAAAAACATTTTATGTTTAGACCTTAACTGTAGTAATAGAGAGTATTCATCTATTTCCAGGTGCGCCTCATTGTTATGTCAGTGCTGAATTTATTTCATATAAACATGTAATGCTTTTTCACCCAGCATGTGGATATTAACATACTCAACAAAAGGTGCTTTTTAGGTTTATCTTAGTTTCAGGGGCGACATGATGAAAACGCAGGTATTGTGTAAAGCATGATGACCAGCACTCGACTGTATTGAGACATTGCGTGTTTCATAATACTGGCAAGTGTTATCACAAATGGCGTATTTTTCACACATCAGGCCAATGCAGGTATTGAGACTGAAGTGGTTTCTAATGGGACCTCAGGAGGTTTGAACGTAAATACAAGAAGAAAAAGAATCAAACAATATTTTGAATATCTGAGCGACAAAGAGAAATCTCATTTTGTCACTGTTGATTTTCAACCTGCTCACAGTTTTGGTAGAGAAAAAGTTACTGAACAATATTTGTCCAACTATTAACAGAAGTAGGACTTTTCCTCCAAGAAACGACACCAAAATTAAACTTTTAATTTGAGTTATTATTCAATATGCAGAGGAGTGTGGTGTTGTGTGTTTCTGCAGGTGTCCCCATATTTTCTCATTTTCTTCATAATTTATCCATTTTAAAAGCTTCAGTTAGAAATGCCTGATTATTGTAAAACAAAAAAATAAAATAATTATATGGTTTAATTTTTCTTTCTGCGGTATAAATATAAAGTGATATAACAAAAGGACATAATTTAAATCAAATAAATTAAGCGTGTTTATTTACTCAGATGAAACTTAACAAAATCAATAATACATTTAGACTCTTAATTATTTGGATTTCTGGGTATTTTCTGCTTATAAATCAAATCCCTATTCTACCTAAAACTAACTGTGTCCAACCTTTTCTAACTCTTTTTACAGGGAGGGGAGTCACAAGCAGAGGAGAAAGTTCGGGGAGCAGAGACATGTCACGAACCTTCACAGACTTTATTACACGTCATCAATAATTTCTGACAATGTTTGAAATTATGCTCAATATGTGTCACAAGCCCCAAAAAAGGGGCCTCTGATGAGTGAGTCCTCAGCTGCACAGGATTTTGTCAACACTACTATAAATGCACTACAGGTTTAACTGTCAAATCATGTCCACTATGCTAAAAAAAGCACAGAGACATTGGGGAATACATGTCTTGCTTGATAGAGCATTTGCCAGGGAGTCTGTGAGCACGGCTGCATGCATGTTGACACTTCACGGTCATGTGACACACAGACACTACATAAGAAAGCGACCAGTTCCCTTTGTGTTCAAGTGAGAGGCCGCATTAAAGTGATAGCAGGTAGTCTGACTGTGGATCAGTCATGGGAAATGAGATGGTGGTGACGGTATTACCTGTCTCAGCTCCTACAGAATGACAATTCACTGTTGTGCATGTACACATCTCAGTTGCAAAAGTCGAACAATAAACCGTTGAGCTTTAGCATCAGCTGTGCAGAGCTGTAAGCTCCAGACATCAACAGTTACCGGATCAAGTATGATAAACAGAAAAGCACCAGGTAACATTGCTTTCTCGCTCTTTTCTCTGTCTGCAACAGACAAAAAGTCACACTCAGTCTTCCTTGGATGCTAAATCGTCTTAACAGAACAGCAGCAGTTGCTGACCTGTAAATAAGGCGAGTTAGTGTTACTCTGTGACAGAGGGTGGAGCCCAGAGACACACAGCAGGCAAAACCAAGTGTGCAGCTCAGAAACTAAATCAGGACCTTCCTGCACATTTGTGCACATGTTTTTTTTAGTTCCTATGAGCTCAGCCACTTTGAGAAACTCAGAAAACTTCTCATTATTCACTTATATTCTGTTGTGTGTTTTATCAGTACTTTCTGCACTTTTTCTCCACATTGACCAACTATCACTGTGCTCTCCCTGGCTCTCTTTGCCAGTCCGTCCCAGAAGCTTAGGGTTGAAAACAAAAGTGTGGATTTGTTTTTTTCATGGGCTTCAGTGAAAAGTATCAAAGTATCAAGACTTCCAGAATATCAAAGTAGCACTAAAAATTTAAAATAGCCAGGGCTGCCTCCAGCATGGTTTCAGACAGAGGTGTAACTGTGCAGAAAAATATCTCCATGTTCAGGAACAAAACATGGAAGTACAAAATATGAGATACAATTCTCTTAAATGAGACACTGTCACCTCTCTGTAGATGAATTTTTCATGTTTCCTCCATGTTTCCTTCTGCAGTGGAACTTTGATCTAACCTCCGGGCAGAGACACAAACATGTCTGATCTGTGTGAAACTTGTGAGAGGCACAGTTCCTTGTGTAAGCTGTGTGCTGTGAGCAGCTGTGATTAAAACTCCAGCTGAAGATGTGCTGTCCTGCACATGTGCATCGTAAACCTCTGTTCATGAATGGCGCTCGGCTCAATGCTGACCCAAAACCAGCGCTAAGACGCCACTCAAAGCTGCATCCTTGACAACAGTTTTCAGATTCACTTCTTCGGTTTTTATGCACATTTAAATGATGCTTTGAACACCTTAAAATAAACCTTCAGATATCTAAAATACAAATACAAAAGTGACTTGGTAAAGATAGTTACTTGGCATCACACTTATGAGCCTAAAGCAAACTTTACTTTAATACAAAGGAGTCCTTTTCTGCAGATGAGCTCTAGAAGTCGTTAAATAACATCACATTACATTTAATATTTTGTCTTGTGCCATCTCCATCCTTTTTCATCTCTGAACAATTCCCAAAAACATTCCCTGATATGAATCGTGCACATTCAACAGAGTCATGATCAACTGAGATGCTCAATTTTACTCATCAAATCACATCAGGTGGGGGGAGACAGGATACAGTTTGTTCTCTCCTCCCTGCTCTCCTCTCTCAATCAAAAGATTGCAGAACGACTTGCTCCAGCCTTTAGTGTTGATCTTTCATGCCTGGCACCCCGGGAGAAGACAGCAAAAAAAAAAACAGGACTGTAACGATCAGTTATTTTGTTACCTTACCAAATTTTTTAATTGTTGAAACCAAACGGCTTGGTAGAAATAAAGCACAATCACAGAGGTCTCGCCTCACCCTGAAGAGATTCTTCTGCTGGAACAACCCGTCCACATGAAATAACTCTACTTCAGTTCTTACATGGCTGTTTACTCAATAAGCCACGAATTTTTCAGCAAGTATTGATCAAGAAGTGATTTTGTTATTTTAAAGTGATACAACTACTTCTGTTCAAAACACTGTGTTTACTTCAGACACCATTTTCAGGTTTGTGAAGTTCTCTGTTATAGTTAGGGGTGGGCGATAAAACCATATATATAGAAAATTGATTTCCCTCAGTGTCAATATAAAACATGGTCAATGTGATTTTTGATAATCGGCATTCTGCGATGTTTTGGTAGACTGTATGAACAGCCAATGAAAAGGGGAGTTGCTCCGGGTCCACTTTGCGCTGAACCAATCATGTGCCGAATTACAACCAAGTAGCAAACAACTGCGTACTAGCAGGCTGCAGCTACAAACAACCACAGCACTTTAACACGTGAAGCCGAAAGCACTGTTGGAGAGAAAAAAAGAAAATAAGTGCTACCCCCAGCAGAAATGTAGATGAAGGCACAACAGATGATGACATGGTCGACAACACTGGCACGAAAACGTTGGTGGTGTGGAGGTATTTTGGTTTTTTGAGGTCAGACATGAAGCAGAGTAATGTGCACAGCAAAATCCGGGAATACCTCAAAAAGCGAACGAATATTTTAGTAGTCAAGTATTCTACCGAATATTCTATCGATTACTCGAGTAATTGGACCCAGACGGCAGACTCACATAAAGTTAGATTTCCTCTAGCCCAGCAATGAAGGCCAGACTCAGAGAAATAGGCTATATTCGCGGAACAAGTGAGTGCGTTAGCGGATTGCAATGCTCGTAAGAAAGCTTATGATGACATTAACTTTAATCATGCCCCTAAAGACATTAGTGTCCGAAAGCTGAATAGTTCCTGTGTTATCTGCTTCTGCTACGACACCAGCAATGTTCGGCTACAAGCTAGCATGAAGAGAAGTGTGCAGAGCAGCGCTGTCTCCACCCACAACTCAGAGGCTACGTGCTAATGAGCTACTGGAGCTCTGCACAAGAAAACTGTGTTGCCAACTCCTCAGTAACCAGAGTCGCTAGGTTGTCAACACTGCAAGAAAAGTCCCTCTCATCATTTACTTTTTCCGCTCTGCAAAACCTAAACAGCGCTTACTCCTCCTTCTACCGTGGTGACGTAAGCGCATTGTGTCACCTTTTAAAGAATCCGTGCGAAATAGTGACAATTTCAGCTTATAAACGAGAACTCGAGGCAGAGAAAATTCCTCAATCATTATTTGTAATCGAGGTAGTCGAGGTATTCGGGGAATCGTTTCAGCCCTAAAAAAAAAAAATATACATATATATATACATATATATATATATATATATATACTGCCCAGCCCTAAGGTCGTGTTCACACCTAAAGGTCCATTTCCTGATTCGAATCCAAGGCAAGACGATACATTTTTTTTGATGGTTTAACTGGTCCGGTTTGCGTTCACAAAGGACAAACTAAATCGCTGCAGAAAACGGAACCTGTGTGGTGCGTTTCCTGTGATTGGTGTGGATGACGTTCACACCAGAAATGAAAGGCTCCAGAGTTCACTTGATAGCGGTCCGAGACCACCTCTTCTGGCGGACCAGACTTCGTTTATTTGGTCCGCACCACAGTTCGAGGTCAGCGTTCACACCGACCCAAACGAACCGCACCAAAGGGGTAAACGCTCCAGGGTTCGGTTCAACCGGACTAAACGGTGGTGTGAACGCGCCCTTACTGAACATATGATTACATTTAATCCAGAAAATGTTCATTCCAAACATTTGGGTTTCTCCTTCAGCATTCTCAACAAAAGCAGAAAAAACACTTTAATGTAAGATCCTCTTCCTCGTGAATGAGTGACATTTTCCTAACCCTCAATCAGTCCCATCACACAGCCAGATCCCATATTGTGTTGCGGTTAATTGCCTTGTGTCTGTTTTATTCTATGTCTCATTTACTGAGCTTTTTGTCTATTTCTCACTGTCTCTTATCTTATGCTCTTGTCATTGCCTGCTAATCTCATGTTTGTGCTTTTAAGTAAATCAGGAATACTTTGAATAAAATCCTCTCTCGTCATCCGGTTGGAAAATAATGTTTCGGTCAAGCTGTCAAAAGGAAAAAGTGAAATCATAACCAGGAGATTAGATGTGCAGTACAACCATAGATTAACCTGTTATAGCTGAGATGTATGATCAGGCTGTCTATGATTCCTTTGCAATTCCCATTTAGGATCTGCAGCTTATTCTTTTTAGTTTATCACAACACCGTCTTCGGTTCACAACTCATATCTGGAGTTTAAAACGTTTTAAGGATAAGCATGTGGAAATAAATATCGTTTAAAGTGCTGAACACAGACGGTTCACGGTGTATCGGAGGCCGCTCGCTTTGAGCTCTGCAGAGGCGTTTTACTGACAGTAACAGGGAAAAACATTCCTCAACGAAGAGCAATCATATCACAATCTCAAATCAATAATAATGTCAAATTCGCAGTTTTTCGATAAGGAAAATACACATTTTCAGGAGGAAGAAGACTCAACACGGTTATAACACAGATGTGGAAGCTAATGCTTTGACAGCAAACGACATATACTTGATTTTTCTCATGTCCCACACTAATTCACCCGTGGAAACGAAAAAAACAGCAGAAAATAAGCATATTAGCTCGCTTCTACTCATAAGTATTTGTTAAAGTCTGATATATAATTGCTTAAATGTCAGTTTCAGGCGCCGCTACCTCTTGGAAAGCTAATGCTAAATCCGACACATGAAACTGACACCATTTGGTTTACTGCACAAAACCAAAGCAGTTTGAACATCACAAGGACCAAAAACAGGCAATTTGGTTGACTTTACCGGGGTAAAAGTGCTGTCAAATTCCTCTTCAACTTCAATATTACAGCACAAAATGTAACAGAGTCTCGGTGAAGCTGCTGAACATCATCTGTATAATGTGCTAGCTAGTGGCTAAGAGAAAAATGGCTATGTAAACATGAAGTGCAAGGCCTTGTTGGGCTGTGTTTCACCATGAAAACCATATTTCAGACGTTTTCAGTATCGGGAATTTACTGCTTCCTGTAGTGTTTATCCGCGTAGACATGACAGAAAAAACTGTAATTTGCTGTTAGTTAGCATCAGCTAGCTTCCTTAGTTGAAAACTAGTAAAACGGCAGTCCCGTTCAACTTCCAGTCTGGTGTTCAAAAACAACCTTGACAGGCCTTGGGGGGGTTCAGTGCAGGGGTGTTAGACATTTTTATAAACACGCTTTTCTTAGTGGAAACCTCATGAAAACACCCAAGAGACATGCCAACATTTTCAGCCTTTCCTGGCTTTCAGAGCGGTCAGACGACAGGGATGGGAATGTAGGACAAGGCGATTAAAAATGGCTGCTGCACAGAACAAAGCAACAATAAACTGGGCAGCGGAGAAGACGAGCGAAAAAGTAGATATTTCAGACAGCGGTTGGCGTTTGTAACTCACCGATTCAACGACTTAGTGAGTCTTCTGATCAGTGACAGGGATATATTTCCACAAAATGCTGTCTACTCAAAGGATGGATGGCGATTGTAAAGCCCAATCTTCATAGGTTGAACCGATCGCGGTGTTGTTGCTGGGGTCCTACCCGGCCTGAAAATGTACAGGGCTGAGTGGAGGCTGGATCCGCTCGCCCGAGAGCGTCATACGTCACCAAATCACGTCCGTAGGGAATCACATGAAGCGCCCCCTGCCGGCCTTTGTCATTACCCTCAAAGTTTAGTTACACCATTGATTAATGGGCTGAAATATATGGAAGTAAATCTGTGCCATCTGATTTTGAATTTGAATTTCTAAAGCTGATTTTTTTTGCATCAAAATCAGACTTTGAATTCCAAAACTATCGAATTTCAAGCATGCATTTTTATTTCTGACACTATTTTTTTTCACAATGATGAAATAAATTCAGTGTAAAAAAAAAGTTTGTCAAAAATATTTGTTTCATAAAAATTCGACTTACAAAAACTGTAAAAAATTCAACATATAAAAAATTCTGTGTATAAAAATTCAGTTTAAAAGAGACAGACTTAACGTCCAGTAGTGATGGGCACGGCAGTTCTTGTAGATGTACTGAATCACTAGAATCAGTTCAACAAAAGGATTCGTTCAAAGGTTCGTTCACCAAATCATCGAATCATTCAGCCCTTGGCAGGAGGAGCCTGCGACTCCGAACTCCTGAACTAATACACAGCTGAACGGTTCAGGATTCAGTTCGGATCATATCTTCTGGGACCGGGAGACGAGAGTGTTGTGGCTGCGTTGCTTCAACAAACACGTTTGTAAAAATGAACTTCTTTATTAATCATGATGTTTTAAGTATACTGTCCTATGGTATGCTATTTATCAGGTCTTCTTGGTAAATTGGGCTCAGTGGGTGATTCGTTCACTGAACATTTAGAAGCATTCACACTGAACATGCACCGTTCCCTCCCAAACTGCTGCAATGATAGGATGCTGCGGGTTTAATGCACTACTTGTTACATGCTGTGTCCTATTGTATGCAAGTTGTTCTGGTGGCAATTTAGCAGTGAAAAGAAGAAAAAAGTTAGTTTTGTCCGACAAAAATGATGACAGAGAGTGTAGTTCAATGTGTGATTCGTTTACCAAGTGATTCAGGCATCAGTGCATGCGGTCCCTCGTTCGCCTGGAATTGCTGTGTGCAATAGCAGCTGCACAGCTGACAACGCAGCTGAAGTGAGAAACGAACGAATCACTCGAGGAAGTGATTCGGTTCAGTATGTTCATTTAAAAGATTCGGTTCTTTTGAACAAATCGTTCTTAAATGACACAATACAAACATTTGGGTAACCAGGGAGAAGCAATTGATTCATGGCTCAATCATCCACCGTCCAGCCAATCAGTTAATGCTAGATTGGTCATGTGGTACAGACCCCAGTGGAAGATTGAATCCAATCGATTGCCTCTCCCTGGTTACCTGGATGTTGAGTTGTTGTTAAGGGTTGTGTCCGAAATGGATGCCGAACCCCTATATAGGCGACTATATGGGGGTTAGCGCCATTTTGAGGGGTGTCCGAAACCTGAGTGATCAATTCCAATGCCCCATATAGGCGACTCAAAATTTCCCATAAAGCATTGCAAAATGTAGTGACCATCCAATGGTCACTGACCGGTGGTGGGCATCCCGTCATGCATTGCGTCTCCAGCGGCAATTCAAAGATGCCTCATGACAAGAGCAAGAAGAGACAGAACCTGAGCTCTATTTGCCATTTTCAGCGTAAATTTTTTATCTTCACTTCACTCGCAAGTGATCAAAACAGTTTTCTAAAAACATGTTTGCTGCGTCATACAGTCTCGTGCACAATATGATGCAACAAACAATATTAGGCACAAAAATATAAGGCCTTTTAAATTAATTACAAATTTATTGTTTTTTTATTTTTTTTTTTATTTCACGAACATCCTGGAAAAACAAATACATCTATACAACATCATAAAATTCAAGAGATGTGAAAACAACAGCCGCAACTTCAGACGTGGCAGTCTTAGCAGTGACATCACAACGGTGCGCCATGTAGTGTCTGAAACCTCCGGTGATTTAGCTCACTACATAGTCAGCTATATAGTGAAATCCCATATGGGGGTTAGGGATTGGGGCACCTATAAGGGCATACACAGGGAACTTTTTATGTTTTATCCACTGACAGGACATAGAGCATTTTTTTTCCCACTATAGGAGTACCAGAGACATCATTTTATAGCTTTTATCTGTACCAGGGGCATGATAGCATGGTGGGCAATTGCCCCCTTTGCTCCCCCTCTGGGGACACCACTGCGGACACCACTGACATTTCTTTGAACATATTTAAAGCTCATGTATCCAGAGATCTCATAGAAAAATGACTCCATTTATTTGGCAACTTAGTTCAAAGGACTATTTAGATCAGTGGTTCTTAACTGGTCTCACCCTGGGACCCACATTTTCCCATGGTCCTTAAGTCGCTACCCACTTTTATAGAATTCAAACAAAGCAAATTTATTTTTTATGAAAAGAAAAACCTTTAAAGACTCTAATCTTTAACATAAATCCACTTGTTTTTTGTTTCTTTTTTTTAAATAAAGTGCATTTCAGAGTACATGAAGGGGACAACATAAGGACAACAACTACTGAAGTTGCATATACAGAAAATATCAAATATCAAATAAATATCGTATTAAATATTTACTTTTTTCACCAGCTGTCTGTGACCCATCTAGAACATGTCCGCAATCCACTTGTGGGTCAGGATCCACCAGTTGAGAACCACTGACTTAGATAATACATCCACTTGTACAACAATGTCTGTCATCGTTAGTTTGAATTAGGATTTACAAACGCGTTTTTGTCTGAAAATATACCTGTAGTTTATGATCAACTTGCTCTACCTGCAGAGCAACAGCCATCATTAAGGTTGACGTACAACTGCAAGACAGTTCATACCATGAGAATACAAGTCCCCCAGGTAATGGCATGTATAGTCCTCTAGAGGGAGCTCTTGACTTTTACTATTCTTTTCAATGATGTGTAATCCTCCAGTGAAAGCTATTTGGATGCAATCCTGTTTTACAGAAAGTTTCTTAATTTGCCTATTGTCTTTTCAGGGATCATCACAAAATTTAATCAAACAAAGAACTGTGAATGTGTGTTGGAAATAAAATCCAGTGTCTCAGAAGCCAAAATACCTGAGAAGCAGATCATCATGGTTACCATTCCATACCTACAGAGGTCAGTGGCAGCTGAAAGTTGTGGTGTCTAGTGTTCCCTCTATCTGTTGTGTATGACACGGTCTGTGCGTAAAGACACAACGGCATGCAGTGTGGTGTCTGTTGAGTCAGTGCATGAGGACACTGCAGAAACAGGCCTGCAGACACTATCAGCTCTTACTCAGCGGGGATATTTTGGGAACATGTTTTGCAGAGTTGTAGCGGCCTTGATTTTAGACAAATCTGCAAGGGACAAGCTGCAATTTGATGAAGTTTCTCATGGTTTAATGGAAGGGAAATCAGCCTTATGTGACCCTAAAGCAAGACTCTTAAAATGTAGAAGAATTTTAGCGGCCATATCAGCTTGAGAAACGCCTTATGTAGCAAGGCATCAAATTGTGCTACAGCAGCTTCAGTGTCTGCATCTGTTTGCTTGCATATTCAAAATAAATGTGTATACTTGGAAATTTTGTACTGACAAAGGGCTTTTGTGAACATAAAAACAAATCTTCTTGGAAGCTCACAAGTTACAGTTAGATTTTGCGGCTCTAGTACCTTATCAGAAAGAATAAAAAAGATTTTACTTTATGAGCTCCTCTTTTCCACGGTTTTAAAATTTGAGCTATTTAGGATTTTTTGCAACCAAGGCAGAAGAGACTCAGACCCAAGCCTCAGACTGTGTCAGTGTCAAAGAGTATTTTTAAAGGCAGTTTTAGTTCTGCTATTTAGACAGTTTCAGAAGACATTCATTGCTGCTGTTTCCTGTCAGACTGTTTTGCGGCAAGAGGTGTGACAGGAAACTAGTGTCAAAGACACTGAAGACACTCATCAGAAATGTCACTGTAGCAGTACCTCAATGAATGGTCACTTTAACCTTAAATCACATTATAAGAGGTCATAAAAATGAAATATAGTGGCAAAAGTCAGGGGAGTGGCCACTGCTGGAAAGGCATGGAGAGTATGTGTGACCACACGTGAATAAATATTCTTATTTACTCTTTCTGTCTCCACAATATCTAAATCAGATACCACAAGTGTTCACTGACTGGGGTCTTCTTGTTGACTGGCTGCAGTATAGGTTATAAAACCTCGCCTCCTCCGACCTGCCAATGATTTTTGGTATTTAACTTAGTCCTTACAGCCCTGATTTGTGTTCAAGTATTCATTTTCTCTTGAAAATTTTAGTTCTGAGTTGTTGTTTGATTATGAGAAAATGATTCATTGACTGCTGTTGATGACTGACGGCTCATGCAGCATTTTCCACCACATCAGCAGACAAGAGAAGGAACCAAAAATACATATAAGAGTTGTAGAAATTTCAGTTATAATTAGTGTCTGGTTAAGATCGTCATAAGAATCTATTTTTCATCTTAAAAGGTGGCACAATAGAGTGGTAGGTTATATATCCTTCTTGGATTCTTAAAGAGCTCTAAAGGAAAATGATCATCCAAAGTCACTGCTCTAGGTGCTTTAAACATTTGCAATCAAAGTTTGGTATCAAAGCCTCTGGTAGGTTGACCGGATGAGACAGCATTACTAATACAGAGACCACAGCTGATTGGCTTCAAAATTGGCAGAAAAAATTTCAAATGATTAGGCTATCAGAGAGGAAAAAGGTTTCTTTTTAAAGGATGATCTATGACATAGAGCATACAGTTTGACAAATAGCCTTTATTTTCTACAGTTAAGGGTAATAATCAACCCTGTCTTATCGCTTTAGGTTTTATTACGTCCCACTTCTTTATAAATTTGCTGACCCAGTTTTGGATCATGTGATGTCTTACCACACAACCTGTTCTTGTGATGTTTGACACAATCAGAATGAGCTGTTGAAAAAAGCTATAATTTAAAACTTCTGTGTTTGAGCTGACGCATTAACATCACTCTCTGAATAATGTATAATGTCGTGTTTCAGTCCAGCCCCATATTCTCTTCTCTGGTGAAACACAGGAAGCATACAGCCTAACCCAGTCAGGGTGATCTTTAGCCCTTATGGTCATCTCACTCTGTTGTCCAACATCTTTCTTTAGATTCCCGTCTTCCTTCTGTTTCTCTTCTCTCTTTTTTCATGTATGATGGAGCTGAGAGCTATCATGAGGAAGGATGGCCATTGGCCAGTGCTAACTGTTGCGCCTCCTTTAAGCCAAACGTGGAAAGACACTGATGAGATGTGCTCAATCAATAAACCTGGTTATATACTGACTCTCACTGTCCATTTGTTTCATGTTTCGGTTGTGGGGCACACTGGGGGTCAACAGAGCATAAATATTGAGATAGGGGTGTAATGGTCTGTGTTTCTTTCCTATCCTTTTCCCCAAGAACACTAGTTCTCTGTGTTTACTTCACAGAAGCCACTATGCAGAGTCCCTCAGATACAAACTAATATTATCTGCAAAAGGGCAACTTGCTGCTGATGGCCAAGTTGTCTAAGCACATGTCCCATATCCAGAGGCTACGCCTCAGGCAGAAAGCCAGGGTTCAATTCCAGCCTGTGGTTCCTTCCTTGCATGTTGCTCCTTGCTCTCTCTCTCCCAATCTCATTCTCTGCCCAATGTACTATCCTCTCAAATAAAAGCATGACAAAAACTTAAAAATATATATACATTATCTGCAATAACCATGAACTTTGGCACAGCACAAACTCACAGCAACACATCATTCAACTTTATTAATGAGATAAAAAAAAGAAGTAAAAACATGAGAATTTGTATAAATAATACAGTAAATTAATGTACACAAACTGTATTTACAAATATGGACTGTTTTTGTTCAGGTATTACATACAAATTTTTCACTTTGTATGCCACACACTCACAAATGCTTCAGTTGTTGGATAATGTATGGAGTTAAAAGTAGATGTATCTATACAGCTACTGCACAATCTAAAGGGGTCCCAAAAAAGAAAGGAAATACCTTTTAAACTCTTCACAATGAAAATTAAAAGAAAAAAACAATTGATTCACAAATGGCACTTTAAATAAAATTACACCAGAACCCCATAAGAAAATTCCAAATTCTGTGCAATTTGTTTTATACAAGCAGCCAACAGTTCAGCAGCATCAAAAATAAATCCATATTTCATCAACAAATTGTAAAAAGACAAACATACAAATCATGCCAAATAGAAACGATGTAAACTATCCAAACTGTTATCACTTAAATACTTTAGTGTCATATCCATTATTACAGTTTTAGGCACCAAACTCCACTCAGTGTTCAATGTGGTTTCTGCAGCTTAGAATAAAAAAAGCACAATATTTCATAATAATATGAAAAGAGGAAGAGATAACAGAGGAGGAAGTGGGATGGTCAAGAGGAAGAGGCAAACACACTCAAGAGAGGATTCGGTGCATAGAAAGAGATTCAGCTGAAAGTAAAATAAATATATTGGAAAAAAAAAACGTTAAAAATATCCAAATTTACATTTCACCATATTATTGTCAGTTTGCAGTTAGTTTTCTTCCTTATTGTCAGTATCTGTTCAAAATTAAGGAGGAGCACAGGTGTATGTTAGTAGATCTGACTGAAGAAAGTAGGTTATATGAAGCATTACTGAGGTCTTGTCAGGTCATGAGACCAAACTTTCAGCCTAGGCGTAACATGCAAGCCAGCAATCACAGCTTCTCCATTCGAACTCTGCAATCCCGGCTTTCCACTCCTGTAGGAAAACTTCACAGGACCCTTATAAAGCAACATAAATGTCTCAAATTAGCCCCGTTTGCCAGCATAATAGCGGGAGAAGCTCAGTAAAAGGGACTCCAGCTAAGCGTGCTAATTGAAATAAGAGTCTGACATGTGCTCGACGAGAGCCACACCGTCTCCATCAAGCTGAAGTGGAACATGCCCAGTGCGAAGCCACACACCATGTCAGTTAGGTGGTGTTTTCCCAGCAGCACCCGGGACACGCCCACCAGGAAGGCCCACAACACCAGGAGGATGCGGAGCGGCACAGCTAAGACCAGGTGGGACAGCAGGAACTTGGACACCATAGCGGCACGGCTGGCATGAGCAGCAGGGAAGGAGTAGGTGTCCATGGCGACGCAGTCCAAGAAACCTGGTGTCATCTCCCAAGGACCTCTGCGCTTAACCAGTCTTTGGACGCCAGCTACTGTCATGACATCAAGAACGAGGGCTGTCAGGAGAAAAAAAAAGGACTTAAATTAATTGATTTACTTTAAAAGTAGACCTTATGAACGTCACAACACAGAAAAAGTCCTGTCTTCAAAAAAATACCTCAAAAAGTATTAAAATGAAGGTGCTGAACATTTTGTGAATGGCCAGTGAGAGTCATATATTGTCACATCTAACTTCAAAGTTGTCCATACTTTCACATCACTTAAAAACCGTCATTTAGTGAGCACTATCAAATTTAATTTAAAGCTCCTGTAAGTAACTTTCAGGCAGTAAAAATGTTGGCACCCCTTTTGGACAAAGCAATCATGGCTTTCTGCTCCTCCACACAATAAAGCAGATAATGATACTAACATACTAGAATGATAATCCTGCTGACATTAACAGTGTTATTTGGGGCATGTTGATATTAGCGTTTAGCTCCAATCACTTGTACCCGCATTTTAGCCTCACAGAGCCAAATTTATATTCTTTGTGATTCTCATTATCAGGTTGACTTTCAACAAAGTGCAATTATTTGATGTGTAGCCTACTCTTTGTGTTAAGTGCCAATTGGCCGATTACTTGCATGTTAACAAGGTAAATTAATATGAAGGAGGTTGATATCAAACTGCTAAAACATGGGCATGTTATCATGAGGCAGGTGCAGCTGCTAGCATAACTCATTATTTCGTCTAATCTGCGATACAGGGCTCGACAGTGCAACCATTTCACTTGCATTTGCGGAGTAGATGTGCATGAATTCTAAAATGTATTCAGGGGCATTTTATGTCCCTGGTTATAACCTGGTTATAACCTGAGGCATTACCTGGTTATAACCTGGTTATAACCTGAGATATTACCTGGTTATAACCTGGTTATAACCTGAGACATTACCTGGTTATAACCTGGTTATACACTGAGACATTACCTGGTTATAACCTGGTTATAACCTGAGACATAACCTGGTTATAACCTGGTTATAACCTGCTTATAACCTGAGAGATTACCTGGTTATAACCTGGTTATAACCTGAGACAATACCTGGTTATAACCTGGTTATAACCTGGTTATAACCTGAGACATTACCTGGTTATAACCTGAGACATTACCTGGTTATAACCTGGTTATAACCTGAGGCATTACCTGGTTATAACCTGAGACATTACCTGGTTATAACCTGGTTATAACCTGAGACATTACCTGGTTATAACGTGGTTATAACCTGAGACATTACCTGGTTATAACCTGGTTATAACCTGAGACATTACCTGGTTATAACCTGAGACATTACCTGGTTATAACCTGGTTATAACCTGAGACATTACCTGGTTATAACCTGGTTATAACCTGAGACATTACCTGGTTATAACCTGGTTATAACCTGAGACATTACCTGGTTATAACCTGGTTATAACCTGGTTATAACCTGAGACATTACCTGGTTATAACCTGGTTATAAACTGAGACATTACCTGGTTATAACCTGGTTATAACCTGGTTATAAACTGAGACATTACCTGGTTATAACATGGTTATAACCTGAGACATTACCTGGTAATAACCTGGTAATAACCTGAGAAATAACCAATTACTTAGTAATTGCCAAGTATTTTCCTAATAACTACATGGAAATACATCACTCCAACTTGTATCTTCACTTCTACCTCCACTGCTCTTGCTTCTCATAATATTTTTTTTTACTTCTACTCTTACTTCTACCACGAGCTCTACTGCTTTGACTTCTACTTATTATATTCTAAAACTACTTCTACTGCTTACATGGCTACTAATATCACTACTACAACTACCTATTATCATACTACTTCTAGTACTACAACTTAAACTTATACCACTTCTCACTTTTCTGTGTTTAAAGGTAATTTTCTTCTTTATCCAATTTTTTTTGCAATTTCAGACAGTTTTTCTAGCCTTATTCAGCATGAATGCAATTTTAATTTATGAAGCACATTCATACTATTTGTACAATTTTCACTTTCATCCAACTTCTACTTTTCTTTCTCCAGCCCTTAAACAAATTTTACATTTAAACCTTCCTCCATTTTTTTAGCAGTTTTGCATTGCTTTTTCAGCACTCAGCTCTCAGCATTTCCACGCATTTTCTGCAAGGAAATGCAATTTTTCTAGTTATATTTAGTTTAACGGAGAAAACAACAGTTGTTCACATGTAAACAGACACCCCAATGACCAAGAATAACCTGTACGGCATATTGGTAGCTTTGAGTCCACATACCAGACATTTACAGATGCCTTTAATAGCTCCACAGCTTCCCCCCAAAATATCCTGACATTGCCGTCTTTAACTTCATTAATAGTCTGCTGCATATGCTCATTCATTGAGCTCTGTGCACAATTACAACCAGTTTTCTTACACACTGGTCATCTAGCCCTATTTCTCATTCCAGTCACCCACTAGCTGTCCTTAAAGGACCGTTTTAAGCTGATTCCCAGCGTCTGACAGGCAGACTGGTTAAATAGTGACGTTTGAGTTTTAAAATGGAGCAAAAAATCGAAACGTTTCAGGAAGAAAATGAATGAATAAAGGAGAGGCAGTGAGATTTTTGTGAAGACTGTGCAGACTCCAGGACTCTACGCTGACCTCTGGTAGTGTTAAAAATACTGAGGGGGAGCGGAAGGTGAGCCAGGCAATGACACATCAGATTACCAGTGTTAGAAAGGAGCCTGTGTGTGGTTTTCTTCCAATAAAACAAAATTCTAATCTTGGATTTTGCCCCTGGATGTGCTCTTAAAAAAATAACACTTCTCAGTATTCTTGGCCGTGAAATATAGGACAGTCAGCACACTGCAGTGCCATGCTTAAAGTGAGGCCCCTGTGAGTCAGCACACAGTTATCGATCCTACAAAAACTGTTCAGAGCAACTGAACACTTCACTGGAGAGTCACATCCTGAGTACAGAGCTACTGTTCAAGAGGGGAACTGCTATATTGGGAATGGAAAGTCCATCGCTAAGATGAGCAACAGGTGTGGGCAGATAAGAGGTGCAGTTGATTGCCACAGATGAACTTGCATTGTGAGGAAATCTGAAACGCCCCGTTTTTCTGATACCACCAAGATGAGACCTTAATACCTCCACTCCTGAGCTTCCTTTCAATTCCAGAGTGAGTCACTGATTTATAACATAATTAAATCTAGCAAATTACTGGCTTTATCATATGGGATCTTTTATAGAGGCTGATACTGCTGGACTTCTTATTTACTAAAAAAAGAGTTGAGCTCTAGATTAAAAAAAAAAAAGCATTTAAAATCCCCAAGCTAATAACAAAGCAGTATCCCTCTCCCTGATATGGCACCGATAAGATACTACAGACCTTCAACACCCACCAGTTGTTATGTAAAGGGATATTCCAGCGTAAAATTAATTTAGGGTCAGACACACCGTAACACCGATTTCTTCATGGTAATGCAATCAGACTGAGACGCTAAGGCAGAAGAACTAATATGGTGATTATTACTTTAAGGAAATGATAAAGTAATGATTATAAATGTTCTTCCTTGAGCTGCGTCACACCGCAGCAGTCCGTAATGGACTGGTTGAGGTCTCGCTACAAACAAGCAGCTGCTGGAAGAGAGTAGGTGAGTTTTGTTTAGTCTCTTTGCTAAAGAAATTAGGCAAAGTTAACATGTTTGGTGGCTAGTGCTTTGGCTGGGACCCTATATGTACTGTTGATGAAGTTAAGCTATAGAGTGGCGTTTTGGTTGAGGTTTGTTTATGGCTCATTGGACCACTGTGTATTGCTATTGTGCGGTCGTTACTAAGGTTGGTATAACTAAAGAAGCAAGCGGTCGGCAACAGTCATCTCTCCAGGTGGTGTCTAACTCGGTGTTACGGTGTGTTTGACCCAAAATTAATTTTACGCTGGAATATCCCTTTAAATCTGATCTAATTAACCGTCTTGTACACATTGACTTCATATAATTCAATTTTTTTTTTTGCAGTTTGGTGCTTACCAAGAATGGACAAAGTCTTAGAGATATCACTTACTGGTTTTTCAAAGGTGTTGCTAAGCCAAACAATTGTAGTCGCCATATCGTAAATGGTGTCTCTATCTAATTTTCAGTCAACCTGGACACATACAAAGAGGTGGTCTATTTGTTTCCAGCTGCATCACACTGCTGTCATTCAATTCAACCAAATCCCTAAGAAAACAAATCAATGTAAACCACTTCGCTTTAACTGCTTCAATAAAAGGTGAGTTGTAAAAATGCTCACCCCTCTTACATCGTGTGTAAGTAAAGGAATGAGCTATTCACAACAAAGCTGTTTTTATACCAAGCAGGAAATGTAAAATTATGCTCTAAAAAAGTCAAATTTAACCTGGACCTGATGGAAGTTTCTTGGCTTTTGGAGCCAGCCTTAAGTGGACACTTTAGAAACTGCAGTATTTGTGCCTCGTTTTTTCACAATGGGGGATGTTAATATGTGTAGTAAGATGAAACAACAAAGTTTGAAAATGTGAAAAACAAAAAGTGGGACATTGTTGATCAAATCTATTGATCATAGGTTAGAAAGATAAGAGAAACAGACAGGTAAACTATTTGAAATGTATTCTATAGGTTAATACTTATCTGTATGCTTCACCAAGCACAATGAAAAATTAATCACAGACAACAGCTGCGTGAGCACGGCCTCAAACAGGTATGTTTGTTGTTGTCTACATCCCTGAAGTCTCATCTGAAGGCCAGGGAGTTAGACATTTCACACTCCTCCTCATTTCTCCTCATGATGCAGCTGCAGTACACTTTTTATATGAGAAACATTTTTTTTTTAAAGACACAGATCCATATGTATTGATTTGTGCTGATTCTGGTTGCCTTGTGGACAAAGTTATTTGTCTTATCTCTTGTCCTGAACACGTCCAACTAGTGTTTTCAAAGAAGTTTTTCTCATAGTTGTCAGTCATGATGAATATTTGCAGGGTAAAATGGGAAAGGCGACTCCTCAAGCTTGCTGTAAATCATCTTGTACAACATCTCCTCTGTGGCAGCATTCAAGTTTTACAATACAGAAATAATCAATCTAGCTACTTATGGTCTTGCTTGCTCATAAAAAGGCATCACTGTTCACTTCATCTGTTTCATGACCAGTTAAAACTCCACACAGGGGCTTACTATACAATGTATTGAGCATATAGAGTAAAGTGAGACCTTTCAAGTATTTAAAGATGTTAGTTTTACTACATTTTAACGCTTTAATAGTTCAACTTCAGCTTCAAACTTAAAAGCATTGAAACAGAGGATATATTCATTGTTTGATAGACTGCTCTGAAATAACCTCAATCATGCAAAGGTGGATTAAAATGCAGACAAAACATATTTTTTTAGCACAATTTCATGCCTGTAGCATCCAGCACTAGCGCTCCATGATTTTCATTTCTAAATGAATGAATTGTGCATAATTTCGAGGGGCCGCATAAATTCTTTGAGAAATGTGGTGACAAAGATTCAGAGAAAAGGAAACCAGACCGAGTAATACACATGATAAGGACGGGAATGTCCCCTGCACAGTCAAGGTGTCTGACATGCTCTGTGGTTGTTTTGACAGTAAAAGTCTTAATAGGACTGAAGTGTATCTTCAACGCGCTGTATGGGAAATATTGCTCCACTGCCTGGCTCATATGTTAATAAGCTTAGACTGAATGAAACCAGCTCTGACAGGCCACTCTGGTCTGATTACTTTCCTGTTAGGTGAAAACAAATCAGAACTTCAGTCAGTATTAAATTTAAATTCCCTGATTATAGCGCAGTACTTCTGCAAAGCTGTCCCACGGCACTTCTGATTCCCTTGGCAGTGAATGTTACATCTCTTTTAAAATGCTCTTTATCGTTTGTGTTTGCTTATATTTGAAGAAATTTGAAGAAACAGTCAGCATGAAAACATAAAAAATTAACAGAGATCATATTGTAGACCTAATTATGCTACCCTCAAGAACAAGCGCCTCATATGAACCTGCCTTATACAAAGTTCAACTGCTGTTGATTCAGTTGATATCAAAAGTAGTAATTGAGATGTGATATTAAGAGGCATGGTAGTGCAGCTGATACCAAGGGTGTTCTTTGGCTCTGGGCACTGAGTCCTAAAAATGCTGAACTGCATTTTTGTGAAGGAAATAGACACAACCCATGATTATAAATACCACTACTTGTCAACTCATGCTGCGTTCGAGTTACCTCGGAAGTCAGATGTCGGAGCTGAAAATGACGTCACACCTGAGTTACATGTACGAAAGTTATTTTAGCGCTTACCTTATATTCGGACAAGACAAGCGTTAAAATAACTTTCGTAGATGTAGCCATCTTGAGTCCGCCTCCGATTTTTCTTTTTTCCAACTTGGTAACTGAAACGCTGGTAACTCAGGTGTGACGTCATTTTCAGCTCTGACTTCTGACTTCCAAGTTAACTCGAACGCAGCCTTAGTTTCCAAGTCGGAAAAAAGCAAAATCGGAGGCGGAAACAAGATGGCTACATGTGCGAAAGTTATTTTAGTGCTTGCCTTGTCCTTGTTATATTTTAAAAAAAAAACATATATGCCTTTTCCGAATATAACAAGGACAAGGCAAGCGCCAAAATAACTTTCATACATGGAACTCGGGTGCAACTCCGACTTGGTAACTGAAATGCTGGTAACTCGGATGTGATGTCATTTTCAGCTCCGACATCTGACTTCCAAGGTAACTCGAACGCAGCATCAGTCCTACTCTACAAATTTGGTGCAAAATATTCAGCTATGACATATAAAGACGTTAAAAGATATACAACTTTTATTCTAGATTTTCTACTTCAGCAACAAGACTGACAGCTTATATATCGTCATTCTAAAGCTTGAAACTATTGTGAGGGGGTAGGGTAGGTGTCAGCCAAGCACATGCAGAAACAGTCCAATTTTTACGATCTCTACTTAAAATATTCATAATAACTGATTCATCTAATTGTCAGAAGTCAGCAGGATGAGGCTTTTTGTCAAAGATACAACTTAAGCATGAAGGGGACAAGTACGAGAAAACTGCACAGGAGAAGCCAAAATTGACACAAACTGAACGTTTCTCACAGAAGCTTTAGTTGACGTCAGAATATAAACGCTTGGGGGTTTTACTCTCAAATCCCCCGAAGTATAAGCCTATAATGGGCTCTGTGATACATCTCACAGCATGTTGAGAGGGAGGTGGAGAGTAAGAGCCAAACATGAGATAAACATTTAGATTCATAGAGATAAAATGTTTTTAGATCTGTGCAGAATTGTTGGTCAAAACAATAGCCAACAAGGACATCATTTTGGGACCTACCTACTAACTCATACCTCAAGAAGATTTTTTTATGTTTAGGACTTTTTTTTTTTAGAGTAAACATATTATTTACCAGCAATTTACAGATGAGGGACCAGGCTAGTTTAGCAGTGTTGTTTTTGTTGACATTGACGAAATATTTTCATCAATGTCATCGTCAACGAAAACAACAAGCAGAATATATGTTTAGTTATTGACTGATGAAATGCTCATGAATTTTGCAACTCTGTTCGTCATCCACCACTAGCGTTTTCGTCTAGTTTCGTCAACATAAACACAAATTCGTCTCGTCACATTTTAGTCATCTCAGACTTATGTTTAGCTCGTCAGTGTCACGTCTTTGTCGTGGAAAAAAAGGGGCATCAACAAAAACAACACTGTAGTTTAGAGTCCTCATACAAGGTTGCATCCTCATCCCATCCCATGATTGATCACAAGACCTATTAGTCATTCAAATATGACAGTATAAACCCTAAATAAAATGTGCCCTGTCAGAAATTCCTGTATCTGTGTGGCTCAAACATTGAAAAACCAAAACAAACCAATAGAAAGTTCTGCAAAGACATGAGTTTGATGAGATGTGGTGCATTGTGGGTACTCTGCTGAGGTGTTTTGAGTGACTGCAGAGTGTGGTGTGACATTTACCAAGTAGCAGGTTGACCAGGACCTCTTGCCCAGCCAGGGTGTTACTCCTCGTGAGACACACAATGGTGCCAATGATCCACGTGATGCCGTGGCCTGTCAGCGCCAGCAGGGCCACCATGGATCGGCAGCCTCCCCACGAGGACGACGTGTAGGCGCACACTCCCATGCGCTTGGACAGGCAGATGTCAATAGCGAGGAGGGAGTTCATGGCTATCCCCTTGAATGAAGGGTTCAGCTGCATGCAGTCCTCTTCGGGCATTTTGCTGGACTCTCTCCGGTCCTTGCTGCCGCTGTCGGTGGGTTCTTCATTTGATTGGCTCGTCTGGTGCTTCATTTGACCCGGTCTCCTGCCGCTTCCCCGACTCTCAGAGGGGCTGGGGCCGCCACTGCTGCTGCTGGTGCTGCCGCCGGCGCCTGCGCGGGGGGGCTGATGGTTCAGGGACATGAACTCAGGTCTGCCCAGGACGCTGTTCCTCTCCCGAGCCCTGGACCTCACATTATAACTAGAGGGCATCTTTGAATATGGCCAATTTGTCCTCTATGGCTCTCCAGCAGATGGTTCAAGTGGTGCTGGATCACCACGGCACTGAAATATCCCGGGATACAACCCCCTCCTAACTGTAGTCCTCCCCCTACTCTGGCCTTAATAGATATATTTAGACCCACTGGAATGCGCGATGGCCATGCTGTTTATACCACCAGCCGCTGTATTGAATGGCATTAGTCTCAGCCAATCCACTGAAACACGATCTGCAGAACGGAGATAGAATAACAACATCTTGTTACGCAAAATATGGTCCAAGTAAACAGCTGGACGGTGCTTTAGTGCGTGTGCTGCAAGCTAGAGTAGCTATTGTGCAAGATTACGTAAAAGATGTTGCACCTTACCCAGCGGAGGAAGAATACGAGGTAAACAGTCAGTCCAACTCTTTCATAAAATTAGTGACTGCGAGAAGAAAAATGTGAAAATAGCTCAGCAAGCGAAATCCGTAGTATTTATTAGTGAGCCTCCATCGTCAACAAAGGGTGAAGACGACGCTGCCAAACCAGTGCAGCGTTTGCTTCTTCCGGATTTGACGTAATTTACGCACGGTCTTGATTCAAGTTCTGCGGTGCGCTCTGGCGTGGAGCGGACTTCTCCAAGGTGCTTAAACAGACAGAGGCAGGAAAAAGGAGTGAGGTGTTGAGGCTTGGGCTTTGTGTCAGCAACAAAGGAGGGGTACTGAAAATAAGACTTGATAATAATGAACAAAAAAACAACATAGATTATAGGGGAGAGTGGGGTAAGTTGAGCCAAAGGCTTTGAAATGGTAAAAGAAATTGATCATGTGACCAAATATTTAGGAGATGGGCATCAATTCATGGAGTCTGAAAGTTAGAGGCACATGGGTGAAGGGGTAAGACATTTATTTCCAAAAAAAAAAAAAACCAAAAAAAACATTTTTCACTCTTGAAAGTGACTTTAGTCTGTCATAAGTTTTATTAGAATTGTGTTCAGACCAAAAAATATCATTTTAAATTTGTTTTATACATCAATTGTGGTGTCTAGTCACCATTTTAGCTTAGAGGATGAATAAAGTCATAATAGTTGTTCTGGGCTAAGTTGAGCCAGTGTCTCAACTGAGAAAGTAAAGGAGTCTGATGAGAGGATCAGAGTTTCAGTTCAGATTGTTGAAATGTTTTACTTTTTCTTTTCAAAAATACATCTGTGAATGTTCTGAATCACTTAAAGACATTCTCATGTTAAAATGGCTTTTTATTAAACAGCTTTTTAGCAGTTAAATGCAATAATAATAAAGAGAATTACTGTACCAGTTGAATAGCGTATAATAGATAAAAATACAAATGAATGTGAAGAAGTGAGTGTTATTTAGGGAGAGAGAAGGTGAGGGAGGGCTGGGGTGGAGAGTGGGGGGTTAGTAGGGATACAGCTCAACTTACCCCGCTCCTGTGGTCAACTTACCCCATACACGGGGTAAATTGACCATAGGAGACCACTTTTTTTTGGCATGCTATATTATCAAGAGAGTTATTATTATTAAGATATAACAGATAATCTATTGAAAGTTTCAGCTTTATTTGTTACGTAAGATAGATAGATAGATAGATAGATAGATAGATAGATAGATAGATAGATAGATAGATAGATAGATAGATAGATTGATAGTAGATTTCTTACTTTGACAGTGTTTACTAGGGCTGGGATGATGTGCTTTTCTCCTATTTCGAAACAGTTGAATGATTATGATTGTCTACTGACTATTCCAGGAACCATATCTCCCCCAAAATATACTTCACATGTAATTCAGTTTTTAAGATTTAAGGTCCTTACACACGGGGCGTTTTTTTCACACAATTATTTTGAACATCAATTTTTTTTTTCGAATCCGTATCCTGTCAATACAAGCGTTCACATCAGCGACGTTTTCCCGTCCTGCGATATTGTGGTATTTATTTTTTCGTATCACGGTTGAATTTTCTAAAGTTTTACATACTGTATGTCCACTTCTGACCAATCAGATTTCATGTTGTTGTGACATCAGATTCACCGGTATATCCAACATGGCCGACCGGCTGATTGTTTACTTCAACTTCAACTTTCAACTTCATTTCATTTATATGGCACTTTTCCTACAAGTTGTAACACAAAGTGCCTAACAAAGCATAAAAAGAAAATGAAACATTAAAATCCCCAAGAAAACCCCAAACCTCCCACCCGCACAATTATACCCATACACACACCCGTGAACATAGACATACATTTCCACACACACAACTTCACATACACACGCACCTACACAGTTCGCAGCTGATGGTGAGGAGACATGACTGGGCACTGAAATCTGAGGTGAGGAAGACGCTACCTTTGGGGGCGGGGGGACACGTCGTTTACGTGTCGGAGAACAGAGTGATTTTTGATAAAAGACACAAACATTACAAAGATCACAACCTGTGGAGAGTCATAGCGTCGGATCTCTCAGGGCGAAAGTTTGTGTGCTTTAACAGTTTGCTAAACGTCTTTGTTTTAACTTTCATCTGTGCTAAGTAACTTTAGCTCGTAAGCTAACCTGTTCAGATACAACATACTATATGTATTTTCACTGTCTCAAACTCAATCGTTGCTGTCACAGCACCATTAGGTCTCGGTTGTTACCTTGCATTTATGGATTATAGTTTAATGTGCTTATCAGTCTGCTGTTGTTTAAGTCTTCTCGCTTTGCACTTGATGTGTATAGTCAGGTGCTTCAAAATTCACCTCAGAATATTTTGTAGTTTCGTGTCATATATTTGTCCCGATGTGTAAGGACCTTTATTCTTAAATTTAAACAAAAAAAATGATTTTTGAACATAAAAATCTATTCAAAAATTGTGAATCAAACAATCGCAATACTTATGTGAATCGACTTTTTCTCCCACCCCTATTATTTACAGCAAATATTCAACTGGAACTTCTACGCCTCCATTTCCCAGCATGCCTGCAGCTTAGAGCGGAAGTGTCGTCTCAAAGATACTTATAAAGCTGCTTCTCAGGCAGCTGAGAGAGACCAATGCGTAGCGGGGTGAACCTGCCGTGGCAACGATGGGACGAGCACCGAGAAATGACAGCTCGTGCGGGAGGAATTGAAGCTAAAACTGCGTCCACGCACAGACAGGAGCACGGCGGCTGCGTGTCGAACTATGTGACATCTGACATTTGTCCTCCCCTACGGAGTCGTTACTATGGTTTCATTTCTTTTCAAAATTAAATAATGGATCTGGCGACATGGGTTCTGAAGTTGACCCGGCGATGTCCTCTGGATGTTGCAGTGCTGCCCAGTCTGAAACTCGACTAGATTTCAGCGCCCGTGGACATGCTACCTCTCTCCGTGGGACGGTGAAATACAGTTGCAGCTGTAGTGGAGGACTAACGGGAGCAGCCGGCGTGCTGGAGATAACGGAATTACCTCTCTGACCGAAGAAACTGTGTGAGCCAGCGCTCAGTCTCAATTTGCTCCAGGATCTCGCCCTGCTGAGGAGACTTTCCTGTGAATTGTTTTATAGGTAGATTTTTTTTTGTGCATGTTGTTTTTTGATGGCTAAAAATAGATCACAATTCATGCACTTGCACTGCATGAGCCTTTAATCCGCACGCTCAGTGTAACGCTCTTAAATCGTCAAATTACACTTTTTATTGTGAGGAATTGGGGCCACAGCGGATTAAAAGGACATTAGGCTGCTGCGCCCAGAGTGAGCGTCACATCTAAAATGCCATTTTGCGTTTTTAACTGTCCGGCTAGGATTTTTGACATCAACTGGATGTAGATTTTAAGCCACTGGGTAGCCCCTGTTTTTTTTCTTTTTCAATGACACACAAGACGCCAAGATGTAATGTTATCTGTTCGTGTTAATTATTAAGTTCATAATTACCTTCACACTCATACACGCACCTTTCCAACGGATATGTGTCGCCAAAAAGTCAAGTGTTTCGTGTGAAAGCGCATAGGAAGCATTGGCCTGTGAGCTGACAGCATGGAAACATCATAACACGGATAAAGAAAGTCACTGTACCTTCGCTTGTTTGATGAAGTTGCTTTTACGCACCGGAAAGCATGCGCTCTCTTGATTTCAAGCTTCTTCTCTAGGCCCGTCTTCCTCTTTTTCTTTTTCCTTCTTTATCTTCTCATGTGAGAATCATTTTTGATCAAAGATGCATGTTTTTTTACGAGACAGTCTGTTATAAATAAGCACCTTTTTTCGTCTTTTGGACACTATGATGTGGTTCCAACTGAGGTAATCTTCTTGCTGTTTCCATGCGTCTTTCTTCTCCTCCAGACCTCTGGACGTTGTTGTGGATTGTGTTGCTATTTAATGCAATGGGCTGTATCCAGAGTATCAGGTGTAAACCCAAGAGTTTCCGAGACAGTATCATCGTCCTGGAGGTGAACAGTTCCATCGACCCCAACCCCACCAGCATCGATGAGTCATCCAGCGTGGTCCTGCGCTACCGGACGCCACACTTCAGAGCATGTGCCCGGGTTCTGGTGCCGCCAGTAGCCGGTAAAGAGACATGGACCATCGGCTGGATTCAAGCGTGTAACCACATGGAGTTCTACAATACGTATGGGAACAAAGGGATGTGAGTACCACGGCTATCTGTTCACTGAGATGTCAGGTTTTGGGCGTATTCTTGATTTCTTTCTGGATTTACTGAAGCCATCTTTATTGTTACACATGTAGAAGAGAATTGAATGTTAACTCTCTTTTGAAATTCTTGTCACAAACGTCCCAGAGACCAAGGTGACATCTTTGCATGTTAGTTTTATTGCTGTTAAATCCTAAACCAAAAAATCATCATTTATGGCAAACAACAGCTGGAAATCTTACTATTTATTAAGACTGAGACCTTTTTTAGGATCATTTAGTTTAAAAATGTCAGATTAGATTGGTTGGTGCTCATAATAGTTACTGATAAAATTCTATGAATCTAATAATCAGTTGTTTGTTTCATATATAAACATAATTTTGTCACTTACAACATGCTTACATGACATTTAAAGAAATACTTCAACCCAGACTACAAATTACAAATTAAACAAAGAGTTTACGTTGGAAGAATGAATACTCAAACCATAGAGAAACCCTGCTCAACTTTGGCACACATTTTCAAACTTGTAAACTGGTCTTAAAAGGATATTTCAGTTTATTTTCAAGGGCAAAGTTATGATGAAATACTTAGCTCTCCTGTTTTTGTCATGCAAATAAGGCTGAAATTATTCTTCAGTAGGAATTTGAGGTAGTGAAACTTTATGTTTGGGTGCAGCTGGGTCAGCCAGTTGCAAAGTATAGTGGTGGGATCATAATATTTACATTTGTATTGAGCAGAAGAGGTAAGAGATTTGCAGCAAACTAATAAATTGAATTTTCTGTGTGTGCTCTTTCAAATTCAATCAGTAGCTCGGTTATCTGCAGTATGTGGGCTCCAGGCTTTGTGCCTGCAGGCTACAAAGTACTTCAGACTCTGACAGATATGAGAATAGGACATTGTAATGGAAAATAATTACTCTGACCTTTCCGAGCATGTACTTGTCGATATATAGTTATTGTGCAATCGTGGTCATTAAATACACAAACATGAGTGAAATCAGCTTTAAGTATTTACTTAATGACACAGTGATAGCATCTTAGTGTTTTCCCTCAGAGTTAGAGTGTGTTTGTGTGCGAGATAGAGATAGGTCGAATGTTAGATGAGTAGCGTTTGTACTATATCCTGTAGTGAGAAACCACAAGCTAACATGCACCCAGAATGTTCTTTATCTGTAGTCACTGCAGCTGAGGATGTGTGAGTGCTGCATGCCTGAGATTAAGGGCGCAGTCACCCCCCACCCCATTATGGCCACACATGGGTGCGTGTGTGTGAGAAAGACAGTGAGAGAACACTCTTACCCTCCAGAAGTCCAATGGGCTCCTAAATGACATGTAGTACTGTTATTTTCATTCAAGCTACATGTTTTTTTTAACCACATTACAGAATAAGATATGATTTATCAAGAAGAAGCTTCATCACTCAGCTGCCTTTTATTATTCAGTTGATTTTTTTTCTATACATAATCACAGAGACATACAGATTCTCAGACTGTCTCCCTATTTTAAGCCCAGAAACATAAAATTGGAGATACTAGCTCACAGTGCTCTCTGCTTGAATTGAATAAAAACAGAGACAAAAACAAATAAAAAAAAACAGACTCAGACAGTAATATCTCAAAACGGGAAACTCTGACTCAAACATTCATTTTTTAAAGTTAAATGTTCCCAAGCAGTGTTTTTCAAGACATTTAAAGCTCCTGTGAGGAATTTAAAGTTAGCTTATCTTTTTGCTGGTCTTGCTACATGTAGTGCCCTCTAAAAACTAAAACCGAATCTTATTTTCCCTTTTTTCACATTCAAAACTAAGCAAGTCTACTGTAAATTACCATTTCTGACACCTACCCCCTGGCAGCAGCTACATTCTTTAAGAAAAACAAGAAGAAGTCATCTGTCTTGTGGTCTGGTTTGCTATTTTATGTCATTTAGAAGCATCAGTATTTGTATCTGTCTGTCATTACCTGGTTAAAAATCCTCACAGGAGCTTTAAAAACACAAGAAATGTGCTTTAAGTCGCAAAGACGGGAACTGACATGTACCCAAGTTTGCAGCCATCAAACACAAAATTAAAAAGTTTGTCAAAAATATAATGTTCAATATAGTATCCATATATACAAAGAAGGACTGTGTTCACAAGCTTGATCAAACCAACGTGGATGTAACTGATACCTGTTCATACATACTGTATAGTGCTATATATAGGTAGGGGTTTTGGAATGTATCCACCCACCTTGCAGCAGTGTTGTCAGAGGCAAATCCCCTGTTCATGCAGTGTTTCATTAAAATTTCAGCCCCTGTAGCGCTCGCACTCAAAAAATGTACTTTTTATACCTTCATATATTAAAGTCGTAAAACTTCACGATCGCCGCCAAGGCCACAATTCTCAATGTTCAGTTTTTAAATCCCTCTTAGGATGCGAGAGATGAGTCTGCTCTCACTGCTGAGATTCTCATACTAAGTAGTTTCTTTGATGGCAATAAAGCTTGGGCGTGCTGTAATTGGACAGAACAGCTGAGGATGGTAATGAGGATGATTTCTCAGTTGGCTTTAGATGATGTATTTGGGATTCTGGACACATTCATCCTTTCTCCTCTGGTCTGCTGTCCTTGTCTTTTTGAGGATATAGTGTTGCGGGTTTGGACTGTATGTGACTCTAAAATTGTGTGAATGAAAAATGGGAAAATAAAGTGATACTGTAATATCGTTGCATTGGATAGAGACCAAAAAGACAATATGGAGAGACATCCAGCCATATTTTAAGCGTTCAACTAATTTTTAGCAAGCATTACTGGCAAGCCAACATTTTGGTTTAGTAGCTTGCAGGACCGTGTTTCAGCACAAAACAACATATCGATAAACACAGCATTAGACTTCATAGCCTTTTAGCTTCCTACTTAGTGTTTAACAAGACAGAAGACAATCTCTGCCTTGAAAATAATGTAAAGTATGAGTCCAAAAATGAAAGCAAAGTCATGATTCTTGATAGAGTATATGACAGTCTTTACAGACTCATACACACTCTCAGAACAATAGGTAGAGACTCTTAAGCTTGCTGTAATTGGTTAAATACCTGCCTTGGTGGCCAATTTCATCATTTCTGCTCCTGCAAAGTTAATTCAGTCTTCACCATCTGTGAAATTAAGCATTTCACGAGTGCCTTTTTAAAGTCTCATCAACAGATGCAAATGCATGCAAATGAACAAAGTTGCATAAACAGGAAATGAGTTGTCTACACTTTGCAGAAATGTCCTCAGTGACGTAGTTTACAAGCTTTTGTAGTCAGCTTTTAACCCTTTTTCTACTCACTAATCTCATATGGTCAGCTTTTAGCCCTTGAAATCAACTCCTATTTGAAGTTCTTTTTTCTTTTCCTCAAAGTTGATGCAATCTTAACAGTGTGGTGTAGTAAAGCAGATACTTTTTAAATGACTTAAGAGCCGTCACAAAGGAAGGGTTGGTAACAAGTTTCAATACTCAAAGCACAGGGCTGGTCTCCTGAGGTTAGGGGAAACTGGTAAACTGGGAAGTGCAACTCTGCATGACTGTAAAGGTTTTCAGCCTTTTTAAGCCCTTCACACGAACTCCTATTACAGACACCAGCAGTCATGTTCAAAATCTGTTCATTTGGCGCCGCCATGATAAAATATCTTTGAGTTTTATTTATCTGGGTGTAATATATCAAAGAGAAAAATGCCCTTCTTAAATCTGAGCTGTCATTGTTCAGTTTGATTGCTCAAGTCTGCATCTGCAGTAAAGTTGCAGAGGCGAGGCTTTTGACCAGCGGGACCTCCATCCAGACATGCCATTTATTACCCTCATTGCAGTGCCCACAACCTCGGTTTTAAAGTGCTGCGCATTGGCGCTCGTTGTTGCTAGGTTATGAAAATTGTCCCGTGGCACTCCAGCCTCCCTTTATAATAACCGTTAAGTCTGTTTTGTAACGCCCTGTATGTGTTCATTTTTGCCTTTATGCTATGGCAGTTTACATTGAAAATGGAGACGAGACAGGAATCATGTTGAAGTATTAGAAACAGCTCCAGACCTCTTGCTCTAGAGAAGTGGTTCTTAACTGGTCCTTAAGTAGCGACCCACTTTTATGGAATTCAAACCAAGCGAATTTATTTTTTATTAAAAAAAACAACAACAACTTAAACTTAAACCTTTAAAGACTCTAATATTTAACATAAATCCACTTGTTTTATTGAGTAAAGTGCATTTCAGAGCACATAAAGGGGACAACATGAGGACAACTACTGAAGTTGCACATACAGAAAATATCAAATATCTAATAAATATCGCATTAGATATTTGCTTTTTTGACCAGCTGTTTGTCCCACCCCTTTTTGTTATGATTGGTCAGCGATGGAGACAGGACTTTGATGAGTGTGGCAGCAAAGAGAAAAGGGTGCTGTGAGCGCGGCGGCTAAAATCTGTTGATGCAGAGAGTTTTGAGGGGCTTAAGGCACTGAGCGCTGAAAACACTGAACTGCGTTGGTTTTGTCCAGAAAAGAAGTGCTCCCGGTGCAAAATCAGCTTCTTTGTACTCCAGCTTTGTCCTTCACTCACCTAGCTATACACTTGCCATGAACACGATACCTTTGACTAACTTTATTACTTTTCACTAAGTACTTAAACCAGTCATCCCCTAACGTTAGAAGTCACGACATGAGAGTTTAATACCTGATGTAAAGCAGTTCAGTTTCTGTAGTGAATCATTTTCAACATCTCTGCAGTTTTGTCGCTGACACTCACACCACTTATTGCAGACCATTTGACTGTGACAAAGCTGGTAGCGATGACACAAGCAGGAAGTGAGCCACATCTCTGCAGTGCCTTCTCCTCTTGTGATCAGAGTCCCTCAGCTGCTAGATGACACCACATTGCATCTGTGCGCTGTCTGATATGATTGATGCGCTTTTGCTTTTTCTCCACTCCGCTGCCGCTACATTATGTTCCCGCTGACTGCTTGTTCATGCAAAGGACCGAGTCTCACTTCTCCTGTCAAACAAACATGTTTACAGACAATGTGAAATTCTCATGAATTATACAAAGAAGAAGTTTTCCAAAGAATCAGATGCAGAAATTTGCTTGCAGTGTTTCGGTATTGGAGCTGTCTGAGGTCATGACAAAATGGAAAATTGCTGCAAATTGTTTTGGACCAGCTGAGAGGATTAAGTGATTTTTTTTTTTTCCAAACAGAAGTGGACATACACGCACACAAAAGCACAGTTGCACAGCCAAACACACACACACACACACACAAAATCTCACAAACACACGGGCCAGCTATTATCATGCCCGACATGCTAATCTCCCCCCCTGGGTGAATACATAAATCACAATACGAGGCCAGGCCAAGCAGGCAGTAAGTCATGTGGCTGGTGATCACACTGTTATCTCCTCAGTCCTGCTGATCCTCAGTAACAGGGAATGAAAGGTGATCTTGTTCCTGCTGCAGGCGGAAAATCAATGACTGGACACGCCAGAGGTACCAGGTCACTTAACTTTTAGTGCCGCCTGCTGTGCGTGTCTCAATATTTTACTGTTGTATTGTACTTTTACCCAACAGTTTGAAAATTGGTGGAAAATCCAACTCCGTTAAAAGGAAGCCTCGCTTCACTATTTAGATGCTAATTCCCTGTACAGAAAGGATTAGACATGGGAGCTTTTTACATGAGATTTCTTTTGAATTGGTTCAGTGTGCTGGGGAGGAACCGAAAGGAAAGTTATGCTTTGTTACAACTTTTGGCTTGTTTCTTCATTTGTACTCAGATTTTTTTGGCAGCCTATTACAGGCGACAAAATAAAAACACTTATGAAAGAAAAAGGCAGAGCTGTAACAAGGATCCAAGAATATAAGACAAAAAGACAAAAGACAATCCAGACTCCGGTTTTTGTTTCGTCACTTAAGAAAAGAGGGCTTCATTGATAGGTGAATCCTCATGTGTTACTCTTTTCTATTTCCAGGTCGAGTTGGGAGCTCCCCGACCTTCGTGATGGGAAAATCCAAGCCATCAGTGACTCAGACGGGGTCAACTATCCTTGGTATGGCAACACCACAGAGACCTGCACTGTAGTAGGCCCCACCAAGAAGGACAGCAAGTTTACTGTTAGCATGAATGACAATTTCTACCCCAGCGTGACCTGGGGCGTCCCCGTCAGCGACAGCAATGTGCCTCAGCTTAGCAGCATCCGCCGCGATCAGAGCTTTACCACCTGGCTGGTGGCGATCAACCAGGCCACGTCGGAGACGCTCGTCCTGCAGACAATCCGCTGGAGGATGCGGCTCCACATCAAAGTGGACCCAGAGAAACCTCTGGGTAACCGGGCTGTCCTGAACGAGCCTGTGGCCCAGGAGCAGCCTCAGATCTTGGGCAAGAATGAGCCTATTCCCTCTAACGCCATGGTCAAGCCTAACGCCAATGATGCCCAGGTGCTGATGTGGCGGCCAAAGAATGGTGACCCCGTGGTGGTCATCCCACCCAAATATTGACCTGCTTCACTGACCAGACTGGCCTTGGATACCTTAACAGTATCATCTCTTTTTATTTTGTCTTTTTTTTGTTTCTGCTCGTCACCAGCTCTCACTGCTTTAACCTTTTCCCTCCTTTTTGCCTCAAAATTCTCCTTTTTTTATGTTTAAAACAACCGGAAACAAAGGAAAAAAAAAAATGGCCGAGACTTAGAAACCAGCTTTGAGAAGAGGAAGAAGAGCTGGAGAAAGCTTTGAGTCTGGGGCTTGGATTTTAAAACTGGAGCGAACAAACTGCAACCGTTCTACCTTCAAACTGGGTCGGGTCGCACTGTGCTAAATGAAAATCATTGCAAAAATGAAAAACTCGAGAATTTCTTTGTTTGTTTTTTTTATTTCAGTTTTATATATTTTGGCTGAAAAGGCCTCTTGTATTTTGGTTTGTGATTGTGGGTGAATTCAAGTATTTACATGTCTATAGACGTGTACAAACCTTGTGTATGAATACCAGTTGTGTTTTTATTTATAGGCTGGGAGAGAGTGCATTGAATTATATTTGTTGATATTGTCCTGTATTACACAAGACAAATTGTATTGGGTGACATACTAGATTTTAGTACTTTTTTTAAAAACATGCAAGACATTCAATCCATGCTGCCTTAAGTTTACATCGCTTTCCACTGCAAACGTATTAGCCTTAAACAAAGTGCAATGCAGTATTTTGTTCATTTGTCCTGTCTCTTCCAGACCGTTGGTGCTGGCATGTGTGGGTTTAGGACAGGAATGACACCACAGAAGAAGACCCAGGGGTGAGGTCTGGGCTTTAAAAGGTTGAGTTTTCGATGTATTATTTGAAAAGTAGAATTAACTCCACGTGTGGACAGCTAACTGTGTTGTTTTAACACATAAAAACACCAGAAAAGCCAAACCTTGTCAACAGCAATCAAAACAGGAACATGAGATAATCACTAAAACAAGAGCCGCTCAAAAGTACTCCTCTGTAAGCCTTGTTTGTTTCTTATATCCGGCCTGTAGGCAGTTATAGTATTCGAAGTCTAGTCACAGATTTTCCTTTCAGTACAACATTTCATCTCAGGGCCCTACTTTCACTTCCCTCTCCTCGTTTTTTTTACTGTCCTGTCTGGCCTCCTCTTTTGTGCCATTGTGAATTTCTGAGTGTTTGCACTGCTGTCACTGAAGGATCAATACTTTGATTAATTCGCATTAACGGGGTAAATATCTTGTGATAACCAGAGAATAGAAACAGCAGTGTATCCGTTATTTTTTTCCTTTTGTCAGACAATCTTAAACACACTGTATTTATTCTTGTTGTCCATCTTGAAATCAGAATCACCCCTTCATTTATTATTTCTATTATTCAGATGAAGACAGGTTTGTAGCTCCTGTTAACATTGTTTTAGTCTCATACCCTCACAACTTTTCTACACCAGAGTTTTCCCTCCCCCTCCCGCCCAGCCCTTGCCTTTCTTTCATGTTGTTTGTATCTGTTGTCGAGGCTGAAAAGCAGAGCAGAGGAGGCATGCAAGTTTGATCCCGACTGCTCAGTTGGCATATAGATGACCCACTTCCCCTGCTTTGCAGTTGCAACTCTTGCTGCAAAAGTGTGGGGCTTGTCTCCCTTTATTACACCACCAGCAAATGTGAAACACAAACACACAGTTCTGTTCAGCTAAGTATCATTGATAGATAAGATGACGCCCAATAAGCTGCTAATCCGCGAGATGGGCTGCAAATCTAAACTTTTTCAAAAGCATAGGGAGAAAAAATGAGTCGATTAGCTTTTTATCTGCTTGTCAAGAGAAAAGATGAGGGTAATAAGCAATTTATGGTCACATACTTTTCTTAAAGCTCTCTTGAATGGCTATTTTTTATTTTAAAATGCAGAAAAACATCTCACAAAGGCAGTATTTCCACTAAGTTCCCAATGTTTTGGCTCCAATCAAAGAAAAGATCAGTGAGTTTAACCCCGGTGTGTATTTCAAAGATCAATAAGCTGCTGCTGTTTCAGCCTATTAGCATCTTTTTACCACAAACTGTACAAGATTTATCCATCAGGATTTTTCCAGGCATCATTCCTGTCAAAGATTTATGCCTGTTTGCTTTCTTGCGCAGAATCACATCAGTAGATAGATGCTAATTTCGTGCCCGGAGGGTATATGGCTGTACACAGCCAGCAATTTGCTTGGCCTAGCGAGACCAAAAAAGGGGGGAACAGGCATGCTCAGCCCTGTACAAACGTAATAGCTCAAACCAGATCCTCTTAACTCCAACAACCAACATGAGCCATGTTGTTTACTGCAACCTTAAAAAATCCAAAGTGTAGAAAGGACTCTTACAAACTATTGGTCAACAGTGTGCTCTCCGTCTTAAAGCTAGGCTAGGCTAGCATATTTCCTGGTGGTAGCTTTATCTTTGGCAAATAAATATAAGTTTTATAACAATCATCTTACCTAGTTATCAGCAAAAAATTCTACAAAATGTAAGTAAAAGAACAGTTTTGAATCAAACTGTGCAGAAATAGCAAACTAACAGTTTTGCTGAGAATGACTGATTTAGGGCCCGTGTCCATAAACTGGGTCCACAAACCCTTTATTTTTTTTGTGCTGGCAAACGCAAGACTATAATTATACCAGCAAAGTGACAGAAAACAGCTGACACTGAGACGTTTTTTGAGCTCAAGGGTCTTGATGCACAGAAAACACTGTGAGTGGACACAGGCCCTAATTTAAGTCTCAAACATCAATTTCTCTCACCGTGCGAGCACACACGACTATATTAGACCTTCCTGTTCAGCTGTGTTACCACAATAGCCTGAGCTTGGTTTCAACATGACTCTGTGGTGAAGATAGAAGTTAAAAGGCTATTGGGGGACTGCTGTCATAATTAGATCTGCAGTGACACACTTGCGTGCCCTAGATGGACCCAACTGTTCTGAGGCGTGCCACGGAACCTAAGGGCACGCCAGAGCTAGGGGTGATGTTTAAGCGAAGTCAAATAGCAAAGGTCTGGGTCAAAGTGGCTCTGTGGAGGGGGGCTGTCAAAGTCCTAAATGTACCCAAAGACAGTGGAGTGGCCGGAAGGGGAATGAATATAGAGGTGACAATAACTTTAATCTTTTTAGACATTAGCACCAGCCGGAAATAACGTTGACATTTTGCCAAACACAACTTAGATGTCAACCACAAAAAAAGCTGTGGTTCACATTTGGACTCTGCGACCCTTCGCCAAACGTAGCGCAGGGCTATTTTGGCATAGCGGACTGCCTCATAGTGTCTCTTACTGTGACCTATGGACACTGATAGTACTCAAGCTGGCCTGAAAGTAATGTAATTAAACCCTGACATGCAGAGTAAGCCGCTCGCACTATGTGTGTGTGTGCGTGGGAAATCCCATTTGTGGGGATTTAGGCAGGATGGATAGTTTCTCTGATGTGTTGCGACTGTTGTTTGGTCATGATTCTTCCTCTTTCTGACTTTCTCTCTCATACAAACAGACAGAGCAGGGGAGGTAACGTCCTTGTCAGTAAATAGGGACAGAGCTCGCCCACCCCCCTACACACATACACAAACTCACACACAAATATACACACAAAAAACACCTCCAGGGGAAAGGAGCAGGCCTGGCATGGTATCTGATTGTCACAGCAGTGTCACATTGGCAGCGTGAACTCATTTGTCGGCCCTGCACGTGGCCCATCTGATGAACACATGCACATGCTACAAAGCCATATGCACAAACACACACTTGTTTACTTGTATGTAAACTGGAGTAGTGAAATGGGAGCTTGGAGTGTTGAGGCTATTGCTTCGGTGTCTGTCGTTTATAGGCAGGTTTTCATGTTATATTTTAGAAAAAGGGCACTAAATTGTCTTCTCTGTGTGTGTGACACTGTTGAAAAGTGTCGATAATTTGTATTTTATGTTCACATATATGAGCTTCCTTAACAAAGCCACAGAAAAACAAAGTTGCACATTGTTGGTACGCTGTATGGAAGGCCAGAAGTGCCAAAAATTGGATCAAGCCAAAACCTATGCAGTAGGCCTCGTTGGGCATTGTTATTGACACAAAAATCCTCTTGGCACTAAATAACAAGCCTGTCCTCAGTTGTTGTTGATAATTTGATGCATTTATAATAATATATTTACATGGAGAACTATTAAAATATAGAAGGTGTGTTTGTTGATGTGCTTTCTGCTTATGAGGCAGTGCCAAGTGAACAAGTCTCCTGTCCTAAACCCACGCCGTTAAAGTTCTTCTGAGGGCTGCTATCGTTTCTTCACATCTTCATGAAGATTTTTTAACCCAAATGAAACATAACCCACCCTCCCCTTTATTCAAACCAATAATACATCCCAAAGTTCACACTCAGGACCGCCTGCCTTCATTTCCTGGCTTTTCCTGTTTTGGTTTTAGACCATGTGAAAGAAAAGTTTGTTTTACTTTCTCTGTTTTCCTATTTCTTTAAAAAAAAAATCAACTAAATACGACCCCGTGGTTTCAAAAGAATAACCCTAAATGTAGCACAAAAGATAATATGAGCAGCCATGTGTGTTTCTCATGTTTGTTTTCTGGAAATACAGCACTGAAATAGTTAAAGCAGTTTGTGCTCTTTTGTTTAGCTTTGACTTTTACACCAATACTTGAAAATGGGTCAGTTCTGGCAAACATTTAAAAACTGTGAAAATGCACAACACTGGGGAAAAATAAAATATATATAAAAATGTCTTTTTCATGAATGAATAAAATGTGAAAATATGATACCAGTGATTGTGTCTCTTTTTCTTTGAATAGTGTTTTTTTGACTCCCAAAGTTGAACCTCAGCGACTTTACTCTATTACATTTACTGTACTCTACTTTGGTTTCTCCTTTCTTCCGTGCTGGACATTGTGCCCATTCAATCTGTACAAATTAAAGAGCCAAATATCCACTGAGCCAGGACAAAGATACACAGTCCTGAGTGCCATTTTGAAAAGCCTGCACTCATATGAACAAACCCCGAGGCTGTGCATACATGGCTGAGCACATGATGCTCTGTAGGCTCCTGTCAATCAAGAGATAGCTGTTGCAGGAGGCTAGTACTTCTCTAAATGTCGCTCTATGCCGATGATGGTGAGTAAAATCAGTGAAAAACAAAGCAAAGACCCTGGAGAGAAGAGATGAGACGATAAAATAACAGAGAGGAGATTCAGTTCAGGTTGCTGTCTCAGTGAAAATGGTCATAAAAAGCTGATCATATGATAAATCAATTATGAGCACTATTCATCTTTGTTCAATAAGGTGCATTCACGTTTGCACCAAAGCCTCGTCACATGCTGATAGTTCAATCTGTGCACATTTTTCTTTGTCTTTATCTACCACCCAAACCAGTGCACAATCTGAGCTCGCTCTGCAACCCTCTGTAGATGATCAGAGAGGGAGATGATAGCTTTTATATGTCTCTTCTGATACGCACTGATTACAGAGCAACGTTTCATGTTGAGCATGATAAATATGAACCTACTTCTGCACTTTTTTTCATGTGAAGCTTGATGTTAGTCTGCACTGTCCTAGTTTTATACAAGGTTCACATTTTTGTGAGTTGAAACTGATGCATTTTTCCAGCTAACAAGTATCTTAATGTCTCTGTGATTTATGCTAATAATGTATTGTTACTTAAGTGGCTTGGAGATCTCATGAAATCTCTCAAAACAAGAGCCTAATCACAGCACGATCCGATCTGTAGGCTTTGATGAATTTTCTATTAACCAGTAAGGAGATCATTCCTCCTCCTACACTGTCTTTTGTTTTTTTTTCTTTTTCTTTTTGGAGTTCACTCTCCTGCTTAAGAAACTTTGAAGCCTCCTAAAAGTACTTCTCACTACTCTGCACACTTTGCTCTCTTAAAGCTCTAATGAGGAATGAGGAGACTAAACACAACTCACCTACTCTCTTCCAGCAGCTGCTTGTTTGTAGCGAGACCTTGGGTGACTGCAGCAGGGGGACGCAGCTCAAGAAAGAACATTTATGATCGTTTCTTTATCATTTCCTTGAAGTAATATCATATTGATAATTTTGCTCTGCAGACACGGTAGTTCTTCTGCCTTAGCGTCTCGGTCTGATTGCATTTCCATGAAGAAATGATCATAAATGTTCTTCCTTGAGCTGTGTCACCCCACTGCAGTCAATGATGGACTAGTCTGAGGTCTCACTACAAACAAGCGGCTGCTGGAAGAGAGTGGGTGAATTGTGTTTAGTCTCTTGGCTAAAGAAATCAGGCAAAGCTAAAAAGATGTTTGCTAGTATGTTTGACTAGCTAAAAGGCTAGTTCTGAGGCTGGGACCCTATATGTACTGTTGATGAAGTTAGGTGCTGCTCTGAGCATTATTTGTGGTTATAGAGTGGCGTTTTAGTTGAGGTTTGTTTATGGCTCCTCAGACCGCTGTGTATTGCTATCGTGCGGTCGTTACTAAAGTTGGTATAACTAGAGAAGCAAGCGGTCGGCAACATTCATCTCTCAACGGGGTGTCTAACTCAATGTTACGGTGTGTTTGACCCTAACTTAATTTTACGCGGAATATCCCTTTAAGAAGTGTCTTTTGACCAAAACAAAAAAACTTTTAACCGTCAACTGTGTTTTTTATTGTGAATATTTCAGATGAAAATTAAAAATTAGAGTTGTTTCCTCAGCTGCTCAGCTGACACCTAACCCCTTGTACTGATTTCAGGCACTGAAATTAAGATATGACAGTCCTCAGTCATGACAGTGATGATTTTGAATACCCTGAGAAGACATCTATAAGATTCTTTGTCAATAACTGGTCTAGTTTAAACTCTAACACGGCATGTTCCTAGGATTTTTCTCCTGATATCATTACTGGGAGCAACTCTTTATACTAGAAAGCCTTAAAAGAAACAAGTGCAGGAGTTTTCAGACTGTAACTATAACATCAATCAAAATGAGCGGTGGAGTTTCAGTGAGTTTCAGTGAGTCTATGCCAAGAGGCTTTAGAGCTTTTGGGGGGTTTGTGGAGACAGAACTTCTCCATGTGTTTCAGAAACAAAAACAAGACTTAATTAGAAAAAGTTGATAAATTAATTAGTAAAACTGCTGAACAGTTGAAATTAAACTTTGTTGTTAAAGCAATAAAAATACAACCATTGCTCTGTTTACACAACAGTAGCTTCATAAGCAGGAGAAAGATGAATCAAAACACAATCTTTCGTCTATTTAAAGTAAATCAACTCCTGTATCGGTCATGTTGTGGCTCTGATGGATTCTCTGAAATAGTTTTGATTCCTTCACCGTTTGTTTCAGTTTCCCTCATCAATAGTTAGCTTGAATCTTCATGTGATTTGGCTTTTATTCATACTTAGGGCCACATTAATATCCCCGGGCTCTCTGAAAAAAGCTTGATGATATCTCAAAACAGCTGGGCACTGTTGTGCTCAGCCAACATCACACCAGCAGGAGTAAATAGGACCTTTGTTTGGGATCAGCAACAGATTAATGCACATTTGGTGTTTTACTGAGTAGTGTGTGGACCTGACCTCAAATGAACCAGAGTGCCCTAGTTTATTTACTCCTGTGCAAAATTCTGCTTCAGTGCTGCCTTTTTATGAGAAGTAATTCGAAAGCAGTGAAGGTTCACTTAGAGATAATCCGTATTTTAATTTGATTATCAGGCAATAACAACCAGAAGGATCATGACATTCCTGCTTTCAGTGAAGACAGTCAGCGAAACACTGGATACCTCTGGTCTGATCTTTAAATTAAAGGCATGGTTGACGATTGGAGAGATTGGTTATTATTACAAACCTCATTTACATGGCGACCACAGTCCTATAGTGCGAGCTCCACAAAGTAAAGAGAAAAAAGAATGGAAGCCCTGCACTGCAAAAACATTGACCAATGGGAGCCATCCATCCCGGACAGCTCCTATTGGTCAATCTCCTGCTCCGCCTCTCCATCCAATCACCTCACTGTATTCGACACAACCCTCTCCCGTAGTTCCGACTCGTCCCCTCCCACTCTCCCGGCCCTCCTCGGAGCTCTGAGCGGCTAAAAGTAGCTACAGGAGCTGTGATGGAGAAGAAAACACACACAAAAAAACACCTCTGCTTGCCCCACCGCTAAAAGTCGGAAGAAAACGCAAGCCGACAGAGGAAAGGGCAGAGATGAAGAGGAAATATGACCAAGCGAGGAATCTAACTCGAATAAACATTGGTTCATCCTTCGAGCGGTGGAGAAAGCTCCGCCAGGATTTGAGCCTGAAAACAGACACAGAGACAGCAGCGTTTTTGTTGAACAGGTAATTTTTATCACCTTTTATCGTGTCACATGTTACATAAATAACTCTTATTAGTCTCTGCAATGGCAACATGGTAGCTGCCCGGGCAGCTGCAGACGGTGCTTGCTAGCAGAGCTGGCGTTTACTGCCGCTAGTCACTAGCAATCTGACACTGTGAATCCTAGTTGAAGCTAGCGTAGCATCCTCTGCCAGCCGGCTTCTTGCTCTGCGAGAGGGGGTGTGTCATGGGGAGGGCGATACAGGTTCGGGGGAGTTATCGTGGAGCACAGAGGGGAGAGGTTTGTGTGTGGGGCGTGGGACGCTTTTTTCAAATCTGCCTCAGTTTTTTCAACTGCTTCTCAGATCGTCAACCGTGCCTTTAACTTCAATGTTGTAGGCATAACTTAACATACAACCCCTCCCCTGTTTCATATTCGTATTCATTAGCAGAGGGTGAAAGAACACCAGAATGAGCATTTGACCATGAACTTCAAACCTCAGTTTGAGTGTCAGTTTTCAAAGATAAAGCTGAATGGAGCAGTTGCTCTTTGTATCCCATCCACACAAAACATTTGGTTAAATTACTCCAGTATATGAATCTGAACTGAGTCATTGAAATGCAAGAAGGCCCATGCCTGTTCTGAATAGAAATAAAAGCTAATGAGTTTTCTCCATTTCTTTTGCAATGCACCATCATTATCACTCTTAACGGAGTTCTCAGAGGACTGAGAAGTTCTCCTTTGGGTTCTTTTATTTTCACTCCAACCTTGGATTTACCATATAATATAACCACACTAAGCACAGAGGAGACAGCTTAGAATTAATCTCGACCCTGACTCGGAAATTCTGAGGCAGTTTTGGGATATCACTGCCAGTAGAGCCAAAAACTATTTTAGTGCTGGGTAACTGTGAAGTAGCGTAGTGTCACGAATCGGAGTCAAACAAAAGGACCCAAAATGCAGATCAGAAAAGGATTTATTTAGAAGGAACTAAAAGAAAAGCAACAACAAAAAAAAAACTTACTTAAAATGTCCAACTGAAAAATTCCCCTCCAATAAAAAACAAGAAGCAAAAAATCACAAGAGACTCACTGGGAAGACAAGTAAGCGCACACACCGAGAAACATCCAACACAGACATACACACAGAGGCATCGGCGTACAATGAACTAATGAAAAAACAGGGGAAGACAAGGACTATATATACACACACAGGGAAACAAGCAACGAGAGGCAGGTGAGAACACTGAGACACAGGTGAAGACAATTACAGAAGAGGAAGTAAAACAAGACTAGAAACACAGGGAATAAACTACAACAAAATAAAACAAGAACCACTGAAAACTGATAATAGAGAATAAAACACTGAGGACATGAGGGAAACGGGGTCAGACACAAACTGGAAACTCACGAGACAAGACTACAGGGGAACAGGAACAATAGGGCACAGAAACACTGGGGAAAATACACTCAAATCACAGGGAAACATGAAATAAACAGAACATATCAGGACACATAGAAAGAGAGGCTAAGAGGGTTCAGTATCACTGTTCTT